CTTCCTAAAGTCGACACAAATGGAGAAATACAAATGGGACCCAAGCTGTTTATGTTTTTCGAACGTGTTCGGATCCCTGACATCCAGCTACACTTCCCACGCAGCCTGTCCATTTGTAATCCCCCGCCCCCCAAGGCCGGCGTGGGTGGAATGTGCTCAAATTAAGTTGTTGCCTATGGTAAATTGTCATTCTGCTGTTTGCGTGTGTAACGGAAAAGGATGTGGAAAATTATGTGTGAACCTGGCTAAGGGCGTAGGAGTCGAGGAATGGAGAAAGGGAAATGGAAATGGACAATCCTAAGCCGCTTTAAACAGAAGCCGTCGACCCAAAACAGTGTTTTCTGCCAGATAACAAACAACTGTGTAATTAGAAGAGACTTCGGGCCGCCCACAAAGAATGTCCTATGCATAATTAAACAGCAAATTAAGCATTATCAAGCAGAACCCAGATCCAGCCTACACTGAAAGAGAGAGAAAGAAGTGAGTGATGGCCAAGTAAGCCAAATTAAGGCAGATTAAATATATTCTATATAGTTTCTGTATATACCATAGACTGCAGAACACATTTTCGTTAAGTGTACAAAGACCCTAACCGCATGTTGAAATATTAATAACAATTAATAGGCAACAAGTGAATGGGGTCGAGTGTTGCCTAGTGACCTTCGGGGACATTTCATCATCTTAATGGTGGGCAGTTTTGGGGCCCGACAGCAAATCTGTGTGACAATACCAGCGCCCAGCCCTGACAGCGACACTCAAATTAGAGAGCTCTTGAGTTGGATATGGGGGATGGGGCTGGTCCTGGGAACGTCCTTCGAGTAAGCGGCTTGCCCACCCCCCTTGGCACCTGTCATAGCGGTGTGGACTGTCAATGGCACTTAAGCAGACACATAAGGAAGCAGTCAGGAGCGAAGGGGGGAAATCCGCCCTCAGGCCTTGGCTTTTGACGGGGTCTAGTCACTGGTCTTACGTGTGTATTTGTGGATAGTGATTGAGACCGCTGACCGCAGTTTATAGAGCTCTCAAAAGTGGGTCGAATGAAAACTTTGGAGGGACCTTGAAACTACAAGATGCCAGGGAACTCAAAAGTAAGGCAAAGGAAAGCGAAACAGATATAAATATAGGTTTGAGTAGGAAAATATACATTATTGAAGGTTGCAACTAAAGTTGGAGAAACAGGATCTTCCTTAAAAAATGAAAATATGTATTTTCTTTAACAAATATATATTTTATATTTAAAAAGAATACAAAACCCTACAGATATTTTCATAATAATTAGTTTAAAATTATTCTTAAAATCCCTTAACATATAAAACAAGCTCAGGGTGATAACCATGCCATGAAAAATAATAAATTTCATTAAAACACTTCTCCTAAATTATGTGTTTAGCACGTTTTAACGATACAATAATCCAAAAAAAGGGGCTAGAAACCCCTGTATCTTGTCTGTTGCCAATTTGCCGAGCTACCCACCTGACCCTCATAATCACAGCAATTAGTAATTACGCAGACTGCGACCGCTCCGTTCCGTACGGCCACCTCTCCCCCACTTGGTTCACACCTGCCTCGGCACTTATCCCTTTTAATTAGGCGCCACCAAAAGGCAAATTTTCCTGGGCCCAAGAAGGCAGCCAAGTGGTAACCGTTTCCATCTCTCTATCTGTCTGTTTTCTGCCTTTGCCTTTCCTTTGGCAGATGCTTCGACTGGCAGAAGCGCCCGATGCCTTCGGCCCATTTCTAATTTCCATTTTAATTATTACGAGTATTATTCTGAAAATCAAGTGAGCGGCAACTTTGGCAATTCCCACCCACCGCACCATCACCACCACCCGCAGGCGGCAGGATACCAGGCGGCAGCTGTTACGGTTTTTTGCTTCCCTTCGTCCCTGATTTCGCCACCTGCTGCTGCCATGGCTGCTGTCTTCTCCTGGGAGCTCTGTTCTGTGTAGCTGTACCTGTGTAGCTGTACCTGTGTGTTATCATATTTCACGCCTATTAGCGTTTTAATTTAATTAACATTTATGGCGACAGTTTCAGTCGGCTGTCAGGGAGGTCGCTAAGAATATTTATAGGAAGTTTGCTGCAACGATTGCTGAAAGGGTTACTAACTACACTATTTTGGGTGCTGAAAAAAATATCTAAAATATCTTAAAATCATTTTCTTTGTAAGGTTTAATAGTTTAACTATAATCTTGTATAAAAATCCCTTTTACTCAGAGCTAAAAATCTCAAGTTCAACAAAAGTTCTTCCCCTTTAAATGCCTTTCTATTCACTTTGTGTTCAACTGCACTGTTTGACTTTGACGCTGAGCTGATGGGGAACTTTACGGCAACTTCATTGCAAGCCTGGCAGAGACACTCAAACGAAGTGATATTAGTTACCGATTCCGGAAATAATTTCACGTAGCTATTTGCACGTAAAGCCAGAGAGCCGGGTAGCCAGACAGCCGGGTAGCCGGGCAGCTGGTAGATGTGGAAGTCAGATAGCGGGTTCATCCACGCCCAACGGCTGGATTTATTGAAGGCCTCGCCGGGCCTGGACAGGGCCAAGGCAATTTGAGCTAGAAATTACATCCGCCTGGGCCTGGCACGGCACTGGCCAGGACTTGGCAGGACTTTAAAGGAGTAAAACTAGCCCTAATAGGCAATTGGAAAGACATCCGCTGCTGCAGCTGATTTTAATAACTTCATTAAATTGATCCGCATGAACGCACCTTCTCCACAATGATTTGTTTAATTCGATGTCATGACAACTACTAGCCAAGCTTCGTTCCAGCTGCAGTCTGTGGCTCAGCCACTGGATTCGTTCACTTCAATATCTAAACTATCAATCAGTTTTTCCGAGCAGCGATTGTTTCTGATTTTAATGGGAGTGAGCAGCGGTTTCTATTCACATTTGGTTTTGGTGTAAATCCGCACGGAAACTCGTGTGGTTAGCCTTGTTTGCTGTAATTGCCCAAAACACGAAACCAGACTGGCTGTTGTATTTATTTTATCCAAAATCAAGCTATCCAGGTTAAGTAATCGAGAGTTTAATAATTTAACAAAACAGTAGAACTCACAGAATACATTTTTTTATGTTTATGATTGATATATTTACCCATTTCAAGCTTATTTTTATTTTAAAGACTTGCCCTGGAACTTCTTAAATACTTCGACAGCATGTCTCCGTGTAGAAGGTCTTTTATAATTTATAATTTTGATCTAAGTGCATTTCCGCTGTAATAGTTCCTACATTTTTTCCCGCCGTAGGTCAGCCCCGCCATGTTCTTGCCACGTTTTTCCGCTTTTATGTTAACAACAAAGGCAACGGCAGCGGCAAATGAAGAGGCTGCTGCGGGCCAAGAAGAAAGGAAAGTACGGAGCCAGGCAGCCCAAGGACGGCATTGTGCGATGCGAGACGTTTGCCATTGCAATTGCAATCGCAGTGCCGATGCCGATGCTCGTATTTTACCTGGGACTGCAGGCAAGCATGAGAATTTAATGAGCAGCCTCTGCAGGAGCTTTGAAGTTGAAGCTGCAGCTGGAGCTGCTCCAGAAGCTGTTTAAGTTTTAATCGAGTTATTGGCAGGCAGGTGGGCAGGCATAGGATATCTGCAATTAAATGCTCGTCTCCCACACAGAATAATTGCCCGAAAATTAATTTAAATTCAAATTTAATAATTCCCAGGGCCTGGGCCATTTTCAATTTGGCTATTTGCGGTTTTGTGCAAATTCAGTTTTTGGTCAAATTGCTAGACATATTGCACAATTACAGGCGCAGTGCTCAGACGGTTTCGGATTCGTTTCGGGTTGGTTTAGCAACAAAAATTACAGGCCATGTGTTGTTTTGCCTATTGAAATTTGATTTGGTGTTTTGTGTGTCCAGAGCATATGGAATTGGCCGAGTTTACACGTTTTGCGGTGCCGTAAAGTAAACGTTTCATATTTTCAGCCAAGCGTAAATCACTCACAAGCAAGGATCTCTCCTCTGTCACGGCAATTTGTTCAATCTTTGCTAATTAAGCCGGCCTTTATCACCTCTAATTAATTGACTCGGCCATCGTCCGTGGCGACATTCACTTTTTCAGCGACAGTGCTGATTGCAATGCTAATCACAGGGCCAACTTTCAACTTCATTTGTCCTCGTAAAGTCACTCTTTCAATTAATTCCCGACGCCTCCCCCACAGACCTTGCTAATTGGGATTATCTATTATTTGGCAATCGGGGGATTTGCATAATTAAAACGTCAGATTGGTCGCGTTGGGACTTTAAATTCGGTTCGGGGAACTGTCCGCAAAAGAAAACAATTTTTTGGCTTTTGCAAATGCAAATTTCATTGCTCATACGACATGTGCGCCCGTATGCCCGTACGTGATGCGTGCGGATTGGGTTACGGTTTCGATTTAAATTGGTTTTCATTTTTCGGCACTGCTTCTGGCCATATTTATTTTCGGTTCGCTGCCAGCGGGAGCTGCCTGGAAAATGCAAGAAACAGATAGAAGCGTCTCGGCCACATGTCAAATAGTAGTTGTGAGACGTGACATTCATGGTCAGGTTCGCATATTGCACTCGCCAGCCAGAAGCTAATCCAATAAATATGTGCAAGTGATTTGAATCGGTTCCGTGGCCTGACATTCCCAGCACACAATTCTCGGGATAATCATGTCCTTTTCCCCGTCGGCATCCTCTGCAACTGGCACATGGAAAGCCATTGCCTGGGTTATGAGAAACTTTGCTTATGCATAAATTTTCACTCGCCCGGCGCTCAGCAAATTGAAATGTTTAAAAGCGCATGAAAATGTTGTTACAACTTTGAAGTTTTTTGCAGGAACGCTTTTTATGCGGTGCACAAACTTTAAATGCCGGGCTCGAGTGTGGTGTAGTGTGTGTGTGTACAGAGCGGCTCGGCTATTTGTTAAGAGCATTTCTATAAAATTTTCAAGGCTTTTGTTGGAGAAACTTTCGCTGCGAGCCGAGCAAATGCTTGCGGAGAGCATTAGAGGAGGAAACTTTCGTGTACAGTTTAAATGTATATTTTTCGTACAAGAGTAGGGTAATTTACCATGGTTAAGCCCAGCCAAAGCCGAGCAGAAAGCCGCCCAGGAAGGCCACACACAGCCGTCGGCTGGATGCACATGCTTTTCGGGCCTTCTCGGCCAACTGCTCGATACTGGCCAGATTTGGAGTCTCTACTTGGTGGGTCTGCCCGGCGACTCGCAGCTGTCCTCGAACCTGATTGGAGCCCGGCTCGTGGATCACCTCGCAGGTATCCAGGTGGATGAAGCCCGCTTCGATTGCTAGTTGGAGGGCCAGGATCGTTCCTCCGGCGGCCATGGCCACCAGCTTGCTGGCCTTCAAGAGCACAAAGCCAGTGAGAAAACCGCCGGCAGCTCCCATCCCGATCTGGGTGTACGGCGATCGTTGGTTGAGGCTGCTCATCGCTGGGGTAGAAGTCGGATACAGTGGCTGAGCGCTAATCTGAGCTATGTACTTCTACTTACTGCCCTTCCTTACTGGGAATTCATAACTCATTCTGAGTGCCTCGCCCTGTCTGGATGCTGGTGAATTTGGTTGGTCCTTTGTGAAGGTTAATTCAAAGCCTGCCGCTCCTCACACTGCCCAGCTGACTCCTGACTGCCAGACCGTGGAACGTTTAAGCCGACAGAAACATCAAAGTTCGGTCGAGTCCCAGACAAAGGTCCTTCGTATTCAATGGGCTTCAATTTAAGCAGCCCACAATTGGCCAGAAATTATGGGGAAATATTCGAAGAATTTAAATAGTTATGCTTTCCCTTTGGTAAATGGAATTTAACACTTATCAATTAGGCAACTAAGTTTTCCAATGAATTCTGTATTTCATGTTAAGGTGGTTCAATTAAAAGTCATGAATAACTCAATATAATGTATATAAAAATTAAATAACAAAAGAAAAACTAAGCTCGTATATTGAAAAGAAATTTAATTATTTATTGATCATCTTCCTTTGCATTTACCATATAAATATTCAAATGAAAAGCTAAAAGGGCATTGTTTAAAAATTTGTGTTAAATTGAATAATTAAAATGTTAACAATAGTAACTTTTTGGCTAATTTTTAATTGGCTTGGGTTAAATTTTAAAATTGTTAAAAGCTTGTGTGTTTTTTTCCTGCTATTTCTAAATGCTCATCAATTACGTAGCCATTGCCGTAGGTATCAGGATGGAAAGGGTTCAACGTTAACAGTTCAATTGCCATCGAAAATGAACCCGAAATGGCCGCTTTACGTTTGAATGCATTTCGGTTTTTTGGTGCTTCCTTTGCTTTTATTTAATTTATCGTTCAATTATGCGCCAGCCACGCCCGATTGTAGGAAGAGAGCCTCCAGGAGCCGTCGAGGTGTTTATCACCAACTGAAAATCAAATTAACAATGAGCACGCAAATTGCCACAAATGACTGCGGGAACCAGGAGGGCCTCCGGACTCTGGAGGATAGTGGACTCCAATCCAACCAACCAACCATTTTTCGAGCGATAATCTAGGAGGAGTAATGCAGTCTTTAAGTGCTTTTGTGCAAACAATATCTCAGCCAGACAAGAGCCCAGACCCCTGGGCGCTGCCACAGAAACAACTAAAGTGTTTGAACATTTAAATTGACATTAATAGGAAAAGTAAAATGTGAGAATGTCTTTGGCCCAGCAGGGGGGCGGAAGGTAGGGAGGTCTGAGCCACACATGAAATATAAATGAAACAGAATGCAACTTGACCATAAAATGTGAGCTCAACTGGGCGAAAAAAGAGCCACACGGACGGAGTAACCGAGTAACAATTTCAACATCAATGCGAAACGTGTTTGCCATGCGGCGAATTCTCTCACTGGTTTTGAAGTTGGGAAAAATCTGGATTTTCTTCTTCAACTCCTTTGTTTTTCTTTGATTTCATGAGCGTTGTCCGAAATAGGTGCAACACGTGCGTTTTATGGGGAATATTTTATGTTAAAGTTGTGGTTATATGCAAGGGAAATATGTACAATTTACATGATTTATCCAAAGACCCACTATTTAAAAATATATATACATTTCATAGGAAGACCAAAATTAATTTCAATGATGTTTTAAGTTTTCTTTTTTACCCAAAACTATTTATATTAACTTTTCTTGTTAAATTTCATTATAAATTATGCATTTTCTTTATATCAAAAATAATTTCAATGCAAATATCATTGCTGAAATGAAAATTTCCATCGACAATTACGCCTGAAAGACCCCTCATAAGACCCTATTAAAAATGCAACTGTAGCTGTAACGGGAATGTTACAAACTCCACTCGTTTGGAATATGCAGGAATAAGACAAATTGGACCTTTGAACTGCAACGGCAACTGTAGTCTGGAGTTGTTCGCTTTTGCGAGTCAATTGCACGTAAAGTTTTCCATCATTGCATGCAGGAAAATTGAGTTTTCCTTGGCTCAGCAAACACAAAGCACAAGCAGAGCAAAGGAGGCGGGCGCAACAGTGCGTATGCGTAATACGTATTTACACAATTTAGAAGCCAACTGCAATGTCCTCACCCCGTCCATATGGTTAATGCGATGGGGGACCACTTGGCACCACTGGACCCAACAGCAGCATTGGGTGCTGGTGCTTGTTGACATGCTGTAAATTTGAAAACAGTCATCCACTGGATAAAGAGTGGCCTGTTGGCTCAAAGCACACGATTCGCTCCTCCCGGCCTCTTGTTGGCCGCTTTATTTGTGTGCGGGCTTGTACAACAAATTAACTGTGGTAAGCTGGCTGGCTGCTGCCGGGTGGCGTCGGGGATTGGCAACGTTGTTAGTTGCGTTGTTAGCAGATGAACGCAGTTCTGTGGTTGCAGCTGCTCCGACCAGGAGCAGGAGGTGGGCGAGTTAAATGGTTTGTCTGTTTTGGAACATTCATTTTGATGTTGCTGCTGCTGGCTGAAGTCCTTCGGCTGAAGTCCAGCGAAAAAGCTATTAAAAATATAAATGGGAATTATATAGTGGGGATAGAATTACCTCAAAGACTGTAAATTATACATGAATTGTATTTTTTAAATGATAATTATTCCTATAATCCTTTAATTTGGGGTTATATTTCAATAATAAATAATTTGTAATTTTATTTTAGATTATTTTAAACTTTTCTTGTATGAAATTTATATATAAGTTCGACAGTTTATATCTAAATACAGGCAGATACCATTGCATATCTTCAACCAGCAAAGCTTGTTCCAAATTCTCTAGAAATAGTTTCCCAGATTGCGGTATTCCTTGGCTTCCTGGAATTTGTTGAGGCAATTGAATTTTGATATTAATTAGTTGCCGATATGCTCACCGCTGTCTTGAGGTTCTTTCGATGCATGTAATGAGCCCCGCCCTTAAGGCTGCCTCTGTGGTCAGGACAGAATCAGCTTGAGACCCTTCTCCTCATCTTTTAGTTGCTCAGCTCGTGAATTATGCGAAGTGGCAGCAACGACTTGGGCAACTACTATTCTGGACATGCAATTCCATCTCGGCTGAAACTTTTATATGTGGTGCGTGCTGGGTGCCAAGACCTTTTTTGGACCAAATTAGTGGGACACGCACCACAGCTTAATGCGGGTCCCGCAACAATGTCTCGCAGTTTGCATAAATGCATGGGGGACTCGACTTTACTTTCCTTCTGCTGTCGAATTTTTATGCATTTACTACGTGACTCTCCCCGAGGGCATTGCAAATTGTTTGCCTTTTGCCTTGGCCAAGCGTTTAATAAATAAATTACAAAGGGCGAGAAAGCTTCTTGGGGATATTTTCACTATTTGGAGCGTAGGTGAGATAAAAGTTTCACATTTCCAAGTGATTGCATTGCTCAAACATTTTTTTAGAAATTATTTTATTATTATTAAATGGGATATATCACAAGACTGACAAAAGCGAAAGCCTAAAGTACAAATATGCGTTGATTAAAGACAAAAATAAACTCATTAAAGACACTAAATCATTAATAATTGTTATTAATTATTAATATGTAAATTAGAATTAAAATTTCTTAGTTCAATATTTGTAATTTGATCTGCCTTTATCTATTGCCTGGTGTTTGTAAGCCCGCAAAAATTTTCATCTCACTGGTTTTAGCCACTTGTCGAAAAGGCCAAAAGCAGAGAGTGAGCCGGATTCATGCAATTGCCATGACGATGCCACTTAATTAGCAGAAAATATGCGCAAATCGAAAACCAAGGAAAGTGTCGAAATAGACTAATTGGAGAATTCCAGCGGCAGTTTCCTTGTTTTCCGTATTAAAAAATAACGACCGTTCCGGCATCAACATTTGATTAATGAGTGGGACCCCGGTCTGACTGAGGTCATGTTAGACCAGTGATGCATATTAGAATGCAGCTCAGTGTCCGTTGGATTCTATTAACACCCCACTAACAGCCCGACAGCTGAAAGGCAGAGCCTCCAGCATCGCCTCCACCCACCCGAGGCCTTCCATTTTTCGGAGTTGCTGTCTTCAGTGTAACACATGTCGCCACTTAATGCGTTGAGTGCATACGGAATGAGCCAAAATGGCTGAAAAGGCTGAGAGGGCGTGAAATGGGGCAACAACGCCACATCGCCAGCTGACGCCGCCGGCAAAATGCAACACGAAGCCGTCGACAGCTTAGGTCGTGCCGCATAATTCCACAGCCCCCTTGGCTAATACTCGAGATGAAAAACTGTTTTCCCGAGCTATCCCACTTTAAAATTGATGCCATTTTAATCTGCACGATACAGAGTTCTACTTTAGAGTTGAAAATATTTAAGGGGAATTAAGGAAGCTTGGAAAATTGTATAGTATGTCTTTGTGCTTTTATATTCTGTAGAAAGTTAAATATTATTCGAAGCCCATCAAAATGTATTTATCCTTTAATTTCATGAGTATTTTGAAACACCACAACTTGATCTAAAATATCCTTAAAGCAGGTCCTTCCACAGACATATGTGATGTAATTTTCCCGAGTGTCACCGAATGCAAAATGTTTGTCTTACTCTGATTTCGCCTGCCCCGGACTGATAATTAAGCCTGCAAATTGATTAATTGTCCGCTGGCTGGCATTTTGGCCAGCCAAGCGAGTCCACAGAGGCCGAGGCCTGCCAGTAGCTTGCAATTAATAAAAGGCGCGAAAAAATCTGTGGTAAATGCTGTCAGTGCAATCAATGCAGTTGATTGTCCTGTTTGTAAATCGGTTCAGTGGTTGGTTTGTTGGATAGATATTTAAACTTGAGTTTGCCTTTACATTAAATTCAGCAATCTTTTCACGAGACAAAACCGTTTCTTTTCCTCCTTACTTAAGCTCCAGATGCTGCTGCCCATCAGGCTTGGTGTTAATACATCATCATCATCATCAGGCTGCCTCTCGTATGTGTCTGTCAGTCGTCGGGCTGTCAGTTCGCAGTGCCATTGCAAATTCAATTAATCGAAATGCAGACGGTCCAGGCACACATTAAAAGCTGCTACATAGGACCCCGCAATCGTTTTATAAATTTGTGTGCTCTGCAATTTCGAAGGGTGGCACACGGCCGAACCCGGTTAGGGCTTGCCGGCAGTCAGGAAATTAGAAACGCATGCCACTTGGTGACCAGGACATATAGGATGCTGGAACCCGGAGGGAGGGCAACAATGAAATCCAAAACTCAAATGCAAGGGCAACAGTTGCATTTCCCGGAGGACTCTAAGCGAGATCCAACGCAGGGGCGTTGTCTGTGTTGGCCAACACGTTTGACTGCCATTTCCGTTTATGAATTGCCCCGCCCAAGGGGCCCTTTCAGATACGCCATCTGCTTGGCCCAGAGATGAACTGTTTGGGGTCTCAGTTTTGGAAGTGTGGAATCCAGATCCAGGCTTTTAAAGAGCACTTTGCAGCTTGGCCAAAGTTGAAAGAGTTGAAGACGCTAAAAGATGGAATTCAATTACGCCACCGACTTAGACAAAGGGTGCCGCGCGTTAGGCACTCGTGTAAGTGCATAAAACGAATTTGTTTATGGCCCCGCCCTGCGAGAGGCAAAAGGGCGACAGGACTTAGCGACAAGGAGTAACGCCCCAGACCAAGGACTGCAGCCGACAGCGGCGGCTCTCCACATGTGTCCCGCTTTGGCAGACTGGGGGACTGCCAAAAACATGGAAAAAACGAAATCCCCAATATGTTTATGGCCAAAGTTCAAAGACTTTTGTTTGTCTTTTGATGGGGTGCAAATTGAAATTGAATTTGGCCGGGTTAAACACAAAAATCGCCCCTTCAATGGCGTCTCCCTCACATGCTACTCCACCTCCTCCGCTCTCACATAAAAGGCAAACATTTGCAGGAAGCGCGCCCGAAATATTTCAGCCACATAAATCATAACAATGGCCATATTGTATATGTAAAACTGCATGTAACAACGGCAACTGCAGCTGCATGTCGCCCTCGAAAGAGTGTGTGTGTGTGTGGGGGTGTGTGTGCCCCACCACAAGCAAACAAAAATCAAAATCAAATGCAATATAAATCTGGCCCAAGCACTCGGAGAATTCGCGCCAGATGCTGTGGGCACACACCAGTATTTTTTGTCATTCAGAGATAACCCCGAACCTATGGCCAGAGAATGAGCGATCTCTGATTGTCAAGGATTCTAAGCTGTGGTAAAAAATAGTGGGAATAAAAAATATCTAGGATAACGTATATATCAGATATATGTAAAGCTAAAAAATTGTCTATCTTTTTGGGGTATTTTCTCTAAATTTAACTAGCAGTCTTGAAAATTTCATTTCGAGATTCTTTTATATAACTGAAACCTTACCTTTAAGGCCTTATTTCGAGAAATATTTATCATCTCTTATTGTTATATATATCTTTAATTAATAACTATAGTATAATTATTTAAAATTCTTTGCCATTCCCATTCTTGAGTCGTATAATAATTTCTTATCCCTTAAAACATAGAGTATCACCAATTGGACTTTGTCAAAATCCAACTATAATATTCCCTTACAATTTGTGGAAGCAAACTTTTATTTTTTTTCTTTTTTGTATAAAAAACTTTCCCCCCTCGTTTTGCGCCCCACGCAACTCCAGCAATAAATTGTCAATTTTTGAAATGTTTGCCATGTAGGCGAGGGCAATTTTATGGCCATTTCGGAGCTGATTTAATGCGCTAAGCGAACGGGATTAGCCTGGCTCGTAAATCTGCAGTTAGATGGGGCGTTATGGTGGCAAGCCTGCTGGCATGGCAAGGCATCTCATCCCCGGACAACCGACAACCAACGACCAACAGCAGTCGACACTCGAGGCGGCCTTTTTCATAATTAAGTGGCGCATTGTTGCAGTCCAGAGGAGAGGCAAGGGGGGTGTGACGGATTCCTTGTAGCATCATTAAGACACGTGGGCGGATCATCTTCTTAACAGGCACTTGAACATCACACGACGAGCTGAAAGTGCAATTTGCGTTGACAACATAAACAGCCGTGGGTTAAGGGGGGGGATAAGGGGATTGTCATGCTTTGAATGTAGCAACGCCAGCAACTCGAGTGCAAGGGCACGGCAAATAAAAATTGTACTCAATATTTCACAACTTTAACAATTTTAAAATAAATATAAATAAATATTAAAAGAAGAACATTTACTGTAATCTCAATAAAACCAAATTTACTTATAAAAAAATATATAAAATATATATAAAATATAGTTTTCAAGTCATAGATAATTCCTATAATTTTCCTTTTGCGTGCATCGCCAAGGATAAGCCGCGGGGATGATGCTCAACATGCATAGAGAATGCTGAGACGAGCAGCAACGAGGTTTCCGAACACGCTCTGTTACCCACTTGGCCCGCGGGTCCCAGCCCGGTTTTCTCAGCCGTTTGCCATGGAGGATGAGAGCTCGAGGATGCGGCTGAAGAGCCTGCATACGCTTAGGCACAAGGCCACCTAGAAACTAACCAAGCAGATTTCTTTGCGCCCCAAGCCCACAACGAATGCCATTATAAATGTCGGAAAGTTAAGCAGCAAATGCATGAAAGTCAAGTGGCGGTTTGTTATTTCCCTCGTCCCTTTAGCCGCTCTCCAGGACAATTAGAAGCGCCCGAAAAGGACGCTCTGTCCCTGACTGCTTCATATTTCATAGCGAAATGCAAAAACGGAAACGGAGGGACAGACAGAGGGGATCGCAGCAAAAACTACTACAAGTGGTTAGCAAACAGTGAAACTGTGACAAAACACAGCAAAAGGACATGTGTAAAGGACAGGCAGACTGTCAGTGTAGCCAGGGGGATACAAAAACTGGAACTGAAACAGGAAAAACGATAGCCAAGGGAGGAAACATTAACAACAAGTCATGTCGAGTCCGTCACCGGCATTGTTTCCCCGGACGTGGGGGTTAATTTCTGAGGAAATGGAACCAATATTAAATCAAACTGCAATATTTTGACATATTTTTTAAAGGCTAAGCACATCACTCTTATTATAGTGCTTATTTATTGAAAATTCAAGGCTTTTCAAGGCACTCGATTGTAACTTATGCCTGGAACTGTGGTCAACTCGGGATTTGAAATTTACAGCTATGACAAATAATATTACTTCGGAAGGGTTAGTCTAATGTGGTCCCGCGTCTTCAATTTGGTTGATTGTGTTAAAAACAAATGACGAAACTTCTGAAATGGCTTTCCATGTTCACCTACATGCCTAGCCCACCCATTCCGCCCATTCCTCCCATTCCGCCAAGTCCGCCCAGAGCCGCTCCTGCAGCAGCAGCATCCTCCAGCGGCATCTCTGTGACCACAGCCTCGGCGGTGGTCAGAAGCGAGGCAACACCGGCGGCATCTGTGATGGCGGTGCGCACCACCTTGGTGGGGTCGATGATGCCGCGCTCAATCATATTGCCGAACTCGCCCTTCAGCGCATCGTAGCCGTAGTCGCCGTCCAGGATCTCCACCTTGGCCACAACCATGGCACCGTCAACGCCCGCGTTCTTGGCTATAGTGAGGCAGGGCATGCGCAGGGCCCGTTTTATGATCTCGATTCCCATGTTCTGATCCTCGTTGGAGCCCCGAATGTCGTTCAGCTTCTGGATGCAGCGCAGCAGAGCAGTGCCGCCGCCGGGCACGATGCCCTCCTCCACGGCCGCCCGGGTGGCGTTGAGGGCGTCGTTGACACGGTCCTTTTTCTCGCTCACCTCCACATCGCTGGAACCGCCCACCCGGAGAAGGGCCACGCCCGAGGAGAGATGGGCCAGCCGCTCCTGCATCTTCTCCTTTTCGTAGTTGTTGGTGGACTCCTTGATGGAGTCGCGCAGGTGCTCCACGCGCTTTTCTACGTCCTCCTTCTGGCCATTGCCCTTGAGCAGCATTGTGTCATCCTTGGTGACCACCACTTCGCCCACGCGTCCAAAGTCGCTTAGCTTGATGTCCTCCAGCCGCACCAGGTTGGCCTCGTCGCCAAACACGATGCCGCCGGTGGCTATGGCCATGTCCGACAGTGTATCGTTGCGATTGTCCCCGAAACCGGGCGCCTTCACGGCGCACACCTGCAGGCCAACCTTCAGGCGATTCACCACCATTGTGCTCAGGGCTTCGCCCTCTACATCCTCGGCAATGATGACCAGCGGCTTCCGCTGGGCGTTGGCCAGTTCCAAGGCCGGCACGATGCTCGTCGCCGACTTGATCTTCTTCTGGGAGAAGAGCAGCAGGGCGTCCTGGAACTCGACCTTGGCCCCCTTGGCGACGTTGATAAAGTACGGCGAAATGTAGCCGCGATCGAATTTCATGCCCTCGATCACCTCCAGCTCGTCGCAGAGCGTCTTGCCATCCTTGACGGTGATGACGCCGTCGCGGCCCACCTTCTCGATGGCCTCACTGATCAGGTTGCCAACGGACTTGTCTCCATTCGCCGATATGGTGGCCACCTGGTGGATCTCCTCGGGCGTGCTGACGGGACGCGACATTTTCCGCAGATTTTCCTTGACCGTCTCGATGGCCAGCATGACGCCGCGGCGAATCTCCACGGGATTGGCACCGCGGGAGATCTTCTCGAAGCCCTCCTTGGCGATGGCGCGTGCCAGGACGGTGGCTGTGGTGGTGCCATCGCCGGCCTCCTCGTTTGTGTTGTTGGCCACATCTTGCACCAGCTTGGCCCCGATATTTTGGAATTTATCCTTTAGGGCAATGGACTTTGCCACCGTCACGCCGTCCTTGGTGATCTTAGGCGAGCCCCAGCTCTGCTCGATGATCACGTTACGGCCCTTGGGACCCATGGTGACTGCCACGGCATCGGCTAGGACGTCCACACCCTGGAGCATCATAGCCCGCACCTCGGGCCCGAACTTTACGTCCTTGGCATAGGTGCGCGCCTGCCAAAGGTGACTGCTGATGCGGGCAGTACGCCGCAGACTGGACTTGTAGTTATTGGTAAGAATGCGAATCATGATGATCTAAGGGAGGTAAATTACAATCTGAGGTTGTACACATGCCCTTATGTATACTCACCGGTAAATTTCTTTTAAAGAAAAATTCGTAATCACTGTTGAAGCTCCGGAAGTCAAATGTTAACTGAGAAAAATGCCTTTAGAGAGTCAAAAGGTCTTGAAGTCTCGGACGCATAAAGCCTAGCCCACTTTGTTTTTGATTGGGGGAGAAAATGGGTTTTAAATTAGTTTAAAAACCAGAAATTATTTCTGTAAAAAATGTATATAATATTTACAAGTTTTTAAAATTATTAGTTTAATAAGAAATAAATCCTCCATTTCACCTAATTTATTTGCAGTTGAGAATCGAAATCAAAGGTAGGGAGAGATATACTCAAATAGACCTGCCCTATCCCTTTCGCAATCGAAATCAGCAATCGGAGACAAGGCAAACTTCTCATGGAACTACACCTCCCAATCCCATTCCCAATTCCGCCACCATTTACCTGGGCGACAATTTGTAACCGAAAAGTGAAAACCATTTAAATAGTCGTAAAAATGTGCGACGACAGCGACCGAAATACAATAAAAGCCAAAGTGGAATGGCTTTTCCACTCCTTTTCGCAGCCGCTGCTCCATCCGCTCTTGCCCGCTTTTCACAGCTTTACCCCGCTTTTCCCCCCTCTCCACCGCCTTTTCTCCCGAGAAACATAAGCTCTTCCGCCGGGGTATCGTTCGCTAGTCGCTGTCAGCTGCGCTTACAAGCGCGCGGGCAAATTGAAAACTGTTAAGGCAACGTAAGGCGAGGCGACCAGGACACTAGACATCGAGGACATCGGAGGACGTCAACAAATGGCGGCGCTTGTTCATGAAAATTTAAATTGCAAAATGGGCTCAAATGGGTGGGGCGTTGGCAAAGCACTCGCCCCCCGTTAGCTAATATTTGTGTTTTAATTACCTGGAAAAGTGTCACGACAGTCTTCGTCTGAGCTTGGAGTTGAGTGCAAATTTACTGCCAACCTGTGACAGCAGATGACGCTGGCCAATAATTTCAAGACATCTTGGCCATTTTAGAATTACTTGTAATATTTTAAATAAAAGCTAATGGTTGAGGGAATATTTCCATTGAATTAAAAGGATATACATTTTCAGGTGGCTAAAGCTCTCCCACGTTTCATAAACCCAGAAAGGAATGATTGATCTGAAAGCCTATTGCCTTGGCATAAAATAATCCGGCCAAACTGATGCATCTGATTCAATTACAAGAGCCACCGAAAATGAGCCGGCATTAATATTACAACACAACGCTGACCTATTAAGGCAGCAGCTGGGGAGAGACCGCCTCCGGTTAAGGATCGACTCAGGACTAAGGACTTGGGAGCGCCCACGCATCATTAGGGAAATGGCAACGAAATTAAAGAAAATTAGCAGCTGACTGGAGATGGCAAATGAGGCGCATTTATTTGAATGTAATCCATTATGAAATCGCATAATGAAGAGATTAGCACACGCATACGGGGCGCAATTAATAAATGACCCGGCAAAAGGACAGGAAGGACGAGGGCAAGGGCCAGAAAGGGGCTTCTGTCCGGCCGTTTGCGTGCGAGACTCGCAAGGAAATCCAATAAATTAGGCAAACGGTAATCATTAGTTTCATTCCCGGCAAACATAACATACATATATACAAATATATGACACAGACAAATAAATCAGTTCGAGTTTCAGGCCGCACTTTAGTGATAATTATGCTAAAGGCAGCCCAGTAATGGGACAATAAGTCAGGACACAATTGTGATGGAGCAGCTGGCCGCTTATTAACCCATTGACGCTCGTCTTTTGTATTAACTCTTGCGAACAATGTTCGCCCCAAAAAAGGCTTTGCACTTCATTTAACTTCTCGACTTGGCTTTCCCAGGATCCCGACGTCCAAGGACGTTCCCAGGCGCGGTTTCCCCCCCCTACTCATCGATAATTAACCGCAAAAACTTGGCACGCAACAGGAAAAGAGTAAAAGGGATCGGAAAGGGGCACCGAGCCTAAGCATAAAGGGGTTAATGGCATGGCACAAAGTTTAATTAAAAATACGTGCGGCGGCTGCCCGGCTTTGTTAACTTAAAGTGCGAACCAAAATCTTGCCAAAAGTTGAAAGGAAAATTGTAAGCGGATTTTCCCAGAAGGTTGATTAGTTGATTGCTTGGAAAAAAGGGTAAATTAATATTTATAGATATGGCTTTAAAAGAGGCCATAAAGGGAAAGGATCAAGTGATAATTATAAGGAAATATGTATTAATTATGCGGTTTGAGATTTAAATTAAAGAAATTTCTTAGAATTAATTATAGACCTACAACATGTGAACAAATTTCTTAGAAATAAGTATGGGTTAATCTACAACTTGTGAATAATTTCAATAATAATTTAAGAAAGCTTCTAGTATAATTTAAAAGCAACATATTGCAAGATAATAAGGACAAGCTCTCTATATGCATGCTATTCCTCTGTTATTGCAATTATTTACAAAGGCAAATCTTTAGTGCTCTTCATCACCTACATGGTCTCTGTTTTCGCTCCAGGAATCGCGGTATTTCGAGCTCAGGCCCATATAGGCCGCCTGCAGTTTATGGCTGTAAACGTGGTCAGCACATACCCTCCTCCCGTTCACGCCCCGTTCACTCGTGGCTTTTTGCAGTTGGCTGCACATTTTGATTAGCCGGAGGCACGGCTATGGTTTGGCTTTTCGAGGGGTCTTTAACAATTGCCGCGCTGCGACGAGACACGCGGAGCACCCACCTCCGAAAGCCACTCACCGCCCGCTGTCTGGGCTCGCTCACATGTGCCGGAAGCGCATTATAAAGGGCATTTCCGGTATTTAGGTTAGGTCGCTCGATCCGGGACCGTGCTTGGTATTTATAGTTCGGCGAATTCGGGGAGGTCAGGTGGAAAAGGTCACACTCGCAGCCGGCTAAGGCCTCGCGTGTGTGACGGCTTTCGGCATAAGAAATGAGCTGGGTGAGAGAGAGAGACGGGATTCCAACTTTACTCTTTATTCCCTTCGGCAGGCGAGAGAGGGATGGGGGGAAAAAGTTACCCAATCAAAAATTATGCTGTCTGGGCGAATGAAAAACAAGTTCGGACTTTGAAATGCAGTGCGTTGCGAGGCAATCATAAGCCCGGCAAGACACATCCCCGAAACTTTTGTCCGGGCGAAAAGTTTCGTCTTAACCCAGTCATCGCTTGCTGCCAAATGGCGAAAAAAAAACTTGTTAGGGGGGAAAACGAAGTGGGAACTGTCCAAAAAGTGTTTTAGGTTAAGCGCAAACTTTTGCACACAAACGATTTTTGACGGTCATTTTAATAAATTGAAAACCAGCGGAAGGGATAAAACAGGGGCCCTGGTCCTGGTAGTGGTCCAAAATCGATAGGGCCACCACCCTCCGGACGATTGCAACTTCTGCTCCTTCCTGGCCAACATTGTTTGCGCAGGCTCATAAAATCTGTTTACGGGCTTATAAATAAGCGATGCGATTTGTTTTTCTTATAAAACTTTTGCTTCCTCCTGCCATATCGGCCCTTGAAGCGGCCCATAACTTATGCATGTCAAGGACCTCGGAACTAAACAAATCTCGGATCAGCCAGAATGTCTTCTTCATGGCCAAAAGTTTTTAACATTTTTATTGAGTTTGCTTTGTAATTTAAATTGTTTGTCCCCAACTTGTTGACACGACGGCGAGGGATGCCTAACCAAGTCGGAGCGATGCCGGCATGGCCAAAGGATTCCCTGCTGCCAGATGACAGCATAAACCAATGGCATTTTATCTCTCCCAGTGACTTTCAATCAATCGCATCAGTGTTCATTGTAGCGTCTAACAATTTGTTGTCCGCCTGGTTGCCCACCCACCCACACACATGCATACTCGCCCACTCTGGGGTTCCCATTGAGGCGATGGAATAATCGAAGCTTTAACATATCCGTCAGCGACAGCCACGAAGTGGGCAAGGACGCAGAGTCAAAAAGCTGGAGGGAAACGATATCCATATGTGTGTGGCTGTGTCTGTATGGGGGTTATGATAAAAAGTGCACTCAATACCGAAACCCTTCCCATTTGCCTTGCAACCGTTCAATTTTTGCACAATTGCAAGCATCATAGAGATTCCCTTGCCACGGGGCGTATACGTAATGGAGGTTTAAAGAGGAATGTGTTGCATACTTCTGGGGGAGGTATCGAATTAGGTTTAGCGTAAGGATGGAAATTAAAATGAAAGGTGAACTTATCTACGTATTTTTATAGATAAATTTATAAAATAAAATTTAAGTTTTTATTAATAAGGTGGGATTTTTTAGGACTCATATGAAAGTAAAGATTAAGGAATGGCTACTTGGAAAAGAATTAAATTTTCTAAGTTGCAGAAACAAATTATTATAAAAATAACTTCAAAGCTTTACAACTAAATTAAGTAACAACTAAACCAACACAAGTAACCAACCATCAACCCCTCTCAAGTAAATCCACTCAATGCTTTATTCTTCCACACACAAAAACCCACATATGTAGTACAAACACCAAGTACTTCCCCCTTCCCTGCTCTTTATGCAGATAAAAAATCTCTTTGCAATTGTCTCCTCAGAACAAGTTGTTAGCGCGTATGTGTGTGCAGGGACAATAACAAAATAATTCATTTTGTCACTTGTATCTGCTCGTTATTAAATTGTTTTGCGAGCCACCTCTTACCGCCTGCCGGTTTGCCCTTTGCCCCGCCGCCTCGCCACTTCTTTCGACAGCTTCTGGCTGGCATAAGAAATTTATGCAAATTATAATACGCAAATACACAAGTTATATTCGGAGACACAATAAACAAGGTCTGTGTGCCATGTTGGGTGCGAAACAAAGGAGAAGAGCGCCAGCATTAACTCGGCCTGCACCTAGTGGTTGGTTGGAAGCCTGGAAGCCGGGAGTCCTTTCAGCCTGACATAATTGCGAGAGCTGCACGAGTGCAGGATGCTCTGTGGGTCTATATGTGTGCGCTTTAAGGCAATGTGCTGGGAACGGGCGTGTATGAAGTCGAGAAGTTGTCAGACATAATTGAAACAATTGCAATTGTTGCCGCCGCCTCTTCCGCACTTCTTTCTCGCCTCGGAATTGCATTCTTTTCATTGGCAAAGAGAAAGGCAGGCATGAAATGCCATTCCCTGCCAGCGAGGCTGATAATTATGAAGTACACTGAAGCATTTCAGTATTGTTTACCCCCCCTGAGAGGAAAACGGGGAAAAGCCCAAGGCAGTGGGGTATGGACGAAAATACTGAAAGACTTTTGAGAAAGGGAAGCATAATTGTGGGTAATTATTAATAAACAATTAAAATTAAACGGTGCAGGTAATTTAATATTATAAAAATAGTTTAAATTATATTAAAAATCAAGACTAATTTTATCTGGGAATAATTTTAAGCTTCTATAAATCGAACCTCTTAAAATCTCTACTGATCATCAATTGTTTTCTTTTGCTTAAAAATATAAATAAATATTTAAACTCTGTTCTTATGATATCCCTAAGATACTCCCCCAAATTTCCCCCAGTGTAAGCAGTCGGACATCAGACAACTGGCAACAAGTCCCAGCTCTCTTCGCTAGTCTCCAGCGCCTAAGCCTTTTGCAGCAGTGCTCTTCCTATTCAATAATCCATTGGCTGGCTGCCAAACAGTTGGCAACTCGGAAGCCATTCCGGCGATTATGAATAATTTTCTGCGGCCCTCCTGCTCGCTCTCGGCGAATCGCCATTTTATATATAGTATTTTCAGCTAGTTTTTTGTTGCTGGCGCAATATAAAAATGCATAAATTGAAAATGAAACTTGAACTTTATGGGAGCTAATTGAAGGCTGGCAATTCCAGAAACTGGCGGGTCAGCTCGAATTGATGGATGGCTGAGAGCCGGGGAGACCTATATTTGGGGCCTGAGTATGGGTGTGGAAATAGCCAAATGAAATTTAATTTGACTTTTGGCTGCCATTAAAGGAAAAAGGATCAGCTGAAGCAGAAGGCAGGACCAACAAAAGCAACAGTGAAAAATAGTCTGTGGGTGTTGATTCAATTGCAGTAAATTTTTGCATTGAATGATTTCGGGCACAACAATTTTCGAGGGCAATTTAAATCGCACCCACACACACACACAACGGGCGATGGTGCAATTAACATTGATGGAAGCAATGGCAGGACTCTACAGAGACCGGGGATTGAAAGGGAAGGAGCAGAGCGAGTGGAAGTCAATAAAATGCACAGCAATTGCAAATGTCGAGGCTTCAATCAATGTGTCGATATTCGCCGGGGGAGGCGAAAAGGCCAAATGTTTTCATGGCTGTTTACTTAAAGACTAACCGAGAGTGCAAGAGCAGCTGCAATAATACTTTTTGATTTAAATCAAGCCTTACATAATTACCTTTTATAGATCCTCAGAAGTAGCTATTATCTGCCGCAGAATTACTAATTAAAGATTGTTCACCACACACCGAATAACACCTTGAGTTTTAATCACAATTTGTTTTCTTGACGAAGGAATATAAGTTGATATTTGAGACAAGGTTTACTGGGCAACAAACAAAATTAAAAGTTACAAAAATTCAAGTCACTATAAATTGGAATATTGACGAGTATTGCAGGTGCTTATTTGGGGGTGTTAAAGTCATGAAATGCTATATTTAGCATCTCTATTTCACTTATATAATCTAAGACTAGAGGCAGATTCTCTGATTCTTACCTGAAAGAATGTTACTTACCTTTAGCATAAATTATAAAAGAAAAACCTGTAACGATGGTGTTGGGTTTGAGAACATGTATGCTCCTATAAATAACTCAAATCACGTTCAGTAAATGCTTGCAAAATGCTGCAACAAAAACCGGGTCCTTATTTCCATTCCATTCGCAGCCCTTCTGGCATCCTTTGGAAGTCGATGCAAATCTCTTATTGACAGCACGTTCCGCATGTAGACAGACATTTTGTACACGTTTATCGGGTTCATTTTTACTATTTGGATTTATACGGAATGCGTTGTTGAGCAGGCATTTTTCCAGATAGTATATAGCCCCGGCAGGCATGAGTTTCCATTTAATTGCTTCCATTTAAAAAATAACTTGATCGAAATTGTGGCCACCCAACACACTCGTTTTTTCGCACTCTGTGCTCGCAAAAAACATAATTTTCCTCGATGGCATTTGAACAATTTTACCAGTATTACTTTTATGGATTTCAAACACATTAACCTGGCAATAGAATTGCATTGATTGATTGATCGATTTTCGCCAGAAACTCCTCACATTTTTTCTTACAAGTGCTTCCAGGCCTTTTATGTGGCTTTTATGACGGTTTCGTAATAAACGAATTCTTACCCATGTCATTACAATTAATTTTCATTTATTGTCAGTGATTTCGGAGTGTTTGTGGGCCAGAGTAGGCGTCAACAAATCTGTTCAGGCTTAATGGTAAAATAAATATAAACAAGGGGGGGAAAACAAAAACATATTTACCTAACGACCGAGGGGCTTGGCGTGGCGAGACATTCTGAGTCAGGGATAAGAAGAATTGAATTGAAAATTATATTGTTCAAGGGAGTTTTCAAAGTATATTTCTTAACACAGATTTCTGATCTGATGAAGCATACATATATTACCCCAAGTTGACAATCATGTTGCCCTCAATTTAAACAATCTCTCCTACAAATTAACCAGGTGATTGCCGGTTTGTTTTCGCTACGAGTGTGTATAAGCTTATTTCGCTTTACGGCTTAATGCACTAATTGACACTCACATATGACAAAATATAAATATATAAACTGTCAGCCATGTGTGAGGTGATAAAGTGTGAAACCGAGCACAAGAGGATATTCAGGCGGCAATTCTGCGAATGTTGATATATGAACGTACGACTATATTAAATAACATAACGCAAATATTTGTATTTCATTCAAAAACTAGAATGGTGGAGAGGTTATACAAATACGAGCAATTAGAGTAGGCCATGGATGCAATTGGTAAGCGGTGTGGCATGAAATTCGATTTGTCATTCTCTTTAAAAAAAAAAAGGAAAATTTTTTAAGCCTGCGGAAATCAATGAGTTTCTAGTAGAAAAAGTTAAATATTTTTGGTTAATATATGAAAAGTAAAGGATTAATTCTTGGTCTCTACAAGATGTATAGAATTTATTCTAAAAATCATTGTAAAAATATTAACATTATTTTTAGAACACAATTGATTTCTGTATTGTTGAAAAGTATGAAATAATGGGATATTAAAGCATTTTCTTCGCCTTTAAAATTTAGCAAAGCTAATCTCTATTAATTAGGAACTTTAGAGTTGAAACAACGCAGCCTCTACCTTTTTGTTTTATCCGCAATATCGGCTTTCATAGAATTTCATGATGCAGGCTCATGGCCAGGTACTTTGCTTGTGGCCAGACCCCACATAATGCGTTTCAACTGCAGGCGAGCGCCAAAAACAGCAGCTGAGTCAGAGGTAACCGAGTCAGCAGGGGCTATATCAACCATAGACAGGTATGGTAGATAGAGCACTCCCCCATTAGAGCCCACTCGATGGCTGGCATAATGCTGATGTTGTTGTGCCCATGATGCGAGCTAATGAAAATGACTACCACAGCTGTCTGGCTAATTATGGCCGAGGCTGCAAACAGCAAATCAGAAGGGAAAAACGAACGAACCTAACTTGGGCTCCCATCACTCATACGCCGTGTGGGTTTCACTTACAGATGATCAGACTCTGTCTGTTTGTCTCACAATTGACGAATCTCGAATGTCCGGGCCCAACCGAGAATGAGACTCTTGTTTACCCGGCGGACCCCAGAGCATCGCTCTCTGTGCAATCAGACGGAATATTTCGCGCTCCAAGTCGCCAGCTTTGCGGAAAGTGTTGCCTTAAAGCGGGGCTCCGCTTTCCTTTGTGGCACAAGTGAATGCCTCTATTCAGCCCGCTGCTTTGCATTCCGCCACCCACCGAGCGCCTTGGTGTCCTTATTAAGTTGGCGCCTTGCTGGCAACCGAAACCTGCTTCGGCCGGGCAAACTTTTTAGTATGCCAACCAGAATCTCATACCGCTTTCCATACCCGTTACTTGGTGATAGTTTGAGGGGATATTTAATAAATGGTTAATGTATGCAAGTTTATTAAGTTAATCCAGCAAATATTTTATATTAATATTTTAAGGGTATAACATAAACTTAACTTATTAGTTTTGACTTCAGAAATAAATGGTTTTTGAAAATGCAAATATGTCTGACTTCCTAAAACTTTAAATTCAATTTATAGCATTCCTAAAACATATTTAGAAAGTACTACAAACTGAAAATAATATTTGTTGTGATTATAGTTAAATCTTTCTTCAAAACTCAATGGGTATTTTATGTTCGTGATACCTATAATCGCTTTCTTATTTCTCTTCGTTTGCTCCTATTTTTTTTGGCATCGTCATCATTGCAACTTCATTGTCAAAGTTGGCCAAGACGAAAATCGCGAACGGAGGGCGAACAGAAAACTAAAGGCGGGGCAGGGAAAGTGGAAAACTGCAAAGAAATGCTCAAAAATTGCGTGGTGCAAATATTGAGAAACGACGAGTGGCGAACGTAGAGGCTGCGGCCTGCCAGTTTGGGCGCTAATTATATGTAAATAGCTGGAACAGAACCGCTGCTCAAGGTGCCAGATAATTGGCCCTCATGCCGTTGCAGAGACAGCTGGCAGTTGGAGCGATCGGCAGACTGGCTGCAAAAAGGAAAACTGCAAAATTGTCAGCACGTGACACATTTCACTTTGGCGCCTCCCCAACTGTGCAGCTCAGCTTCCCTGGCATTCAAGGAATTTAAAGACTTCCGTTTCGAATAAGAGCAAATATTTTCGAATACAGCGTTAAGACTCCTCCTGAAATGCTAACGATACAGGCAAGTTTGGTGTCAAAGAAAACCAATTCAGTTGGTTTTTGTTTCTGTTTAAATTTAAATTTAAATTAAGGCAATTCAAAACCCTTTCGTTTGCCAGGATAATTTCTACCCCGAATTGAACTAGTTAGTGTTGCTAGTAGCAGCACGTTTCGGCTTCTCTCTGACACTTAAATTGTATCAAATGCAATGGCAATTAGCTCAAATGCTGTATAAATTCCTGTGCATTTAAGTCATTAGTGAGGAAAAATTTCATTACACTTTGCAGAGTTCGTGAGAACGCAATTCCCTCCGGTCTTCATGCTCCCCAAGGGACGCAATACAGAATGGCATTCAAAAATGTTTCCCCAAAAAAATGCGTAGAAAATGACAAAATAAACGAGTGGGGACTGAAGGAAGACTAGAAGGTTGGAGATTCAGCTCCCCAGGATGCTCTCCACATGAGCGACACGTACGAAACGCATAAACATTCTTGCCTAAGTGAGTTTGTACATAAATTTTGGCCCAACTTGCGTTGCAGGATGCGTTACAAGGAGCCATTGGTGAATGGCTCCAAGCTTGGCCCGAATTGTGGGGGAAGTTATTCAAAAATCCATGGACATGGTAAGTTCGGGTGCTAAGCTGGCTGAGTCTGTTTTTGGGTTTTTTGTTTTATTTATGTAGCCACAGGCAACTGCAGCAGTCGGACTGTTGATGTATGTCCTTCAGCTGGTCTCTCCTGTATTTTCGATCTAGTGGTTGCCTGATTGGCGGTCTTGGCAAAGGAAATTGTTAGGCGGTTAACCAAGTTAATTAAAGGAATTTTAAATAAATTTTAAATCGAAATATGTTTTTTTTAAGGTGGTTTGAAGACATACCGATTAACAGATAACCGTGTCATTCGTACACATTTCAGATGTTTCTTTTAAGCTAAAAGAATTTCTGAATAAATTGTAATTGCTTCTGCCTTTAAATATTAATTTTTATTCTATGTTACTCATCCTTAAATATTATATATAATTTTGTAGATAAATTTTAACAATAAAGAACTTAAAGTAAGAAGGTTTAACAAAATATTTTTCAAACATTTTCCCATAATATTAGTTTAAGCATTTAGTTTTCTTGGAAACTTCCCTAACAAATCTATTTAGGCTTCCAGCAAAACAGCGATTTCTTGGCTGAATGCTGGTCGTTAGAGGAACTGAATTAATAATGAAATCCTGGTTGAATTACTCAACGATTCATGGCGATATCATTGGCTGTTTGCATTATGCAAGCATTGCCGGTCCTTTGAGGTTTGATGGCATTATCCGGACGCCCACTCACACACTTACACACTTACACGGACGCAGCCGAGGACAACGCACACAACCATGCTGGCAAAGAAGCAACTTTAGTAGCATACTTCATGGCGTCGCGGCTTAAGAGAGAGAGCAAGCTTCCAAGAGCGAGCGTTCGCCGAAATCAAAGAGCGGCCAGAAGAGACGCCAGTCCGCATTACTGACCTACATTAAGTAAAAATTTATTTATGCCGGCTGCCAAATTGGTTCCCCAAAGCATTGGCAGCTCCCCTTCCCCCCCTTCGGTGTCCCGGGCCCCTTGACTATGACGGATATGATTGTTGGTTGCTGCTCCCGAATGCCCGCCCGGCTTCCCTGCGCCACTTGTAACTATTACGGCCATTGTGGCTGCTGCTGGCTTTAATAATAATGGTTTGTAATTTGCATAAATAATGTTTGATTTTTGCATTGATGAGAGGCCAGTTCGTTGTGCGTCTGGGGCCATTTTATATGATTGAAAGCTCGAAATTTCGGTTCAATTTGTGCATATAAATCGATAAATTAGCAAACCGATAAATCACACGAGTGGCCGCTGATCAGATCCTTGTTCGGGGTCAGATGCTAGTTCCGATACGTAGCCATTAGTTTGACTTGTTTACCTAACCCGCTGATTTCTTAACTCGCCAAGCCAAGCACTCTGTTAACAGGGCTAACAGAGCTAGCCAGACTCCTGTTGCGCTCTTTCAGGACCTGGCAATTCGCTCTCTTCGCCTTCGGGCCTCGGTCTAGCTCGGCCTTTTGACGAGTCCCTGCCGAACTCCACGAACTCCAAGCCGAAGGCTAGTCGGCCCTCGGCTGCCGATGGCAAGGCGGCGAGGACTTTGTGTAATCAGTGCGTGCTGCTAAGCAAATTAGTTTAGTATGGTTTTAGTGCGCAACGCTGATGGACGCGCCAGCCTGCAGCTCTTAGCCCGTTTTGTGCCGACAATCGTTCGCGTTCGCGAGTGAAGTTCCCCAAGTACCAAGTACCCAAGTTTCCACTTTCCCCAGACAGTAGTGTCTCCGAGATGCCGAGATATAGCGCCCAGCAGCGTACGTAAGCAGGGGAAAACGGCAGAAACGAAATAAATAAATAAGTGCAAGACACAACTGGAGACGCTGGATGCCAACTTCAATTTGGTACTTCATTTTTCACAGCCCGCTTAACGCAAATTGCGCCGGTCCTGGGTCCTTGCTAGGAAGCCACTGGGTCCTGGCATTCCCTTTCACCCTTTCCCTCTGGCAGATTGCATTTTTGGAGGCCCAGTCGAGCGCGGCTCATTAAATGGCCAAAAAAATAATATATATATAGGATATATGTGGGTACCAAAGGACCTTCACAATCACAGCATATTTCCTGGATTGTAGAGCCCAGGCATTGGCATTTATGGAAGAACCCTAGCGGCATTGTGCAGCTGCGGTGTTTCGGGATTTTGCTTTGACTGTCACGCCAATTGAATTAATTAAACCGCGGAATTTAGGATTTAATTTGACATTTAATTATTGCAATTAAAAGTGGCCTGCAGAGAGCAGCCGCAACATGAAAAACAACAACCGAACAGAGCAGATAAAACGACCAGGATTAGAGCCACGCAGGATGAAATGGAATTATGGAAAAATTACGGAAAAAAAGCGAAATTACTTTCACAAGTTCTTGACAACAAAGGGAAATTTGACATTACATTTTCTTTGTGCCAAAAACGATAATTATCGTTATAATTAAAACGATTAAAAACAGCATCAGGCCACACACATGCGAGATTAAAGCTAGCATTGGGAAAATATAATCATTATGTTAATGTATTTAAACTATATTTGGGTTTTGAGATCTACAAATTAAATATTAAAAATCTTTTTTTTTAAGGAATTTATTTATATTGTTGCTGTTTACTTTTTTATGATGGTTAAATGGTTATGTTTGAAGATAGGGTATCGGTTTTGAAGTTGACAAGAGTCTTTTCTTTGAAAATATCTCAGATATTTAAGCCAAAAGAAACCTTTTATTTACTGGTTACATTTCGTACCTGAGGCCTCCGAAATGGATCCTAACAGAGGAGCATTCATAAACTTCATGAAGCGAATCCAAAATTGTATTAGCATTTTAAATCATTTTTTAGAAACTACAAATTTGTTTCAATAATATTTTTATAAATGACTAGTTTATATACACTTTTATTAACCAATATTTTAAATATTTAATGACATTAAATGTCAATTTATTTTACTGTGGAATTTCCTGTATTTAGTTAATAGACTTGGTCAGTAAATTTATTCAATTGGCTATAGAAACTTAGCATTGATCGATAATAGTCTTCCGATATTATTTATTATTTTTCTCAAAACACATAACAAACCAATATTAATCAAAACATTTCCCTACCTAAAACATTTTATAAATAGAGCTTCAATTCTTTGCACTTTTCAGTAATTATTCACTAACGACGCAGCTTAAGCAGCACACTTTCTGACAATATTTGCCCTGTTACATTTTGTTTATGATGGAAAACAGAGCAAAGCCTCAAATAACTGAATTATTCGGACCCACATCAAGTGTCAGACAAGCTGAGAGAATGAAATAAAATTTGGCTTTGTTGTTACTACCACTTGCTAAAGCGCTGTTGGCCAGTCCTAATGAATAGCTGGGCGAGAGGGGGTGGAGCTTTGGTGGAAAACTATCAAATAAAACGGGTAGCCGACCACACAATTACACGCAATATTTTCGCACATGCACACCCCAAACGAATTTCCTATAAACAACGGGAACACGAAATTTGTACCCTGAACGAGCGTATGGGAAATATACGATAGAAAGAGAACACTGAAAAAAGTATAGACTGTTATTACAAAATTCAGACAATATTTAGTACATTTTAATCAAAGCTTGTTAATAAATAAAAGTAATTTAAGAAACTTATATAACTTCATATAAAAAGTTCTAGTTTTGACAAGGATATTGTTCAATATAATTTGCTTTTTTTGAGTGTAGTGGCATGCCTTCCAATAAGCGACATAAAATATGCGCCACCATATAAACACACACACACACACGGTAGCTAAAACATACACACACACACGGTACACCGCGGTGCAGCGGCCGCAGTGTGAGTGTGCGGGAAATATTTTATGCACTTTATGCGGCTTGGACGTTGCTTGCTGCCGGGTATCGCTAATTAGGCAATATGCACTTGATTGTGTTATAATCATTAAAACCGGAAATGCATGGCCAACCCATACAACACAAACGAGCTACAACAAGCTCCATGCATACATATGTATGCTGTCAGCTGGCAGCGTACATTCCTCTACATAACTCTTGGACGAGGCGAAAAATATTTCAACAGAGTTTTGCATTTCTATCTCATAACAAGGGGCAAAGGTTTGATATGAGAATCGAAGAGAAATGTACCTGTAGACGAGAGTTGTGGAAGTAGTAGAAAATGCATATTATAAAAGGTTAAAGTTTAAAAATCAATACTTAACACATTGATTTTTCTATTTATTTTGATTTAGATTTAACCCCTAAAAAAACTGCAGTTTTGGTTAAGGAATGAATAACTAATATCACCTATTAAAGGCCTTATAAAGCTTAAAAATGTACGTCGAAATCAGGGATAAAAATATTGTATTTTATATATCTGAACTTAAAGAAAATTCCTTACAAATCAAATGCTATTTCCTGGTCATTCCATATAGCCCAAATAATGCTTATCAACTCCCAAAATGTACAAGAATGTGTAACCTTCCCCAATATACATTCCAACAGGGTATAGAAACAAAACACACAAGTGCTATTGAGATGATTTGCTTAAATTTACCTCGTTGGGAGCGTTCAAGAGGGAAGAGAGCAAGCCAGCCTGTAGATTTTGCAAATATTAATTGCATTTTCGAAAAACTCTTTAAAGACCCGATCTGAAAATCTGAAATTCTGCTGCAGCTCTCTGCGACCCAACGAGAGTCACATCAATGGCCAGGAAACGGAAGTGGGGGAAAGCAAACACGTGTCGGAAAAATGGCTGCTTGCAACAATGTTGACACACACACATACACATACATACACAGACATAAACACACATACACTTATAGCAAGCCCGCATTGCATATGTAAAGCTGCTTGTAAGCTGGCCAATTTTTTATGCATTTATGCATTTTCATCCGCGCTGCAGCAGCAGCAGCAGCATCTCCTCGCCTCTCCCCCATGCAGTGCCCGCTTTTTATTAAAGTTTCCCGTTAAGAAAAGCAGAGGAACGCCGCAACAATCGGCCACGCCCCCCAGGCCCCAGCAGCTGCCCATGCCCGAACGCCTTTTTGTAGGTTAATCAAATGCAAGGCGAAAAAAATACACACTTTGAGGGAAATGCAACTGCTGGTGCTGCTGCAGCTGCGGTGGCTGTGCAGTGCTCCTTCTGCTGGCTAGTTAGTGTGAGCGGGCGTTGGAGCAAACATTTTCCCATCTTTTTATATACGCATTTCGCCTGGCTTGTTATATTAAAAGAAACGAAAGACAAGGCGGAGAAAGGCGAGGAGCAGCCCCTGGCAACTGACAGCCGAGATGGACGGGGCTGTGATTTGATTTTTATTCCGAGCGATGCACAGCAGCAGCACTGGACAGATGAGTTATGGCGAAAGCTGTAAATGCACGTTGTGGCCGGGGCTCAAATTAATTAGATTGGCCAGAGATGGAGACAAATGTCGGGACAGCTAAGACATGGTACCAAAAATTAATACCAAACAGAAGGGGGAGTGGCATTTGGCACTTACTTAGGGTATATTTTTATGTTATTTCAAAGATATAACATTTTTAGAAAATATTTTATACTTTTTCTATTACTTAATAAATTTTTTTATAATTATTTTACTAAAATATTAAATTTACTTTTCATAATAAAGGATAGATTAGTAATTAGGGGTTGAATTTCATATATAAAGTGTGACTTCCACATTAAAACCAACTAACTATTCCCAAAAAAGAATAATAAAAAATATTCCATCCTAAAATAATTATGACTTTATGTAAATAAACTAAAGAATAATCAATAAACTTCTCACTTTGATCAAGGTGCTATATAAAAAGGTGCAAACGGAAACAAAATTAAATCAACCAGGGGACACAAAACTGTTCCTGGCGATAGAAGTACAGCTCGTTCAATTTAATGCCACGTCCTGCATATTATCAGCGACAGCTACCGAGCTCCAAGGAGTTCCCAGGATGCCAGACAGTTCAGGTGACATAAACAAGCCCTTTATTTGGCATTCTGCTGCAGTTTCTGACACGCGAAAGTAGCAAATCGCTTGCACAAAAAGAATAAGGAATGAAAACGGCTAGGAATGCGGCTAAGAGCAAAATACACAAAAACCGAGCAAGAATGTCATATGGGATTGAACCGACTAAGAGATACCTACCACTGAATAAAGAGTTTTCTTTGCAAAAATAAAGTAAAAGCAATCTAAAAATACATGGAACCTGGGGCTTTATATAGTTTACCCTCTTCTCAAACTCTACCATGAACACAATATCCTCGCCCAGGTGTAGAGCGAAATCGCGTGAGAAATATGAAGGCAGACAGAACGGGGGATATGGCAAATGTATATACATACTTTATATAGGTAAAATAATACAGGGACCCGAGGGAGATATCATTTGTTATTTCATTTCCGAGACACGCCAGAGCAAAAAGCCGGAGAATGCAGGAATGCCGGGGATTAGCAACTGTCATTGACAGTTGGAAATCATAGACGCCATTTAGCTGGCTGCAAATCGCTGGCCGCATTTCGTTGTTTGTCATTTAACGATTGACAGCTGGCGATAACGGAGCACGGAAACCCAGCCAAGACAATGGCGGGCAGGCAAACACAATAAACGTAGCCAAAGAGACGCCTCCCAGCCAGTCATCCAATAGAAATGTTAATGACGCAGCTCCGGGAAGGTGTCAACCGGCTTCGGCATGGAGTTTCGGCCAAGATTGCCAAGTTGGCCGGCCATCGGCATGGGCTTTTCGTGTCCTTTTACATTTTCTCCGCTCCACTCCGGCTATTTATCATTATGACGTTGTTTGACTTGGCCGGACTGATTTGCCCAGGGAGCGGCAGATGGGTCTCCGGGTCTCTAAGCTGTTAATCAAAGATAGCCCACCGATGGATGGAACAATGGGGACGTAATGCGATGCCAAATCTCTTCTTGAGTGCATTCACTTGGGACTGGGACTGTGGGGGATATCACTCATAATTTGGTTGGGCAACGAGTGCAATATGCTTTATCTTTTTAATTGTGTGTCTGAAAGCGTTTATATAGTGTTCTTTCTTTTAATTAGAATCATTTTGTTTTGTTTTTTTGTAAGATATTTTTGATCCCAACGTAAGGATTCTCTTGCTCTTTAACTTTTTTTTTTGTAATCAACTTAAACGATAACAATTCCTAGAAAAATATATATCCACCTCTATGGAATATGTCACAAATTCAATCATATATACAGCGAATTCAACGAACAGACTGTCTGTAGGTGTGCCACGCCCACCACTCGCTCTGGTTTTCAGTCAATTACGCCCATAAATGTCAGGTCAACCCGCTGCTACTGGCCACGCCACCTGTCAACCCGGCACCTTTGACCCGCTACACGCCAGCCGGTTAAGCCAATTTATTAAATACAAAACCATTTGTCACATTTCATTCAAGTTTTCAGCACAGCTCGCGTTATCGCGTTTATGCGGGCCGTTCCCCTTGCTCGGCTTTTTGTGCGTCCGCTATCTTTACGATTGTGCCAGGACAGAATCCCGCCGAAAAAAAGGCCACAAATGGCCAGAGGCCACACAAAGGTGACAAAGCCCCCAGACAAAAGAATAACAATAACAGAAGTCAGTCTGGGATTATTCTCCATTAATTTCCACCTGGTCAACCGATAATAAAACGGGCAAGCGATGATCCACGGCGGCCATAAGGCACAGATAATACTCGTGGCGGCAATATTAATAACAGAAATGGGCGACCCTTTTCAGGGCGACGAAATCATTGCCCGGGATCTGACCGCAATTAGTTGATTGCCAGGCACTCAATTCCTTCAAAGATGGAAAGTGCTTTCAATTTCATAAGCGACCCGAGTTGGGAGGACCTCTCCCCAGGAACTCGGTATCTGTCTCTGGCTATCTCGGGCACTCACTATAAGCCACACTCGACGGGAAATTAAACTTGTCCAAAAGTTTAAATGCCTTTCTGCCGCTTTCCGTTGCGCTGCGCTTGACTTTTGTTTTCAAGTTTCCTCGGATTCCCCGTTGGCCTGACCGAGTCCTAGATGCTGCCACCCCGAGTCTGAGTTTTCTAATTTGCCCGCTTCCAGCAATTAAAGAAAGCTCCGGCCTGAGCATACAAAATGATACATATAGTTTATAGTATTTATATATATATATATAGTGGAGAGCAAAATGTGTAACTGAAAGCGACTTGCGGCTACACAAAATGTTGCATGCTGCTTATGGCGCAAATGAAGCATGTCAAGTTACCCATACGCCCCGTTGGCCCGCCTCAATTGGAACTGAAGGAGCGCTTGCCTGACTCGAGTGGCTCTTACATTTCTGCGACCCTGAATCTGTGGTTAAAATATTAAATGCTATGCTTCAATTTCCCTCGAATATTCAATTCCAAACTGTTTTCTTTAAACATTTACATTTATTTAACAAAAAAATATAATATATCCCTCCCGCGATCGTTAAGTTTTACGTTCGTTTTTCAGCACAATTTGCAAACTGTTAACAGTTTTTTGCATCCTGCTTAATATGCAATCGTGCATAATGCATCAACGCATATATTGTGGCAACAGGGGAGTTCAAGGGGCAGTGTATGTGCATAAATAATGGGATGATATTTAATAATGCAATGATGAAAACTTACTGCAGTGCCTGGTGAGGGGGGGTTGGGCCATGCAGGAACCGGCAATAATAAATGCGTTAAAAAATTAAAAGCATGCCATTCACTTATGATATATATTTTACATACATATATTCATGAATATTCCTTTTCCTCTTTACAGTGGGCCACATCCGCAGTAGAGTCGTGTTCGGGCCCTGTGCCTCCAGTGATGCCATGGAAAACTTCTTCAATTTCCCGGCAAAGAGCCGAGCAAATTGAAGCGCATAAATATTTGAGTTTGAGCATTACTGCGAATCGAAAGTGAAGTCTAAGGACTTCAAGTGAGAGATCCTGACAACAGCAGCCAAGTGCCGGGACCAGCCGGAGTGTAAACAATTACGCAAACGGACAGCCCGAAACAGGAATAGCCCAGTCAAAACGTTAGGAAACAAAAAAATGAAAATTAAAATGAAAATATTTCCGCTGGCAGCGGAAGCAGCGACGAGCCGCGGCTCTGCCCAGATGCAGCGGAAACGCCGAATGCCGGAAATATCCTCGCGGCTAATTGTTGCCGCCGCCGCTGTCGCCTCGCTCCTCTGCCTCTCCCGCTCGCTCTCGATCTCCGTGTGTGCCGCCCAGGAGAGCGACGACGAAGGCGACCTGCACCACCTGGAGCAGATGCACCACCTGGACCAGCACCCGGACTTTATAATCGGCGAGTCCGAGGAGCGCGATCACATTGCACATCATTTGGGTGAGTTGGGTTTTGAGTTAAGGTCATGAAGGGTTAATAACAAGGATTATATCTTCTTTCTTAATTTGACTTTTGGAAAAAAAGAAGTTTTTAAAGGCTTTGTTCCACTTTAAACTATAATTTTCTGTGTGGCTCCTCAAGGGTCAAGTGACTTATCCAGGCTACCGGCCAAACAGATTTATCATCTTCGCTTTTTCCTCCAGTGCCCCGGATCGGCCAGTGTAATCGAACTGGGCTTTAACACGCTCTATTTGCTTTGGGTGCCTGTGTGCCGGTCACAAGGTCGACTTTGGCGCCTTTGCCAAGTGCTAACAAAAAGTTTTGAGTGGCTTGAACTCTGCACCCACGCCGGGGCTATCTGGATGTCATTTCAAGTGAATTATGTGACTGGCAGTCTGACCGGATCCAAAAAACAGCTTGGCTCATTGGGCACACATGGCGAAGGGAGAAGGGCGGAGGGCGAAGGGGGAGTGATGGCCGGCAGCACGTGCTTGGTTAGCTTTAGTGGCTGTTTAAGTTGTCATTGTCCGCACAGAGCCCACAGCATAATTAAGGGACGCACATGGCGTATGCGTATTGTGGCTTACTCCCGCCTACATCCTCTCGCTGTCGCTGTCTGTGGCTCTTCCTCTACCCACACACACACAAGTGACCACTTAAGTTTTCTTTGTCTATGACTTGTGGGCAACAAGCTGCCTCCTGTGGCACGGCCTGCCTCGTCCTGCGGCTCCTTCTGCTCCGGCGGCTCAACAAGTGGACAAACGTTGACATTGCACACAATGTTGGGGTCCCTGAAAATATATATTCTCCTCGCTCGCATGTGTGTGCTCTTCTTTCTGCCTGTGTGGGTATCTACTTATGACAAAAAGTGATTGACATTGTGATTGATGGCACTTTGGGTCGTCAGTTCCTGGGTTTATGACTTGACACGATGACCAACTATTCCGTTGTGAGCCATGAATTTTTCTGAAAAGGGTTTTCAAGTGAAATGTTTCCCTCACACTGAAGGGGATTTGCATGCGAATTTTGGTTTGCAGCTGCAGCTTAATAATTGGGAAAGGACTCTTTTGGGGGATTTATAAGGTTTTCGGTGGACACAACAGTCAGCAATTCACAAGGACTTTCACCTTTGACACATAGTTGCAGGCTTTAATTGCTGGTATTGTTGAAGAGTAGCTTTATCCTGTAAAAAGTTGATGAAATTCAAGTTGAAATATTTATAAAGTATGAACTAAATTAATAGATCCAATAGTTATCCTTTCAATCAACAATTTCAGTGTTTGAATATCTCTTCACCAACTTAATTTACACCCTTTTACCTAATTCACTTTCAATATGTGTGTTATTCAAGGGACTAGAGTCAGTTTTGATTCCGCTTTTGTCAAATTTAATTTCCCTGTATGGCTTTGCGCAATAGTTTTTCCAGTGGCTCGCTGCATTTCCACGTTTTCCCTTCGTATATCCGTTGGCTTTTTTTAGCTGCCGTTGCTGCTGATGTGCCGGCAATTGTTTGACAATTTTTCAACAATTTCCCCCTGGACGGCAACAAAAAAAAAAAAGACTCCCCTCCGCCGCCCTTCCTTGTCAATTCCCTTTTATTCGCAGCCATTTCCTTGTTGTACATTTTTTTTTTTGTTTTTCGTTTTTTTAATGCCGGTGTGTGTTTGTGTGTTAGCTTTTTTCACACGCTTTCGCGCTGCATCTAAAAGTATGCAGGACATTTTACGCCGAGCGTGGGTTGCTGGCAGCGGAGGCGGTGGCATTGGCATGGGCGTGGCTCTGGCAAGGGGGAAGCAGAACAATCACGGGGGCTACTGGCCTTTGAGGCTGTGTGTGTGTGTATGCCACTGTTTATTTTCCTTTAGCTTTTGTAATTTCTATTTTATTTGGTCCCACTCTTGTTTTCCTTTCCCGCTCGCCATTTGCCGTTGCGCTTTTCCGCTGTTGCCTCCTGGCGAGTGCTTGTTTAAGCTTCATTTTTCATGTTACGCTTCTGGCCGCTTTTGAAGTTGCCTTTGTAGTGTAGGTAGCCCAGTCCAGGACCCCACCTGATCTCCTGCGAGTGCCCAGTCAAATTTAATTTGCCGAATGTTGATCCTGGCACAGGGACTGGGAATTGGGGACTGGGCTAACTCCCGCGGGAGGCAACCTGTCTTGCCGGATATCAAATATGCCGCACAACTCAATTAGCCAAAAGTTTCCGCGGCCCGAAATGAATACGCAAATGGAGGCGGAAGAACAAAGAGCAACACCTGCGGAGAACTTTCGAGTGCAGAGGCAGAGATTTCATTAGGACTTTAATTTATTCAGCTGAATCAAATCAAAACATATAGCATAAACCTGCATAAGTTTATAAACAAAGTGCTAGGCATATGTGTATGCGTATTTGTTCATATATTTTTTAAAGGAATATAGGTCAGAAATTATAAAACTTTATGTATTTCATTAGCTAGTCTTTGAATCACTCACAACTTTTAGAGTGCTAGAGTTTTTCCAGGAAAATATAAATATTTTTTCATTCATATAATTGAGACTTTATAAAATCCTTTAAAATACATTATTATCCATTTATCCATTCAAAAAAAAACTTGCAACATTTTCTCCAGTGTTCCAACTCAAGGTCTTCCTTTTCGCCTTGGCGTTCATCTTTCCATTGCCAGAGGAAATGCATGAAAGTTGCAACAAAGTAAGAGATCTGCTTTTCCGCTGTCGGGAATGGAAGCCATATCACGTTCGCAGCTTCGCCAAGTTTTATCATCACTTTAAAGCGATGTGATGCGCCGCCAAAGTTGGCTTAGAAACTTGGCCAGCAAGAGATTGATGGCCGGCCCTTGAAGGTGTTGCTTACAGATATAAGGCACATCTGAGTCTTAGTCAAAGATAAGTTAGAGATGGCAACAAGATTGATATATTAAAAACGTTTAGAAATTTCAAATTGACATTCAATATCGATTTTACCGAATAAAAGCAATTTTAAAACTAATAAAGTCCAGCAGATTACAACTCGAAACCTGTGATTTTTGAATATTAATAAATTGTTTTCTTGATAAATTATATTAAGTAAATTTCCAGCCCTCAAGCAACCCTCGAGGCCTGTGTAAATTCACCTAATTGGAATCATTAGCCGGGCCAAAGCAAACACTTACAAACACTTTGGAATCATAGACAAATTTGCGCAAATTTGGGGCAGTTGTTGACACCTCCCCAAATGATAATCCGGCGATTCTCTTTCCCGGCTTCCTGCTCCGTCGTCTGGCAGGCCAATAAATCATCTGGGCCGGCGGCCAGGACTTGGCTTAGATGCGTTAAGAAAATCAACAGAGCCCTGTCTGTCTGTGGCAGCAGGTGCTCCTCTTCCCAGCGATGGTAGCGTCTATGTATTGAAATTCCTTAAGCCTTCGGCGGAGAGCCTTACGTACGGCTGTGCGTGAGGATGTTTGAGCTTGGCCCGCGTTTTTGTTGCATAATTTTCGGCGCTCTGGCAAAATATATATTTTCATTTGTTTGCCCTTGTTTTTGCCGTTTTGTTTTGGCTACGCCTTCGCCGTGTTTGAGCTGCTCCACCATCTCGTGTTACCACTGGTGCTGCGCCTGCTTCCTGTAACTGTTGGGTCCCCTTCCGGTTCCGCTGCCTGCTCCTGGTAGCTTGTAGCTGTCTCATTGTCTGCCAGCGACAATGTTCGGATGGGAAATTTAAGGCATATTTCTTGGCGCTGTGCCGCAGGAAAAATGGCATAATAAATAAATCTACTTTGAATTAGCGCCATTTACTTTACATTTATTCTCCGCCGCCATGCAATTTATAGCGCTCAACGTACTCCTACCCGACCTTCTACGCCCGTTTCTTTTTTTTTTTTTTTTTGTGTTTTTTACTTAAAGATTTCGAAGCGTTTGTTGTTTCTGTCGTTTCAATTTGGCGGCGCGTGCTTTTTGGCTAATGAAGTTTTGAGGTTAGGCGGCAGGCAAAATGGTAGCTGCCCTCTAGGTGTGCAGCTAAGTGGACATAAAATGGAAGGTCGCTTTAAAATTAAATTTGAGAAATTGTATATGAAATCTAGAATTACTCATTTAGTACTAAGAGTACATTAAAGTAGGTTTAACAGTGTATTCTGGGTTATTATTCTGTATTTTGTTTCTATTTTCGAGATTGCTAGATTTATATTTTCAATTTTTGGCTAAAGCTTATGGCATTAGAATAGCACATATGATTTTATTCTTATATAAATTTGTTATAATTTATATTGCAAATTATTTAGAGAGATAAATCATTCAACTATCAACTAGTTCTACATTAAATACCTAATTTTTTTTAAATGGATTCTCTCCTTTATATAGAGGCAGATTTGAAAGCAATCTATGTAATATCTTCCTCTTAGATAAGTTCAAAAAGACTCTAACGAATAACACCAATGCCCATATTTTAAAACAATTAACTAAAACCCTTTCTTGCCTAGACGTTGATGGTGTAACTAAGAGTGGCAGCCACGCTGTCGGCTCGAGTCGTGAATCCTTATCGGGATCCGTCCAACTGGGCTGCTGCTGCTGCCCCCGTCTCGTGCAACTCAATTGCCACAGAGTTGCTGGGAATCTCGAAATGTTCATCACAATCCCCGGCATCCGGGCTGCCCTGCTCCATCCTTCATTAAGTCTAGCTGCGAATCTTTCACGGTCACGTCGTATTGCCTGCAAATCACGTCATGCTAAGCACAAAAAGAGCAACAGCGATGGGGCCAAAAAGGCAAACTTTTTGGGTAGCAACTTTCACAACTCTTTGCTTTCGTTTCGTTTTTTGTGTGCGCGCCGTCTCCAGCGAAGGCACGTAGCAGTATACTGGCAACATTTGTTGGCCCGCTCGATGCGTTTTCCATGTCTGCACATGGGCCAGAAACCGCAAGGATAGGGGATATGGGTAGGGGAAATGGGAAGTGACAGGCGCCTGCAAGTATGCAACACAAAATATTACAAACAGCAGCCAGACCAAGAAACTTGTTCGCCAGCAGTTGATGTTTGCTGGCGTCTCCTCCTCCTCGGAACAATTCTCCCAATCTACATAGGAGAAATCGAATTTATTGCATACTTTTGTGCCACAAAATGTATTTGCATTGCCAGCCAGCTGCGACAGTTGTGGGAAAAGTCGGTCCCAGGAATAGACTCCTTCCTTCTGTCTGCCCCGTTAGCATGTGCCAGCGTTTATTAAAATGCAAACGGCTACGACTTCGACTTGTAGCAGTCGCAACACGAAAATTAATTGAAAATTCGCAGCCCCTTTTGCTCGGGAATCCATTTGCTTTATTGACTCGTCTGTCTGCACGCACGGAGACACACGCGTTCAAGGTCTCTCCGGTTATAGATGACTTTATTTTATGCGGCTGGCGGAGTACCATAAGTACGGCTAAGTGTGCCAAGGTGCCAAGGTGCCGGCCCAAATGGAAATGAAAATCGATAAAGAAATAGTGGGCATACAGAAAATAGAATGATCTCTTTCTGCTACAAAAACCCGAAGCTCTTTAATCAATTTAAGCCTTCACCGATATTTGTGTGTAGATATTTTGGGAATTGCATATTATTTCGACAAAATTCTCATGCAAATTTGCAAACGAAATTCTCAGTTAATTAAGTTATTCGCTTTCGATTTACCGGCTATATTTACATTAGCCACATTTCCCGCCGGCTTCTATACACACACACACACACACACACTAAACGCGGAGCTCATAAACGTAAATCTATTTACCCATTTGGCAGCATTTGCTAAATATTTTATGATGCGTGCCTGGAAATGCATTTTACCTGTTACCCAAGGGAATCGAAACCGTTTCTCTCTCTCGACCCCGAATAATCGATTCCGGCTGCTTCACAAAAGTCAAATTGCAACTTCATTTTGTGGTTGCGAAAATTACAAGCTGCTCTCAACCAACCCGAAAGCAGCCCCCAGAATATTGGAAAAATGCAAGAAGGAAGGAAGGCAGCTTTCTGGGCGTGTTGGGTGCGGTTTTTGGGGTTTCTGCGCTTGCCAATTTCAGGGGGAACAAGAACGAATGGGGGGAGTATCTGTTTATATTCCTCACCCACTCCTTGCCACAAATTGAATTTGCTTTAAGGATAACCAAGCCAATATTAACTGCCTCTCTAAATGTTCACTTTCTCGGTTCTCCTCCTCCGACTTCTCCATCCTCCATCTCCATCATGCGGTGCTGGCACTGGATCAACACTTTTCACGGCTCGACGGCACTTGGAATGAAATCTCGCAGCGGAAATGCAAAATAAGGATGAGCTACTTGAGGACATACGCGAGGATACGGTCGTCAATGCGATACCCGAGAAAGGTAAGTCGCTGTTATTCCACCTCATCCGCCACCCCTTGAATTTCCATATATGTTCTGTATAGTACACGGGAAGGGAGAGCAAGTCTGCAGAAAGTTTTGAAACCCCTCCGATGGGGTACATGCAGCGTGCGATTAGCTTGGAATGAAAACTAAGAGGATAAAGTGTGGCTTTTAGGTGCCTCATTTGTTACAAGTTCATTGATAAAGACTTTACTTTGTTCTGAATTCGGAGTGGTATTATATTTGCTATTGATTATGATTCTAAAGGGAAGGGAAAGCTTATTACTCTGTGCATTTATTTAAATATTATTTACCTAACGAGGCAACATTTAAATTATCAAATTATTTCCTGTTAATGGTCAATAGAAATATTATTTTCACCCACTTTCATGTTTCCACAACAGTAATTAATCGGTTTCAGGCAATTTACAACGAATAAAGGGAATATTCCAGCAACGTTTCAATATCCAAAATAGCTAAATTAATAGCAAACATGCAAGTAAATAGACCGAATAATAATTATTCATGGAATGGTTTAATAATTATTTTGTTCCCTCTTGAACTTATTACAAAGTGCTTAGAACAAAATTAATTAGTAATGTAACCATCAGCCATCTTTGATATAAATTCTATAATTTACTAAGGAGCCTGCTCATTGATTTTCTAATTATGAGTATTAAGAGTATTTAATTGTCAGCCATCAGAGTCCACCTGAGCCTGCAGTCGCAACGTTTTTATATCGTTTTACTTATCCCCAGTGTCGTCACGTGCTCATTTCTTGTCTGCCAGCTACCCCGCCCTTGTCCCTGCCCCCAAACGGCCCCATTAACTCAGTTTTCCTCTCCCAGCTCCCTCCCGCTTTCCCCGGCCTTGCCAGGGCCCCGAGTGCCTCTGAATGCGAGTTGCTTTAGCTCTTGTCGCAGTCTTTTTTCTCGCTTTTAAATTTTATTTATTGTAAATTGTATTTGAAACGTGCTGAGGTTCAGTTCCCTCTGCAGACAAATGCTAAGCTTGCCCTTGGCATGGATATGGGATACTGGATACTGGAAACTGTGTATGGGAGCAGGATATGGGAGAAAGTGAGGCGAGTGTGCGTATCTCTGAGTGTGTCGTGCAACTTAATAGAGTTGTTTAGCATTTAAATAGCACCATTTGCCTGTTGTTGCTGCCTCTGGATGTTGTCGTTGCGCTTATTAAGTTGGAATGCCAGTCAAGACGACTCGACTTAATAAAGTTGGCTTAAAGCAGCGGAAGGAGACGGCAAAATTGCGCCTAGTGAGCTTGAGAAAGTGGCCCATTAGGCACTGCCGACTGGGCTAAGTCAAAGTGGTTTATAATATCAAATGGCTTACTTGCCTATGCATGAGTGAGGAGCATTCAAAATGCATCTGGTACCCAGGCACTCCAAGGTACACAAACAGAAATATATACTAATATTATATATTAACAGGAAAAGTAAGGCTAACTGATATTAGTCTTGCATTTAAAATATTCCTTTAGACCGTTTGAAATACACATTAATCTATACAAGGCTCTATTTAAGCTCTTTTAAATTTAGTTTGAAATAAATGTTAAATTCCAATTTGATCCTTTACTTGAAACTACAAGTTCTTTTGAAATTAATATAAATTTTGTTTCTGTGCAAACAGTAACTCAGGTTCAGTTGCGGAGTTTCCCTATGGCTGGGCTTTTCTTCTCAACCACTAAGCCCCTCTCCAAAGTACAGCCGCTATACGGCGATTTGCAATTTCTTTCGTTACATCATAAACATTATGTTAAGCACTTGGGCTCTCCCACAAGGCCTGCGGCATATATCCACTTCAGACACAAAGCATATGCACATTAAATCCTAATTTCATATGCCCATAAATCCACTAAACAATCACACTTTCAATCCCGAGGACGAAGCGAAAAATGTGTAACAAATTTTCACATATTCACATATATTCACACACGACCACCTCGTCGAAAGTATGCCATAAAAGCACTCGCACACACGCACCACCCAGGTCCTTGTCCTCGTCCTTATTGTATGGATGTATCAATAAGCGAAGGCAAATCAAATGAGTTGGCAAAAGGCGGCAGACGATGACGAAACAGTTTGCGAGTCGAAGTAAGGACAGCCTGTTTCGGCATTGATGCCAGCCAGGACTGTGTAATCGAGCTTATTAATGGGGGGAATCCTTAGGGGAAGTCCTCTGTTCCGAGCCATAGCTACTTGGGTCTTCTATTATGGGGCTCGGTTGAGAAACCTCAGGCTTAAAGGCCCTTAGGTACCCTTCAGATGCTAGATCACGTTGCTAGCAAGTGCAGTTTCAATTGGCCTGATTAATACCTATATTTTGGTAATTTTACCTCAAAAGCTAACTAATTTACTAACTAATTCTGTTAGTGTGGCTTGCCAACTGGGTAATCAATTGGTTTCAGAGATATGATGTTGTTTAGTTTAGAAAAAATATACTATATGCTTAGATACCTTTTTGTTTACATAAACAATTAAGTCCAACATATAACTCCCTCAACTGTAACCATCCCAAGTTGGCAATTACCCGCCAAAAGCCAGGGTATCGTTGACAACTCAAAACGTGATGTTTAGGAAAAGATTTGGCGACAATCATGGACACACACACAACAACGCCAGGCAGAAAGTTGCCCCAGCTCACCATGTTGGGCGCATTTTCTCCGCCGCAATTGAGATTTACGGCCGCATCAATAAACATCAAAAAACATTCGCCCCGCCCTGCTACGCTCCCTTGGCTTGACTTGGCCATCACCCTTGCTTATCGCCTTGTTTACGCATTTTAAGTACAAGATTGTTATGTGTTGATTTGCCTTAACCGATGCGTGCCCCGCATATGAGAAAAAGCCGCCGTCTGACGACAGGCTTTTTGTGTTTTGTTTTGTTTTTATTTTATTTTATTTTATTTTATTATATTATTCCATGGCGTATGCGTAACGCAAACTTTGTAGGGGTCTCCGAGCTTGTCAGCGGCAAACAAGTGCAAACACAAACACAAAGAGGGAGCAAGTTTTAAGCCCCTTTTTCCCGCCTCCTGCCAAGGATAACCACAAATCTGTTGCATACTTGCGGGCGCGCCTTTAAAGTCAACGCGCTTTTCCAACGCTTCGCTGAGCATTCTCCGGAGAGGGGGGTGTACGGGTGATCTGGGGGGGGGGTTGAGTGGGTGCCGCACTGGAAGGACTTTGATTGACTGGCTGAGCACTGGCTGACAGGGGAGTCTAGCCCACGACTGTTGATGTTGACGTGGGTTATGCTAAACACAGCCGAACGGTCTCCAGTATCTGATTTAAATCGCTGCGCGCACAAATTAAATTAAATTAAATGCAATTTACATTCATTACCGCTCATTTGTATATTTGAAGGCTGGCAGGCAGCAAACTAAAAGTATTTAAACGCTTGGTAAGCAATTATCGATCTATATTTTAAATACAAACTAAAGGCAATGATTATAGGAATTTTTAAATAAAGAAAATAGATAACAGATTTGTAGGCAACTTATATTTAAAACAAAGATTAGTCCAGTTTTAATACTGCTATCTGAAAATAATACAAGAAATTAAGTTTAAAGTAATGTCAAGGTGCTCATAGTTCTTATTACCTTTTCCTTTTTTTAACTTCACCTTTAATGCTGCTTTTCCAGTCGCTTTGTCTTAGAATTAAGGCTCTTAACTTAAATATCTGCCACATAAGTTAAGCTCCCCTATTCTAAGACAAGTCTGACTTATCTCTGTCTGAATTACCTTTTCCACCTCAAACTCTTGTGGGTTAGAGTTGCTTTTGAGTCCATTCGAAACTAAGGTAGATACAGATGTTTCGATTTTCGAATGCAGGAAACACCTGATATGTACCTTGTTCTAGACTGCACTGATGACCCACCCTCATTCCTCTCTTACAGATCTGCCCAAGTTCGGCGAGCTCCTGCAGAATGTGACAGTGCCAGTGAGCCGGGAGGCAGTGCTTCAGTGCGTGGTCGACAACCTGCAGACATACAAGGTAAGCATGGGACACCTGAAGCGATCTTCCTCCTCACTGTCCGCCAGGAGATGGGAGCAGGGTAGTGCCTGGCCATTTGCACTTCATCGACCGAAACGTGGCTGAGTTTTGGGCCTAGTTCTGCACCTTCATGTGACCCTTTTTTTTGGGCACATCTCACTGTGATTTCGTGACACAGTAAAAAGCAAACAATATGGTGAATTGCCGAAGCGAAAGCGGTGATGGTATCTGGTCCGGTTAATACGGCCCATTGTGTCCAGTTCGGGCCATGTTAACATTATCACTGTTGCGTGGGGGCAGACAAATTGAAAGCTAGTGAAATTGATGTCCGAGCTTAGAGTCAAGACAGCCATTTCTCTACCTTATAGCTTGAGTGCCTTGGGCAGGGAGTTCCAGGATGTTGGAGTTCCGAGACGAGTTTGTTTGATCGCCAGAAAACGAAGTCGATTGGGCGTGACGACCTCAGTTACCGGTGATCAAAGCCAACTCCTCGGACGCCTTCAGTGTTGCACTTTCCACCGTCGACTTGGCTTTGCTGCCATGTTACGAGTGTCCCAGACCGTATAGCGAATCCAACGCAGAGCTATGCAATCAGGAATACTCAGAACCTGGCACAAATGATTCACTACCGCCTGCAGTTGCTTTGGACCATATTTCATAATACCCCCGATGACAAAGGCGCCTCCTGGAAAGGTCTTTGCCAACCCGAGTATTAAGAATGTGGAACAAAATGGAAATCAATTTAACCTGGCCCAGTTTCCACCGTTTTCTGCCGTTTTTCACCATTTTCCACTATTTTCCACCGGTTAGGCGCATTATCCAAGTGCTCTTCACCTCCGCGGCGACAGTTTCCCTCTGCCCCTCCCCGAGCTCTCCGGGGGCGTTATAAATGAGCTTCGGCCACGCCACTGGGGCATTAGCATGGGGAAGAGGAAATCGCTGAACGTTTTAGTTTTACAACTCAAATCTAGCCAAATATAAACTGCTTCGTTTACTCCACTGTACGCTTCTCGTTCGGCTAGATTGCGTGGCTACGTGTCGATACACAGACCATTTTAACGATACAAAATCACGTCATAACCAAAAATCATCGCATGAGCATAACTCACGCCGAGAAACGTGCCTGGATATTGCGTATACGTGATGTAAAGGAGTCGGACAAAGGCTGGTATGTACCCACTATCCCAGCTGCATATTCAGATATTCCTTTCAGCTTATCTACCTGTCGGCTGTCGAAGGATTGAGTGTACTTTAATTGCCTCTCTCCATTCGGTTCTCGGGGCTAACAAATATTTATGTTCTGCCTATACAGTCATAAGGCTCGAACCTGTCTAATAAATGTACATATCTCATACGCATCGTTGTCAGGTACATGTGCCAAATAAACACGGATCCCATGAAGAGTCAAGTCGGTTACCTGGATGTAGTCGGTGAGTATTCGAATCTTGTTTACGATTGCGTAATGCCCACAAACTCACTTTACACACACGGGAAAAAAAAACTCATAAAAATATCAAAGTGGCAGGTGTACCGCTCCTATTTCTTATTTATTTGGATATAAACTAAAGAGTAAATAATAGCTCACTTCTTTCAGAGTAATATATTAAAATATAATATATTTTAAAGTGCATTCAGACTTTAATTTCTAAGCTTAATCAAAGCCAAGAGCTTAAAAAAAACAGTTCCCTAAAGGCCATCATATAATAATAATAAATACTGTTGAAACATTTCTCCAAGTGCCAGCTTACGCAATAAAATTGATGTATGTTACTCCGGGGGGAAGCTCAAATGAATTGTAATTTGTCTTGAGTGGCTCCCCAAACACCCACCGAACTGGGAGCCAAAACAAAGTTGCTGTTGATAGTTTTTCAAACTGCACTAATTGCTCGGCCAAGTGGCGATTGGAATGCAGAAACTGGGTTAGGCTGCCGCACCAGAAACTGGCGCACAACTTCTAACTGCTCTCGATTGGGGTATAATTGCGAGGAGACGGCAAGCAGGAGGAGCAGGATATTCGGCTTAAGGCGGGCTCCATGGCGACGGGCATTCGTTGGGAATTTTTCACTTAGCCAACACATTAGTTGGGGGCCCACAGAACATAGCGGAGAGCGACAAGGTAATGAAACAATTTACATGCTTCGTGCACCTGTCCCAGCTATAGCCCGTGTCCATGTCCTGGTCTCGTCCATGTCCTGGCGTTAATTATTCAGACGGCGTAGACTTCGGAGCGGCACCGAAAAACCTCAGGGCAGACAGGACGGGGGAGCGGGTGGTCTTTTCCCCTTCCCGCAAGCGAATTTAAAATGAATATGCCGCCCCGTTTCGGAGCTGAGGTTTCGGGTCTCGTTTCCGGTTGCCTCGCACCATCCGCATAAGTAACCACTCTGGTTGATTGTGTTTTCATTGATGTTGAAATTCATTAAGGACTCCCGGACCGTTCGCCCAGATTATACACTGGGCGAAACAGGAGCGAGACGGTTGCCTGTTGATTGCTTTCGTTCAGCCCTGTAAATGCTTCACACCCAACCGCACTAAGTCCCATAAGCAAAATGGCAAGCCGCTTTAAATCAGCGCGGCTTTTCCAGCTGCCGCTGACAAAGTGCGCGATTTCGTGGTGTATACTTTTCCGCACGACCCTGCCAAACAACCGCCCAACGCCCACAACCCACCGACCGCCGTCCTTTAGCCCGCGCGTTGGCAACCAACTATTATTGTTGTCGTCGCTGTAGTTGTATTTGCCACACCGCGAAATAAGCAAATAGTCGGCAACGCGGAAACGTTTAAGCTAGATATGTGCACGTGATTTACGTTTTTTTCACGAGATTCACGAAATTCTTACAACTCTAAGGTTTGAATTTAATAACTTAAAGCTTAAATATAATAATTACTCAAGGTTAAACATTAGATATATGATAAAGGGGAAGGCGATTGTGATTAAGTAAAGAAACAGGTTATCTTATTTTGAAAACCTTGAAAGAGTAAAGAAATTTATTATTGTACTTACTTTAAGTCTACTTAAATGAATAGTTTATTTTTTTATTTTATTATTTATTTATATTTATTATATTCTTTGTCACGTTCTCATCTCTATTCTACGACTAGAAAGGTAAGCCTGTAAGGATACTATACCAAAGAGTGAGCTGGTAACCCAACGTTGACATAGGTTAGGGAAATGGATAAGAGGCAAAGTTCTAATCAGCTTTTGGCGGTTAGTTTCTTATCCAGTTGCAATATTTTATCAGATAAAAATAATGTATGTGTACAGCTATTAGCAGCTGTTTTTGAACTATATATAGAAGAACTGAGTCTAGTATACTAGAATCTCAAAAAAAATATATAATATACAAACATATTTATTAATTTATTCTATTTTTAAACATGTAACAAATCTCTGCCTTTGGAAAATGCTTTCATCTAATTCCTTGGGCTGCACTCGGCAACAAAATCAATCAGCAAATCCTTCGCCAGGTGCTCTGAATGCAATTTTGACACTTTGGGTCTTAGGCCCTCAGAGGAAAATCCGACTAAACTGCTTTTAAAAAAAGACAGAAAAATTTCCACAAAATTCTGGCCAAAAACCGAAATAAATTGTGAGCATATTTTCGGTTGACATTGTCGAATTTGCCTCGTATTTTCAACTCTGAAGTTTCCTGGGCTCGTTTTGCCTTGTTTGTCGGTCGGTCTGTTTGTTGTTCCTGGGGGCGATGATTGTTTTTATTTAACCAAAGGCACATATATGTATACATGTGGCTGCGTGGGGAAGCCAGCCAGGCATTGAATAATTTATATAGAGCAATATGTTTCTCAGTGGCGGTTTGCCCATGGTTAAATGGTCATAGGCTGACCTAAGCTGTGGGGTTTGCAGCCAGTCCCCTGAGCTGGATTGTTTTGAAAAGAGCTTTCAAAAATAGAAAATAAAAATAAGGAAAACGAAAAAATAACAACTGGGAAAAAATATAATTTTTGGGGAATATTTGAAATACAATTGCCCAACATTGATAGAGTCAGCTTTAGGAGGGATTTAAGCCACAAAAATACTTTAAATTTCAATTTGTTTCATTGTTTTGACGCTTTAAGTTCTCTTTGACCCGATAATCCCGAAATCAGTCAAAATCATATCTGCCATGGCCGCCATCTCAATCCAATTGAAATTAATTTCTGCGTCGCCAATTTAATCACACATCATTTCACCTGATTTCATAACTTATCAGCTCCCGCTGCGCACATTGACGTCGGCTGAGTAAAGAAATTGCCAGCCACGCCCACACCCACTCAGTGGGCCCCCTTGGCCCCTTGTGCGACATGAGTCGGGCCATTAAGGAAAAAGTCAACACGGGAAAAGCGGCTGGAGCGAAGCCTACTTTCCACGTTCAATTTGGGGGGACACGACTGTGCCGGGGGGGCCGGGGTGAAAAGTCAAAGTACATTTTGTAAAACATGCACATCATTGTTGGCATGAAGACTTTGAAGTCGCATTGTGTGTGAGTCATAACTTGGCTTTTGGGCGGTCCTGTCCTGTAAAATGGAACGAGCCAAGGCAGCCAAGGCAATCAAAGGCAATAAAAGGAAAATCGACTGCTCCTAATAGAGGGAAACATTCCCGGAACTAATTGGATTTCTTGAAAAGGTGCCGAGAGGAATGATTGGACTGAAAAAGAGAGTTTTCGATTTTGTTTTGTTGCTAAAAATATAAAAAATATTTCTAGCAAAAACAGACGAAATGTGCTGGCTTATAAGTTCTTTGTTCTTTTTATTTTTATTCACTTAAAACTTTGACTTAAATATGCTTATGTTTAGGTAACTGTAAGTTAACCATTTAAACAAAATAATTAAAGATATTTTTAGAAAATATTTGAGACTCCAATTTTGAAATATCTAATTCAGGAATACAACTTCTTTTAATGCTATAATTATTAAAATACTCTTAATTCCTTTTATTAATATTTTTATCCAACCTTTTTACCTTTAATACAAAATACATTTTCTGTAAGAATAATAAATGTATAAGTCCTACACGCCATTTACAGTCTATCTTATCCTTTGGCATTCACTTTGTAAGGACATAAAAACTAAATGTTTTCCGTAATTAAATGTTATGTTTTCGTCCCCCAGCAAGCTGGCTCCATCAGCACGCCCTCATTCATAATGTGACACTAGCTTTAGCCCGCAGTCTCATTTTATTTTTTGGCAACGAGCGATTTGCCAGGCGTAAAATTATAATTAAGTGTAAAGACAGGCAAGAGACGCACACACAGACACAAAGCGCTTCAGCTTTTTCTGTGGCCAAATGCCAAATTTTCAGAATTCGTTGAGCTACCTGTCGTCCGTCTGCCATGGCAAGGGGCAGAGGAAAAGGGAATAAGCTTTTATTTAATTGTGGCTTCTTTCTAAATGGCAATGCCAGTTTCCAGAGAGAAATTGCAGCCTTAATTTGGGATCCTACAAATTGGTTCTGGGTCCTTGTTAACAACACTTTGTCCACAACAACACAGTCTTCAAAAGCTTAATGAAAATGTCTCAATTAAAATTCGTCTCTTTCATGCAATCTACTTCATCATCAAAAATAACAACAACTGCTGAACCTGCAACTGACTCTGAAACTCCCACCTGTCTGACACCTGGCCAACGGTTCGCGCAAACAATTTGTTGGCCGGCCCACGCGGCGTATGAATAATATGTTGCCTGAAACTGGAACTCGGTATCGCTGTCTCCCCGCACACGTTGGCGCACGTGTTCGGAACACACACACACACAGTGCCCCCCGACATACTGGACTATCCGACTAGCACCGATATGGTAATACGTGAGGGCTCCAACGTAACCCTCAAGTGTGCCGCGACGGGATCCCCGACCCCCACGATAACCTGGCGCCGCGAAGGTGGCGAACTGATACCGCTGCCCAATGGAGCCGAGGGTGAGTGCGTGCCTGCTGAGCATTAAATTTCATTACAAAACATTTTAAAGTTACTTCCACTCTGGCCGTAATTAAGTCGAGGCCGGGTGTGTGTGCGCTCGACTAATAACAAATCCAGAGCCCTGCAATTTGCCTTATTAGGGTTACTCTGGCGTGCAAATGGCTGAACGGTTTTTGAGTGGAATGTGTGTTGGTCTAATCGACTTGAAGTGGGTTACACTGCATCCTGTAATCAGGATGAGATAAAAAGAACATCACCGGAAAATCTTGAAATTTATTTTCGGCAGAATACTATATTCTATATGATAGATGCTAGGCAGCCGTGGATGGCATGGCAAACGAGTTGCATGCCATATGAGTACGGCAAAAGAAGGCAGACATGCGGAATTTGTGAGATTCGAAATTACCAGCGCTGCACAGGCATTGTCAGGGGAGTAGATGCCTCCGATGAAGGTTGGCAATGCACTGGGGGAAAAACTATGCAGCAGAATTGGTAATAGAAATCAGTAGGTATTCAAGAATACCTTTATCATTATTAAATATTTTTTAAGCTTGCTTTACAGTATTATTTATTTAAGTTGTGAAAAATATGCCAAGATTTACATTTTCTTTTTGTTTATATTTTAATCTATTGTCCACACTGCGAATGAGTAATATTTTATGTACCTCCAAAAGATTCTACATAAGTTACTTCATTTTTCAAGTAACAGATTAGTTTTTTCCCGTGTCTGAATAGAGATTTTCCAAGTTGCATATGCAATGAGAGCGAGATGATTAGCTGCAGGAACAACTTGACTTGGCAGAGTGTGTGTTTGAGAGCATTTTTCCTGTGGGCTGAAGAAGAGTCACTTGAATTTGAATCTAAATCTGAATCCGAATCGAAATCTGAATGTGAATGTGAATATGCAGCCGGATGCAACGACATTCTGGCTTATAAGTAGGAATTGAGAATGCGGCAGCGCGAGAAGCGATTGCTGTCATAGATTTAACCCATCGGTGCCTTCGATATTAATCGTACTCCATTGGTTTTTCGCAGCCGTCGCCTACAATGGATCCTTCCTGACCATCGCCAAAGTGAACCGGCTGAACATGGGCGCCTATCTGTGCATCGCCTCCAATGGCATTCCGCCAACAGTCAGCAAGCGTGTGATGCTCATTGTGCACTGTGAGTATTCGGGGCTGGGCGGGTCCCATCAATTTTAGCATATTTAAATATTTATAGTTCTGCGCCAGAGCACCGCATGGTGCAGGGTGCCAGGAGCAGGATGCTCCGCTCCAGACGAGACCACAGCAGGGCCCAGACAGAGTCACAGACTGCCATTGCGACGCACACACAAAGCGCCACTCGAAATCTTGCCAGGCTAAATATGTCCTGCATTTTAATTTTCCCAGGGAGAGCCCTGGGGAGTGGGGTGCCGGAAAATGCTGTACACTTTTAGGTGCCATGCATAAAGCAAATAATTAAGTGTGTGCTCAGCACCCGACCCCCTGCAGCTAGTTAGCATTTTTAGAGCACTTTGCCCTGACTCCCTCTCTCGCTTCCTAATTAAATAAAAATGAGAATGGCTCAACAATTTGTTGGGTAACTTCATGGCACATGTTTGAGCCAAAGTTTTGCCTTCGATTCTAACCGCAATTCGGTTCGAATAAGTTTCAACTCCACTGGCAAAGCATTTTTTGTGTGGCTTTCATATATATAAAATTAAAAAGCAATTAATTCGAAACAATAAATGGCAACCGCAGCGAATTGCCGAGCGGCAGCATAAAGCAATAGAAAAACAATAATAACGATATCGGACGGAATTTCTCTCGATAAATGGGAATTCTTTGTTTCCCACTCACTGGGCTACATTCGAATGCATTCCCCCCAATCACCTGAACATTCCACACCTGACACAACACATTCTAGCCCATACACTATATATACGACGCCTGGCTGTGGCATTTTACTGCTGTTTTACAGTTCCACCCATGATTTGGATACAGAATCAATTAGTTGGCGCCGCCCTCTCGCAGAACATAACTCTGGAATGCCAGTCGGAGGCGTATCCCAAGTCCATCAACTACTGGATGAAGAACGACACGATTATAGTGCCAGGTGAGTGTGGGTAATACCGGAAAAGGGTTTTAAATTATTCGGAAATCCATGAATGACTTACAACATGTGGCTTTTAGAAACTAACTTTATGATAGACTCGTTACTAATCGCTCGAGTTGCCTCTTAATTTTCCTAGTTCAATTTCCTTAGTGTCCGGTATTTCTTTGCCAACTTATTTTCAAACGATGGAGCTCTTCGAGCTCTTCAATCCACCACTCATCTTCACTGAGAAATGGACTGTACGCGATGACAAAAACTGCGGCAGAGCACAAGTGAAAAAGCGTTGAAAAAAGAATAAACATTCAGCCGAACACTCGAATCCGCGGTGGCTGAATAACTGCGGCGGCGGCAGCAGAACTCTTCACTCCACTTAACCCCCTACCGCAGCGATGGACAGGAAACGGCATCGTCATCGGCATAGGGGTCAGCGGCGGAAAAAAGTCACAGACATGCAGTCGGTCGGTCGGCACTGCCTTTTTTCCAGTTATTTTCAAGTTGTTTTTTGCCAAGCGGAGAAAATGGAAAAAACTGATTGAAAATGACCTCAAGTCAGTAGCAGTTGCCGGGATCTGTCCGACAGCCGCTGGATTTTAATGGAGTTTTCTGCTTTAGTTTTGAGCGGGCGTTCAACGATTTCTCATAACCACAAAAAACGTTACAATCCACCCAAAGCAATCTTTATGGGGAGGAGCACATACCAACCCAGTGGCTAGTTGGAAAACGAATCTGGCCTACGTCAGAGTTAAGCCAGCCCCTCTTTTGGTTCGCCCCCGAAACTCAATTATTTCTAATCAAGACCGGGCCCAGATCTCCATCTCCGTTCGGGGCCATCACAATGGCATTCTGCTGGGGTAATCAGTCGCTTAACCGGCATGCATAACAATTACCGAACCTGGACGAAATGTAATGCTCGGCTTAGTGCTACTAAATCTAACCGACATCAAACGTAAATCAAAACCTGCATGACAAACAAAAACAGGGCACTCGCTCCCCCACAGGACGAAGACCGAGAACAGACTTGTTTTTGTATAAATTAAAACGAACCATTTGACAGGGGGCAGCCGGGTTAGCAAAATCCCTCCCCCTTTAGTCAGGACAAACTTGGGTCAGCCGGCTCCAGTTGGATTCATCCGATCCGAGAGCCGAGCTGAGCGGAGCTGACTTGGGCGAATGCAAAAGTTCTTTCTCAGTTAAATAACTTTGACAAGAAGCTCCAGAAATAAGGGTGGGAGAGGGTCTCCGGAAAGGGGTTAAAGTTCGAAGCTGAGGCCGTTATAATAGAGCCTTTTCTACCTCCTTTCAGGTGAGCGCTTTGTGCCGGAAACCTTTGAGTCGGGCTACAAAATAACCATGCGCCTGACCATCTGCGACGTCGACCTGCAGGACTTTGGAGCCTATCGTTGCGTGGCCAAGAACTCCCTGGGCGACACCGATGGCGCGATCAAACTGTATCGTAAGTATTGGCCAGAATGCCATAACAGTTCCTTTCACTAACAATAGCCGTAACCGTAACCATAAGCCTCAGAAACAATGGCCATAAGTCAGGCAGCCCCTGGCAATTAGGCGCAAAACTATTTGCCCGACTCGGGCTTTTAATTAATTTAAGTCAATGACTCTGCGTGGGCCGACAGCCAATGTCGAGTGTGTGTCTATGTGTGTGCTTGCCTCGATAAATACCCCAAAACAAAGGGTCAGTCGGGGGTCGAAGGTGGCCAGACCGAGTCCACTGTCAGTGATTGATTTACGAGAAGCCAGAGCTGGTCAATGCCAGGTCTAAGCCTATTCTCAGGGCTAAGTTTACATGCTGAGAGAAATTTTAGCATATTTAAGAATATGTTTAGTAATTGGTTCAATGTTTTATTGTTTGTAAACTTGAGGTAATATTTAGTATTGGTTTAGTTAAAAGAGTCAAAGGAGGTTTATAAAATTCTTCAAACATAAAAAAATAAACAAATTAAGGTTGTTTTTACTTTTTTTTTTTGCGGAAAGATATTTACAGTAAATGCAACTCAATATTCAGGAGTTCCAGGCCTGGTTCTATAATTAATTATAATTTTATGGTTCCTGTTTGCCACTGATATATCTATATCAACCCCTTCCCTCCTTAGATATTCCACAAACCACCACAATGACAACAATGGCTCCAACAGTATCCATAAACACAGTGCCCGTGGTCCTGGTGAAGTACAACAAAGGTGAGGCCCACAGTAACCAATGACTCTCCTCATATCTGCATTTGCCACTCGCTTTTAGAACAACGCTACAACAGTGGCAGCAACCAGAACCAGAACTCCAACGGAAATCCTTACAACTTCAATCCGGGCAACAGTCAACAGAACTCGAAGACGCAGCGCAACAAGGCCAACGGCAAGAACTCGGACCAGGCATCGTCCGGACTGAACAATGTCTATGTGGGTGCCACCTCCAGTCTTTGGAACTCGCAGGATCACTACTCGTCCTCCTCCTCGAGGGGCAGGGATCATCACCAGCAGCAACAGCAGCAGCAACACCAGCAACACCAGCAACAGCACCACGGTGAGTGGGGAATTCTCTAGGGGATTTCCAGGATTTCCAGCTGGCCCCTAAAGCCACTTCAACCCGGCCAGCCAGCCGATTGATGGGGAATCCCATCCCCCCCGGGCGGCGTACCATAAATATTTCGCCATTTATTTTATGTTTATGACAAATCATAACGACTTTAGCTGCTTGGCTTTAGGGTCTTTGGCATGTCGTTGTCGGCACTTGTTAGATATAGATACTTTTGGCTCAAGCTGCGAGGAAAGCAACTTTTGGTTTTATGGAGAGGATTGACTGGCGGGTTACCTTGGAAAATAAGACGGTATATAAACTTGAAAACTTGGTAAATGCAGAAAACATTTTCATGAAGTCAACTACTTAACTTAGAGGATACTTTTTATTTGTGTACTGAGAAAAGAATACTTTTAATTGGATGAACCGATAGCCCAGCATACCCTTCCTGGCTGCCTGCGAGTATACAAATATTTGGCCAAAACATATGAAAGTATCTCTCAGTATCCATCGACCGTCTGTCTGTGAGTCTTCCTCCTTTTTTTTTGTCGCGTTGCCAGTGATAATACGACTTTCTAGCAGGCAAGGCTAGGGTTTTGGGGCACCACTCCTTTGGCCAGTTGCTGAGTTGACAATGTGTCCGCCGTAATGTGCTGCTAATGCGGACCATCGTAATGTACAATCATCATAAATAATAAAGGGCTTTTGCCATTTTATTTTAGCTAGAAAAGAAAACCAAACGTAGCTGGAGGTGCCAATGAAACTATCGAACTTGAAGGTTAAAGCTTAGGACCCAGTATCCCCCGGAGCAGCTGGCAATCGATGAGCATAAAGTCTTGCACATCCCCCCACGATTTCCCGCATGTCTCGGATCACACAATTGGCGACAATGCTCCCGGTTTCCTTTTCTCTGTTCTCTCTCTTCTTTTTTTTTGTCGTTAGTTTGCTCTGCTTGCTCCTTCGGCAAGGACGAATGCATAAAACTTTAGAGGCCCTTTGCTGCAATGTGGAAATTTTCTGCATACGCGCTTGGCTAAAAAAAAAAAGAAAATGCACTCGACAAAATCAAATCGAACAAATTGAATATGAAGGGGGGCAGGGAGGAGGCAGTATGTGCTCGGAAAAGCGCAATATAAAAATAGCAGACAAATTGCACACGAGGCGTCAAGGCGATAGAGCTGCCCCAGCCCCCGACTCCTGGCCCCTGGACTTATCTCGCCATCTGAAGCAATTTTTTGGCAACGCAAGCGAAATGTGGCATCCCCCGCAGGATGGCCATCCTAAAGGGGCGAGGGAGGGGTGCCTGATGGCGGCAGGGTAGTAAATGGGGCTCTTGGCTGCGGGTGCTACAATGACGACAACTTTCAAGCGTTGCATGCAACGTCGTAAGCGCTGCGTTTACAGTTAGATTTATTACCTGCTAGATGTTGCACATATCGTGCCAGGCACCGACTGTGTGTGTGTTCCGCTCCTTTCCCCTCCCTAAGGGGAACCTGCCACTACTAGGTGTGGGTGTGGCTTGTTCGCTTATCGTTGCCGGGTTTTGCATATGTCGCGACTGTTTTTGCTCTGCCCGGTGACACTTTAAGGCGGAACAAGCCAGCGACAAGCAAAGTTTCATGACCAAAGCCCAGTTTCCCAGTTACTAGAGGACGCATATGGAGTGGCATCTACCACGTCATCGCTTTGCGGGGACTTGAAATTGGGTTAAGTGAAAGTTATGGTATCATAAAGAAATCTCTCGATTCTATGAACTTGACTTTCCTTTTGGCATAAATTTCGACAGAGAATTGGGTTTCTGAAAGGAAATAGAGGGGTATTACGATTATTACATACGATATTATATAATTTAAAATAAAAAGGCTTTGAAATCGATTCCAAGATATGCTAAAAAAAAAAAATAGTTAAAATTTATATAACAATTTAAATTGAATTACAGGAGCAACGGAAATCTAAAGTTGTTTAAATTCAAATATTCAAAAAACTAAACTAAAATTATTTCGACGTAGAAAAACAACCAATTTACAATGCAAATAGGAACTTAAATACTAAATTAAATACTTTTAGACACATTTTAAAATATCAAACTTATTTTGACTGTAAATGTTCTAACTTTCTGGTACTTTTAAAATTGATTTCTGATCCCCAGCTCTGTTTAAATCAAATTATAAAATTATTTGTACTATGCATTCTGTAGTTTCACAAATTATTAAATTTGAATTCCTAATGAAAACCATTTTCATTTGCATTTGCCTTACGCCTTGTTATTTATAATATGTTTACGTTTCATTAATTTTGGTTTCAATCAAGTTAATATTCCATTTTCTTGATATTTATCATTTGCATATTTAATTTCTCAATTATTTCATTTAAATCAGCCCTTACATTTCACGTATGGTTTTCCAATTTGCAAAAGGTTAATCAATACTCGATACATCAGTGTGCTAGCCATGGTCCAAATCAACACCACAACAGGTATAACATTAGTGGTTGTGCCAAATGAATGAGTGTTCGTTCGTCTTGTACCCAGATGTGCGAGCACTTATACACATGCCAATTAAATTCAATTTCCAATTATCACCGGATTCGGAGTCGGAACTCCGAGTGGAATGACGTCGTTCGCTTAGTCCACCCGGGGGCCACAGAACTGGTGTCGGCATTAAGTGCTGCAGATGCATTTGGCTCGCCACTTAAACTGTCATTAAATTGTTGCAATCAACCACAGAAGCTGACCCCGGCCAAGCTGTCTCTGCCATATTTAATTTGTTCGGCCAACGGGCAAACAATATGGCACAAATTACAAGGAAATGCAATAAAAAGAAATTGCTCCGGCTCCGGATCCGGAGAGTTCACATGCGGCGGATTCGCACTCGCAGCGGGTCTGTCTACCTCCAGAGTCCAACCTCGGGTCGGTGATTACTTCAGCATTCAGTGTCTGGTAATAATTTGCCCATAATTTGCACAAGCTTCGGCCTGCCGCCCGACGAGTGAAAAATGATAAAGTAAATGAAATGCAACAGACAGCAACCGAATTGCCATCGCGTGCCGCGGCCATTTTATGGATGCAGTGCCGCCTTTTCTCGGAAAGGAGAAGGAAGGGGAAAATGGGAAAAGCGGTGCCATAAGTGTAACGCATGGCGGGTCCAAAGTGAGCCTCAAGTGCTGAGTGCAAGCTGTGCTTTTCCTTTCATTTCGAGTAAGTGAACAGGCCCCGGAAATCGAGGTGTGAAAGCTGCACCCAAATGGAGTTGAAGTTGGTCGCTTTTGAACTTTAAACAGGTCTTCTCCTGGCGACTCTTTACCAGGACATACAAGGACAAGCTGTTGTACAAAATTAAAGAGTTTAAGAAATAAAATAGTAATATATTTTCATGTAAAATATATTTAAAAGAAATCTATTTTCAGTTGCTATTCTATTTAAATTTGTTTTTAAATAAGATTATATGTTTTTTTTCCTGTGCAACTTCTTATGCCTGTTTCAGGTTCAGATACATGAGCTTCTTTAACCAGATGCAATTTATTTCTATTAGGTCAACAGCACCCCGGGGATCGGATGGGGGAGAATTATGCAGAAATTACTTAAAGTTTCAAGAAGTAGTTCGCCTTTGGGTCTTCGGCCGAGCCCAGTGTTTCAGCTAAAGCGTTTTGCTTTGGCAAACAGGACTTTCTTTGCTTTCCCAGCTTTCTCTGCTGCCGCTTTTCCTCGCTTTCCCTCGTTCTCTGCTTACGCCTAAGCGCTTTAAAGACACCGTTGGGACTTTCTCGCCCCTCACACAGACGCACGCATAAACACATGCTCAAACGTCAATAAAAATCAGCCACACACACACATACACACACACTAACACTCAGACGGACAGACAGGACAAACGGGACCCCAAGGCGGGTGTTGGTAGTGGTGTTACTCTGGGTGTTGGGGGTTTCTGTTGGTGTTGCCGGCTTTCACACATGGAAATGTTTGCAGACGCCAGCAAAACAACCAAGGCAACGAGCAGCGCAAAGGAGTTTTGTGGAAAAGCTGCTTATGGAAAAATACAAAAAAAAAAAAAAACAAAGCAAACTGAAAAAAAAAATAAAATAAGTAAAAGACACACAGACACAATCATACACCCACACACACACCGAGAGACAGACAAATAAATTTTGAACCCGGTGCAAAGCAATTTGCGCATTTCCGTTGTAAAAATAAAAGGGTTCTCGTTCTCGTTAAAAACAAAACGAAAAGGTCCCTGGATGGACCGAAAGTGAAGGACCAACCAACCAACCGCCTGGCCATATTTCATAGTTATGACAAAGTTCGTTCAATGCAATGAAGTTCGACTGCGGCGATTACGGTTTATGGGGTCAAAGTTGTTTTTTTTCGATCCCATTTCTGTCCTTGTTGGTTGGATGGCATATGTAAGGAGGAATTCGAACAGTCTGTTAATTTAAGGATATTGTTTGCTGGCATCTGACACAAAAAGGTTTACTTTAGATTGCTCATTAAAGAGGTTGCGAAGTAATGAACTTAGCTCTGAATATATTTGGATAGTATTAAAATAAATTCAGATTTTTCAATTAAAAGTAGCTACATAAAAACCAGAAAATATGATTCAATAAATCTTTTTTTTTATGAAAAACCACATTTAAAAATCACATAGGTTTTTATCTTGACGAAAAAATTAAACAATTATTTTTTTGCTGAGAATTTCCACGATTTAAATTAAATTCATATTTATTATTAGTAAAAATTACTTGTATTTTCACACGTTTAGCTAAATAAATAAATTGATTTACCCTTAAAATACAATTAAATTACATTGATTACATTATATTACATTGATTACATTATATTCACTCTTTTAGCTGTTCAAAAAGGATAAAATCCTATTAATTAAATTTCATTCCCAACTTTTGCCTAACTTTTCCCAATCAAAGAGGTAAATAAGGCCTTGTATTTAATTGTATTTCGTTTCGAAATTGTATTCAATTTGTTCTCAAGTCGAAGCCACTATCGAATCAATTCAAATACCTCAACTAACTAGAATCCTTTGGGTGTATATATTTTTTTTAGGGCGGTCCGAAGGCTGCAACCGAAATAGTCCCGCAAACAATTGTTTGCAATCCACCTAATGACCAATGGCCTGGCCACGTCAAAGTCAAACAGGGCCAAAAAGGAGGGGGGGTGGCCAAAACAGAAGAAGCATCGAGCAGATCCATTCCGAACCGAGCCGAACCGAACCCAGCACGCAAACAAATGTCCAATGAAACAGATTGCCGGGCAAACAAACAGCCGAAAAAGGAAGGCAACTTGGCAAAAAAAAAAATACAAAAATACAAACTGCACGATAAATTGATGGCAAAAACAATACAGAGCCTTTGCACCTCCCCGGCACTCTGTGAACCCCAGTCCGATCCCCGTGTGTCCTTGCTACATATATGAACCTCCCACAAGTCCTGCCCGCTGTTTGGAATGCATGGCGCAAGGGTTTAACGCACTTAAGCAATAAAAATCGAAACAATTTTCGATGCTGCCAAGTGAAATTGAAACAAAATACCAGCAAGGACGAGGATGAGCCAGGATACTCTCGCTTTTTCCGCCCGAGCTTGGGGGAAACTGTATAAGTGAGAATGTTATAAATAAGTGGGGCAGGCGGCGGCGGCAAAGTTGGTGTCCCTTTTATATGCAATACTTTCAGCTCTGCCAGTTGACAAACAGTTCGGGTTTTGTGTATCCTGTATCCTGGGCCCACTGTCCTTGCCCGTTTTATCTCTTTCGCATTGTCGCCTGCTACAAATGGCTGGCCATAAACGCATCCTGTGTCTATTGTTTATGCTCGTTGGCGTGTGGCAAGCGCATAATTGAAAAAGGACATTCGCCTGATGACAGTCAAGTCCCGGCCATATGAAGGGCACAATCATAAAGTGGCATGTGGCAGTTGATTAAGTCAGCGAATAAAAACAAAGAACCCACAAAGGAACCGTAAATATTTCAATCAATCATTGATGGCTCTCTGTCTCTCTCTGACCTGAAAAAAGGATGTCCATTTTCAAATGGATATGCACTTGCTTTATACTGAAATCGTTTCTATTCGATTTCTTTTTTTAGACAGTAAATATCATTGATAGTCTTTCCTTGTCCATTTCCAGGATCCGATCATGGTGCCACCTATCGCTCGGATGGCAAGAGCCCGCACCTCACAAAGCACGATGCCAAGTCCTTGACGGACGACCTGGATCGCATGCAGGATCTCAAGAGCTGGGCCCATCACCTGGCTCCCTATGCACCCATATTTGGCTTACCATTTATACTGGCTGCCATTTACCTGGAGACGTGGCAGGAGTAAAGATTTGTACAAAAGAAAAGTAAAGGGACAACCGCGCGGCGTTAAAAGAAAAAAACCAAAGTTAGTCTAACTAAGGATACACTAATTCGTAAGCAATACCCCTATAAATCGTGTTGGTCAAAAACAAACTTTTATTTTTGTGCTGAGTGGAGGGAAAGTTGCTTACTGTAAAAAGTTGTTGATGTTTAAGGTAATCTAGCATTTAAGTGGAGAATGAAAAGGATCCGAAAATATTATGGGCAACGGAAATTCAAAGTATTAGAATGTAAAACATAAGGGCTTAATAATAATAATAATAATTATAATAATAATAATAATAACGAAATGTTCTTAAGCCTACCAACTGAGACTTGGGCCGAGTTTAGATCTAAGTCACCGGGGTCAAACGATGCCATCACTCTTACTTTTAGCCCCGTTCTAGCTTAGTTTTCAAGCACTGCAAGCTGTATGATAAATAAAACATAAAAACAATGTCATTTTGATTTAACAGAAACGAAATAAAAATGCCGTCTAAAAACATGTAAACTCCAGTTATATATTGAATGTTTTATTTCAACAGGAAGAAGGGTTTTCAGGTAAGAAAATTAATAGAAATCTTAAAAATCTCTTTGAAATAATAAATACATTACCAAAAATAAATTAAATGTCCAATTAATGTTTATACCTTTCCACAAAAATATATAAGCAGGTAAATAAATATTTATACCTTACCAAAGTCTGTGAATATGAATACCCAACACTTTGGTTCTCCGAGTAAACCTTTCCTTTTTGGTTTGTTCTTTTTTTTTCGAGGGGTTTGTTTTGCAACTGGCCCGAAGCGAATATTTACTGAACCGCAAAATGTACTATACCCAACCCCACCACCCGCTGCCATTGTTTACTTTGCCAGCGAATTTGTGCGCCATCGGCGGCCCACATGGAAACATTTTTCATTTTCATTAAAAAAGTAAGCGCAACAAAAAACTCGCGCGCGACTTTATAATTTAATTTGAAAAGCGCAGGGCTGGCCAAAAGCAGAGCAGAGAGCAGAGTAGAGCGCAGAAACACAAAAAATAATTATTAAAATAAATTAAATGTCTGCCGCTGCCCTCATAAGCTTCACCGAGTGGGCAATTAAAGGAGCCGGCGTGTGAGCGCGGGACGTGGCTAGTTTTTTTCCTCAGGAGGTGAAGAGTTAAGCGGCAGAGCCACTAAAAAAAAAGAGAGCAGGGAAAAAAATCAAATTGCTGCCATGGCATTTTGACTCGAGTTTCACACAACGCCATGGCAAATGGCAAAAAATTGGCATGTGAAACGATTGCAGAACCTCCGCCCCCAGCAGCAGGACCTTCCCACAGTCCATTGCCGCTATAAAGGGGCCAGTTAATAAAGCCAACAGGGCATGTGCTGTATGTCAAAAAAAGGATATATGTACATATACATATATATGGGATGCCGTGGTGAGAAGAGCAAAGAAAGAAATCCTTTGGAGACAGAATGAGACCACAATGGAAAAAACGCTGACCAAAAGAAAACTATTGGAAGGGAGATGCCTTATGGTGGATTGCATTCAGAGCCACTTCCTTGAAGGATTTTTTGCTATAAATAAATAAAAATAATGAAATACAAGTAACATAAGCTAAGTTTTTAATGATAATTAAAAGAACTGTTTTTATTCCAAAATTACCTAAGATTTAAGCAAAAATATTAAAATTCTTTGGGAAGTGCATGGAAAATAAGTTTTTTAAGCAGCTTAACCTTAGTGGTGTTATTTTATGGTTTTGTTATTTAAAGTTTTAAATTTTGTGTTTTAGTTTTAACATTGTACAAATTCAAAATATATTAATGTAATTGCCATAGGAACAATATAAATATTTAAAGGAAATTAAGGTCAAAACTGAAATAGCTTCGTCGGATTTCAACATTTTAAATCATAAAAACCTTAGCATATAGTCATTGTCTATTATTTTTATAAAATATTATTAATAATTTACTACATTATGTGAATATACAATTTATCTGCTAGAGAAAAGTTCAGTCAATTTCTTAGCTAAGTAAGAAAAATCAAGAAAAGTTCGTTGTCTTTATTTATTAATGTTTTCAGTAAGGTTGTTCGACCGATTTCCAATTAAATTGAACCAATCGAATTGCAAATAAGAAGGGTAAACAATGTTTGGCTTACCAAAGTTTATTAAATTATTAATTAAGCTTAACAAAAATCGGTTAATACGAAAAGTTACCTAAGAAAAGCAACATCATTAGATAGTAAAATGTAAATCACTTCACACTAGAAATTAGAAGGCTATAAAAAAACCGTTTTCTTTTGTCTAAATAAAATCACATCTCTCACAAACAAATCACATTTCTTATCAATCTATTCAAATCAATACAAATATTCCCTTAAATCCCCACTTTTGTGCTGGTGAAAATTTAAAATTGTATTTCGCTTTTGCATATTTAAAAATCCTTTAAATATTTCATGGGTTATGATAAATGTATATTATTTTATCAATATAATTGATAATGTCAATTTGCGCTGTAATCAAATATGGCCACAGAGATTCATAGTTTGAACTTTGTTATTTGCTGCTGAAATTGTATCTATTGTCGGCGTCACTTTTTGTATATTTATAATTTTTTGGCACGCTTGACATTGATCGGTTTAATGATGCAAAACCGCAAATAAATGTTTCAACATTAATATTTGACTGCATATTAAATGGGCAAAAGTGCAAACTTTTGGCTTAAAGCCTTTTCTTTGTGAAGAATATTCATTGGTGAGTTTTTGTTTCACTCCGTCCGACGGCTTCCTTTGTGAGGCCAGCACAGGACTCTCTCTTTTTTTTCGCTTTGATATGCTATGCTTTTTGTCCAGCCCTCTTCCGTATGCAGTTCTTTTTCCATCTCCTTTTTGCCACCTTCCCCGCCCAACAATCTTGCCTCCTTGGCAGGACTCGTCCTTGACGCAGCTAAAGAGCCGCCGTAATTATGAGTGGCCGCGGGACTAGGCAAATATTGGCCAATCAAATAATTTCTATTTGCCCAACGCTGAAATGGAAAGCGTTTCCTAATACGGATTTCGTTTTCCGGCTAATGGCGGAATTACTTTTTTTTTAAATAAATACACTTTTCCCTTAGCCGAGACTCTAACCGCAGCATATTTTCGAAGAGCGAAGATTAGCACCTGGCAAGCTTTTTCGAAGAAAATTCTTTGGAGTAAAATGTAGTTGCAGGAAAATTCACTTGTCGAATGTAGTGTCAAAATGTAATGTTTGTTAAAGGTAAAATTGTTTAAAAAAAATAGTATTATTATATGTATAATACGCTCTATGCCAATTATAGGGTCTAACTTTCCACCCAAACTTTCCATGCAAACTTCTGACTAAAATAAACATATTTTGCCAGGGTATAAATATCAAGGAGTTGCCTAAACGCTCATATAAATTTAAAAAAATATAAAATGAAAATTAAAAGCCTTAAATAAAAGAAGACTAAGACTCACTTAAAATTCCGCATAAACTTAAAAGTTCAAGAGATAACAAAAGATTCACATCTATCTCAAAAATATGGTATATATTTACGATAGTATAAATGATTCAGAGGTAAGATATACATTTCGGTACTTTGCCCCTCTAGATTTTATCTATGCACCTAGTTTAAGTTTGAAATCCAAAAACAATGATACGCACATTGAGGTAATCTTTGGTGTTTCAACCTGCAACATCCACATACAAAGTACAAAGAGATAGCAGAAAGCTAGATTTGACAGATACCGAAGGCCAGTTATAAGCACTTTGCAGATCGGAGGCTGCTTCAGTCACACCTTGTCTTCCGATGGACTTCGTTCTGCTGGTGCTCACCTCGCTGCTCAGCTTCCTGCTGGGATATCTCCGGTATCGCTTCGGGTACTGGGAGCAGCGCGGTGTGCCGCAGCTGAAGGCGAACTTCCTCGTCGGACACCTGGCCAAGCTGCGTTCCGTGCATTTAAGCGAGCTGCTCCAGGAGACCTACGACGCCTTCCGGGGAAGCGCATTGGTTGCAGGCACTTATGTCTACCTACAGCCCGTGGCAGTGGCACTGGATTTGGATCTGGTCAAGTCGGTGCTCATCAGGGACTTTGGAAAGTTCGCAGACAGGCGGAGTTTCCACGGTGATCCGCTCACCAACAATCTCTTCAACATGCAGGGCGAGGAGTGGCGTTCTCTTCGAACCAAACTCACGCCCACTTTCACGAGCGGAAAAATGAAGTACATGTTTGGAACCATCACTGCGGTGGCCCAGCAGCTGGGCGAGACCTTCGAGGAGTTGGTGGGATCACAAGGCAACGTATTGGAGCTGCACGATCTGCTGGGTCGCTACACCACCGACGTCATCGGAAATTGTGCCTTTGGCACCAAGTGCAATAGTCTGAAGGATCCGCAGACGGAGTTCCGGAGAGTGGGTCGTCAGCTTTTCCAGAAAGGCGTCAGCAGCATCCGCTGGCGCATTTTTAAGTTTACGTACCTCAGCTCGCTGTCCAAACTGGGACTGCCGGTGCGGATATTTGCCCCGGAGGTCACCGAGTTCTTTATGCGCATCGTTCGCGAAACTGTCGAGCTGAGAGAGCGAGAGCAGATCCGACGGAACGATTTTATGGATCTGCTGCTCGGTCTCAGGCGCCAGGAGAATGGCAAGGAATTCACCGTGGAACAGATGGCCGCCCAGGCTTTTGTGTTTTTCGTGGCCGGATTCGAGACCAGCTCAAGCAACATGAGCTACGCCCTGTTTGAGCTGGCCAAGAACGAGGCAGTGCAGCAGAAGCTGCGACGGGAGATACGCGAGGTGATTGCCAGACATGGACAACTGACCTATGAGGCCATGATGGAGATGCCCTACTTGGATCAGACTATCACAGGTACGATGAGTTTGAGTTTGAGATAAGAATAAGATGCCAGTCACTGGATATTATGAATCATTTGTAGAAGATAAAAAAGATATCCAAGCAAAACAGTCAATGAACGCAAGCAATGAAAGTAAAAGCTAAGTAAAAAACTGATAGTCATTCTGAATATTAAGCATTTCAAGTTAAACAATGCAATCTTTATGTATAAACAAATTGCGTAACAATTATATATGCATATGCTATCTTTATCAGAATTGTATAAACCTAACGTCATTCCATTTCAGAAACCCTCCGCAAGTACCCAGCCTTGGCCTCTCTCACTCGCGTTGCCTCCGAGGACTACGAGATCCCGGCTCGCAACGGTGGTGAGCCCATTGTCCTGGAAAAGGGCACCAACATACACATACCCGTGCGGGCCATCCACTATGACCCGGAAATCTACCCGGAACCCGACGAATTCCGGCCAGAGCGCTTCGAGCCGGCTGCCTGCCAAGAACGACCGGCGGCTGCCTTCCTGGGCTTTGGTGACGGGCCGCGCAACTGCATTGGACTTCGCTTCGGGCGGATGCAGGTAAAGGTGGGCCTGATCACGCTGCTCCTGCGCTTCCGCTTCCGTCTGCCGTCTGGATCACCGGAGAAGCTGATGGTCACGCGGCGTAGCATAATATTAATGCCCGACAAGGGTGTTCGATTGCAAGTCGATCGACTGGAGGCGGAGGAGAAGCAGTGTCGCGCCTAATGTAAACACACCAGTTGAGAATAAACAAGCCTGGCTGCTGTTCGTCAGCAGAAATTCAATTAAATTCGCCCGTTCTGCGGTCGATTGAAAGCCAAACCGAAATTTATAGCCGCCGCAAAGCCCCGCCACCGCCGCTTCCCTCCATTTCCCCTAGGCAACAGCTCAGTTATCCCAGAAGCCGACACCATGGGCATTAAATCAACACAAACGGGGGCGACAGGGAACAGGGAACCTGGCCAGCCATGTGAGCTGACCGAAAGCCATTGCGGTTCAGCTTGATGCACTGCTGCTCCTTTGGCCAACAGCCCAGGTTGCCCACTTGAGCGCCAGCCCCCCTCACCTTTACCTCCTCTTGCTGCCGAGAGCTGCTCGCACAAATCCAAACATTTACAATATTTTGCTAATTAGCAAAATATGTGTGAATAATGCATGTGACAAAGGGGCGGGGCGGCGGCCCGTGTGTCTGCATCCTGTAGGTGTCATATTAAATTTATGGCCAGAGCTGCCGCACACAATCGGCAGGCAAGGAGGCCACTGTGACAAGTGGCAGGAGTGGACACTGGGACAGTTTCAACATTTTGGCCATTTCGGTGATTAGTTGTGGGCAAGCAAAGGCGTTCACTGCCAGCATAATGAGCGGTATTAATCAATAAATGCAACAGGAGCGAAAATGTCTAGACTGAGTTATGCCAAAAGATGTCAAGGGGAGGGAGATGAAAACAATAAACTGGGATGTCCAAGGCTGCATATGTTGAACCCCAATTTAAGTAGGAGTAGAAGTTTACATACCTTTATTTTCTTTAATTTTCATTATTTCACAATACACTTTAACACAAGAAAAAAATGTTTCACTGATATTTAGATTATTTCCGAAGATCGACTGATTAACTGCCAGGGAAAACTTCAACTGATCCAGGCCTTTGTTTTTCAAGAGCTCGATCGGTCTTTCAAGTGCGTGTTGCATAACTTATTGGAAATAATCGAAAGAGAATGAAAAAAGAGAACTAAGGGAGAGACTTAAGGACTGGAAGGCAGAGCTAAACGGTTCAATTGTTTATTTTTGGGGCGCAGTTTACAATTTATAAGTACACTAAAGCTATACCCTCTTTGCTATTTAATTACAGATTAATTGAACATTTTAATGCGTTGCTTTATATCTCTTATTGGTACCTGGAAATTCTTTAACAAATTTCTACATTTATAAGTTCTATATCTAAAAATTTATTGATCTATAAGATTTACAGAAATAAACCCTGAGTTCCTCATCATTTCTCAAGAAAATCCCCATTCCAATCAGTGGTAGACAAACTTTAATAGTGCTTTATTACAACCATTTATAAGACCTTTATGTTCCCCTTCTCTGTGTTAATGTCTTTATTTAAGCTTATAACAGAGACCTGCATCGATTTCCCTATAATCATATGCTTTTATAGACTTTTAATTGGCAATTTCCTAAGCTGGCTGGCAACCTTTACGCTTCGTCTATAACTCACCTAGAACTTTTGTCTATTAAACGGCACCGAAAATGTAGTCATAATTTATGGCAGTTAAGCAGCTAACAAACTATCCTGCAGATACTAGTACCTTTGGTTTTAGGTCCGCTTCCTTCAGAGGAGCTTTGCATGTTCAGCCACTATCGGCGGGCGGAGAGGTGGGGTAGTGTGTGTGCGATGTCCTTGGGGGTGGGTATGAGCGGGTGAAAGGACTGCAGCTGTCGTCGTCGCATCCAGCACAGAACGCGGAAGCGAGTGAAAAGCAATTATCAGGTGTCAAAATTTATATTAGGGTGGCCCCCGGCCAAATAAGGGAATCCAACAAGGAAGCAGCCGTGCCAAAAAGGAAAGAAGCAAGAACTTGAAAATAACTTGCCAGTCCTGGCAGTTCTCAAGCACTAAGGAAAATATTTATATTATTTGGGGGATACAATTTTATAACAATTATCAAACATTTGAATGAGGATTATAAAAGGTTTATCTAAAATCTTTTTAAAAATAACAACAAAAGTATTAAGAGTTTTCTGCTTGATAAATGTAAGTAATCACTTTTAAAACTCAAATAAAATATTTGTTATAATTTTAACAATGAAATTCTACAGACATATTACTATTTAACTTGTAATTTAAAAATATTCTCCTTTACTAACTAGTAACTGCCACAAATTACTTTATTAAAACTCCAATTATACCCCAAAATTCCAAGAATCATAATCCATAATAATTTTATGAATCCTTTTTTACAATCTTTGCCTTGAAACAACATATTCCTTCCCCAGGTGTAGTCCTAACCCTTTCTGTATAAATGATTTGTGGCTCCAGTGCATTGGCACGCAATGCTAACTTTCTGACGAGGTAATGGCGGGCAAGGAGGAGGACCAGGCAGGAGCAGCGGGGCAGATAGAGGACGCGGATATCCTTTTCAACATTTTTCGCTTTATAACAATCTTTTTATGTAGCATAAAATCTGTTATTGGTGTTGTTGGTCGTCTGCCCCCGCCATTATTTATTGGTCGTGTGCGTGTGTTGTGTGAAAATGAAAATGATAGGCCGTCGCCGGGAGGGAAAAGAATGGTAGAGAGGACCTCCCAGGACCTCCCAGTTTATTAGCTCCCGAAAAGCAGCTGATATATGCGAGCAATTAGGTGGCACCGGGAGGGGGCCCGACCGAAATCGGTGCCTAACACAATCTGGCACGGTTATTGAAAACCGACTTTGCCAGTGTGCGTGCAGGGGTTATTCTTTGGGAGTCCTTGCCAGGCTCAGCTTATGTCTCAGAGGAAAAGTTTCACGGGACAGTGAAATTCAATTAAATGATAAATGCTGCGGAAAAAGTTGCAAGCGCACTTGAAACGATGGCAGCAATTTCAAGTAATTATATCCTGGGAAAGGGGTGGCTTGAAGCCGAATGGTTGATTAAAGGATCTACCAATATTTTGGCTCAAAGATATACGGGGAACATTCACTATTTATGCGTCTCTAAATTATTTTTTTTAAGTCCTTATTAATGATTTTCAAACAAAATCCCGTTTTCAAGTAATTCTTTGCAAGGAAAAAAGTTCTATGACATTTTTTAAGTTAAAGTGCAAGAAATAATTATTTATTTATGTATGTATATATACATAGATATATTAATATTTATCATTAAATTTTACAAAAATGTTATAAAAGAATGTTATATATCAGAAGAAAATATAAAAAAATATTTTAAACTACAAATCCGTTGGGTTAATATTAATAATTAATTTGTTTATATGTTATAATGTGAAAATACATTAATGTCAAATAAAATCTATTAAACACTTAAAAAAATAAAGTAATTAAACACTTAAAAAAATAAAGTGAGCAATTAAAAATTGTGTATTAAACGATTAAATAAATGTAAAAAATTATTTTTCTACACTATTTAATGGCTAACTTTCTAAAAATAATTCATGTAAAAATTTTTTTTATATAGATATCGCTAAAAAATTAATTTATATGAAGAAGATCTTTTAAAAGCCGCAGAAAAAGAAAAAGGAGAATACTTGCAATGAATAAATTAACCAAATTTGTTTTTATAAAAATTAATTTTTATCTATTTTTTATAGTAGATATTTTCAGCTAAAAAAATCCCGTTGAATAAATACATTTTGTTTAAATGGTAATTATAAACAAATATATTATGTATTATGTACCTAATAATAATACAAACAAATATTTATTTGTTGCTTAAAACTAAAAATAATGAAAATACCTTATGGAACCACCAACTTAGCAGCATGTATTATGTTTATAGACTCAAATAGATTTTTCAATGCCACACATCTAAATAAAAGCGTACAATAAACCCTCTTTTCCGGAGTCCAATGCCATGACCAATGACAATCCATTTTTCCATCGCACGCACCCAACTATCGTCCCCGTTTCTGGTGGCGGAGTCTCAACCCTTTGCTACGTCACAGAATTCATTCATAAAATCGGGCACCAAGTTCCACGCGCCCAAAAGTATACAGAGAGGATTTCCCTGAGCTTCAACCGCCGGAGCTGGCTTTCAACCGGCCTTTCAATCGGGGGCCGAGAGAGCTCTTCAATCGTGGTGAGTTTGCCACAGAACACCCCCCATTGGGCAGGACGCACACACACTGGGACACACACACGCAGCTTAGAAAAAAAGAAGCACAACAAAGTGAAAAGCGCCCGCCAACAAAAAGCAAAATAAAATGTGGCCCGGCAACAACAAAAATCACAGTTGTCTGATTCGTTCGCGACGCAGCTGCCCGCCGCCCACCGCCCCCTTGCCCCCACAGACACCACCCACACACACAAGCACACTGCCACACACTCACCCCAAAAACGACGATGATTCGCCCCAAAGAGCATCTTCGGCAGCGCCTCGGCAATCGTATTTATTCGTGCCCCCAGCTGGTGAGGCTCCAGCCATCGAAGGCCTCGGTTCTCAGTCCTCAGTCCTTCGTCAGCGCTCGTTTCGTGCGGTTGTGTCGTCCTGCCGATCCTGCCACAAAATACTGATTATAATCGCCAGCTTAGTCGCGAGTGCTTTTGCCGCCAAGTGTTGCATTCGTGCTGCAAGTGAATTAAAATGATGCTAATACAGCCATGAGTGAATCGTGCTAAGCGGATTTCTTGCCAAGAGTTGGTTACTGCTTATGAAATTAAATGTTATAAAGAAAATAATTAAGACTTGGGGTTTTATTTATAAACTAATATGTATAGACTGTGCTGATTTAAAGATCAAGAAAATAGATGAACTCTATTATTAATAAAATCAAAGTTTTACATATTTTTGGTCCTTCGAGCCGGTTAGCTAGGAAACAGGTTAATTGCGGATAGCTACTACATTCAAGAGTGATCTTTTCAGTCTGATCTTCACTTATAAAAATAGTTTTAATTATATTAAATATTACGTTTTAAATAAATTCTTTAATATTTAATATAAATCTTTTAAAATGTACCTTAAAATATATAAATTATAAACTATGATCAAAACTTGATCGAGTATACTCTAAAAAACAAAACCTTATGAAAAAAATCCCAAAAAATCTGTTTTTCTAATCTATTTGACTTCGAGACCGTCTTGAAGCCAAAAATAATAATAATCTCAGTGAATTTCTGCCCACATCGACAACAAGTAGAACCCCGCTTGCGTGCCTGGCCTCTGGAGCGTTCTTAGCCGCTTGTTGGCAATTTTGCCTCGACTTTGGCGACATTTGCCGTCAGCTGCGTGTTTATTGTAATTATATTTAAAGTAAAAACAAAAGCCAAGTTATTTACGAGGCAAAAACAATCGCAACGAGCCACCCTCGCCTGCTTTTGCCGGGGCTGCAATGCGTGTGCTCCTGATGTGTGTGGTGTGTCCTGAAATTTGCCTACAAATGTGTCTGGTCCGGCACTCGACGCTGTTTATTGCCACTGTGCCCAGTCAGTCGGTCGGTCTGGATTGTCCTAGCTGCAGGTTTTAGGCCGCCGACAATTGCATATTTTATGTTTCACGACTGGCGGCTGTAATTTAAAGTTCATTGATATCCATAAAGCGCAGGCCAAACGCACGCAGACATGTAAATGCAAATCCATTGTCTGTCCCGATGTAGCCCATTTGTTGCAAATATGTTGCGATTTCGGGGGCTGCCCCGGATATAATAGATTCTTCCCACACCCAGGGGATTCCCCGGGCTCTCGCCTGTTTTCGATTTATGTCATTTCTCTATAATTTGCATTTTACATACAATTTCTGATCGGTTTGGGTTTTTATCTGCACGATTGTGATTGCAGCTGGTCCTAAAACCGAATTTGCAGCTTATCGACGGGGGACAGGTGCCGGACTGGGGCTGGAGATATATTAGGGAAATGAAAACATGTTGACTGATACAGATTGAAAAGCCAGCGGTTACGGGAGCACACACACTCCTCCAGGAGTAACATCCCTAAGCCCATTTACAAATCAGAAATCAAAACAATGGTTCACACCCTCTGCAGTTGCATTTTGAATGCAAATTGCCTAGGCTCGGTTTCTATGGGGGTTAGTCCGGCAGGGGTGAGCGACTCCGAGTGGGGGAGTCAAGGCGATATCGTAATGGTTCTCGGGCGCCTCGTCAGCTTGACATAATGGCCAACATGTGAGGGCCCCGGCTGAGTTCGCCTTGCACTCTTGTTGTTGTTGCTGTTGTTAATAACAAGCGATAATAATCAACTTCCGTGCTGGAAAGTGAGCGGAGAGGAAAATTCTGAAAATTCGAGCAAAACTTTGCATACTTGAAGGCACCGCCAACAGAGCTGCCTGAGTTATGCAAATTTTATGCAGGGTCAGTTAACTGACTTAGCCCTGGGCCCCCCTTTGGATTAAAAAACAAAAAGCTAGACGGAGACTTATTTTGAAAAATGTCGAAGTCGCATCGCGATAGCAGCGAAATATATCACGTGTTAATTAATGTTTGTGTTGGAAATTGAAACCTGACCAAGTTTCCGAGGCCTCCGAAGTGCGGTCAGAATATTTAGCTTATTATTGTGGATGGTATCAAGATTCTTTAAAGAAACAATCTCATAAGGCACACCAGCAAATGCCAGAAAGATTGAGCGAGAGAAGGGGTGCTGACATTTTGCACATAATTTAGCAGCTGATTATACAAATTGGAGCGCGGGATGGTAGGCAACTTTGCATGTCCGAAACCATAAAAATAATATACGACAGGGCCGCCACAAAGCTGCCATGAGTAGCTCTTATTATGTGCCATAAATATTTTGTAGAGGCCGCACTTGAAATAACTCGGCTGAAGAGTGTTTGTCAGTTGAAGCCGAAGATATAAGGCTTAAAATGGGGCTAGATATCAGCGGAAGGCAGAGGCAGAAGATTGTACAATTATATTATTTTGAAACTTGAGCAAGGCTTGCTTAGAATATTTTATAAACTATTAAAATTTATATTTTATAAACAAAAGAACTTTAATCTTTCTAAATATATTTTTGTATTACATTTTCTATCTAAACTTGAAAATAGGGATAGCCACTTGATATTTTCCTAGCTAAATTAATACAACTAATTGTTTTATAATTATTTATAAATAAATGTTTATATATAAATAAATATTTGTTAAGGTTCTTTGCTTAAATTCATAAACTAAAGCCTCTGGTAGAAAATATTCACATTAATAAAATGCTTTTGTTGTATATAACTTACTATATTTTCATTAATTTTTTAAAACAAAAAAAATTGAGTAGTAAAATAAATTACATGTACAAAATTATGTATATTAATCTGGCCTTGCAAGATTGTCATATACAAATTGAGAAATTAAACCGCAATAAATATTAATAATAAAAATTCCATATATTTTTTATATTTAACTTTAAAAAATGTATAATGTATGTATAATATAATAATGTATTTTGATAATTTAATACATAGCTTACAATAATCCCGCTTAAATTTTACTTTATAAATATGCAACTTTGCCTTAAGTCCTTGCTGAAATAAGAATAAAACAGATTACTGGTTTCTCGATCGTAGTCAATACTACAAAGAAACCGCTACAATTAGCTATGCAAACAGGGACTCTCCACGATATGGCTTCGGATTTTGTGGTCAGGCCAGAGGTCTAGAGGCCGAAGCCATCCCAGCCCATCACCAGGCCATGGCTCTGTCCCTGTCGCTCACCCTGTCTACGGCTCCTGACGTGGCCCGCATGCTCTAAATTATTAATAATATTGCCATGCCCATTTGCTAGACATTTTTAGTGCCTACCCCGCACTCCCGTAACCATTTGCAGTCCTGTCGCTTGCCTGCTGTCTTTTGTAGTCTACTTTTCCGGGCATGCAATGTGAATTTCAATGTGTGTGTGTGTGTCAGTCTGACAAAAGGACAACACAACACAACACATATGCCGGCAACTTTGCTTTCAATTGCGCTAAATTATAAAAAAAAAATCAATAGGCCCAGCAACTCAAAGGGAGGGAAAAAGAATTTTAATGAAATGTCATTTTAAAATTGTTCCTGTCAGTTTGTGGGCACCAGAAAGTAGGTTTTTAATATTTCCCAGCCAGAAACCCTTTGCATGTTACGGCTCAGGGCCGAGTCAGCTGGAAAGTTAATCAAGGTTCTGCAATCGTAGGGGCGGACTACCGACTTGAAGCTAACATTGATATGTGATTCGTACCCCTATTTCGAAATGAAGTTGACGTAGTTTTTCATTTCGTTTTCAAAATTGACACAGGCCTTGGTCTGCAGTCAAAGATAAAGCTGAAATCCTATAAAAGATTGGGAGGATTTGGTAAAAGCATGCTTGAGAACACTAGTTTTATGGTGAACTATTAGAACTAGTAAAAAAAATGTTGTACTATGATTGTCCTTAAGAAATCCAAGAAATGTTTGAACAATTTTGTATTTACGTATACGTAATATTTTTAATATATTTTTCACCTTTTTTAAGCTGATATAGTTAACCTAATAGGTTAAAAAAAATTTATATGATTTTTAATTTATAAAAAGTACTTTTTTAATGATAGTAATAGTTTTTCTTAGGAGTTTATCAATAAAATAAATTTATTAAAAATCGAAAAGTACAAAATAAACTTTTTTAAAATCAAAACTTTATCGAAAATAAATACAATTTGAAACTAAAATATATTGCTTAAAATACTAAATTTGATTAGAAATAAATTTTTTATAAATAATCGTAAGATAAAAATTATTAAATATTAAATTAATAATTATGATGTGAAGATAATAAAAGAATTAACTTCAAATTCATAAATAAAAAATATTAAACCATTTCCTACATCCTTTTAAATATGTTTAAAGACTAAAAAATATTATTTTAATACAAATATACAGTATCTGAAACTAATTAATGAATAATAAACAGTTTACAATTTAACAAAATGTATTTATTACTTTTCCAAATGCCTACCTGCAGCATATTTACTCACCTGGAGTCTCACTTAAAGTCAAGTTCCCTGGGAATGTCAACCACTTTGCGCCGTCAATTTAATACCCATTTCACTACCGAACTTTGCTTATGTAATAAGGACTCTCCCCAAAGTCTGATTACAACTGCAGTGCCCCATAAGCTGTGTCGCACATGTCACTTAGCCCGGCCGAAAATAAAGAACCCAGGGCCAACTTAACTTTGGCATAAAGCGCAACTATTTGGTAGCCGTCAGAGGGGCCCGTAACGATGCACGATTTGATGCTTTATTTACGAGTCCACACACGATGCGGCAGCCAGCGAAACATTTCATTTCCGGTCCGTAAACAGTTTTTACCTTTGGGCGGCCAGAAATGAAACAAAACCAAATGAAATGAAATAAAATGGGCTCTGGCGGAAGCGCATGCAACACCTTGCCCGAGAGATAGTTGCAGGTCGGCAGTTAATTCCTGCCAGCTGTTCGCCTGCAGAATTTACACAGCCAGGACACGCAAAATAAGAGCCAAGAGCAAGGGCCATAACTGGCGGAAGAAATATGCTGAGGCCGGGGTACATCCGGATGCGGACTCCGCCGCGCTCCCACCCCCCCTTTAAACTTGAAACTTTTTAATTTGGCGTATTTTCGACCGGCATCGCGATTATTGTTTGCCATTGTTTCGTAGTTTTGATTCTGTTTTCAAGTACTTTTTGTTGAACTTTTGCCCAGTTGCCTGTTTGCACGCATAAACAGCAACAGCAAAAGCACCAGCAATGGCCAGGAGTTGTTGCCATTAGAGGCGCGCTAATGACTGCCAATTACGAGGCGCGGTTATGCCCATATTTTCGAGCGGTTAAGGGTCGGTTGTGCGGGGATTTGAGGGAGTTTCTAGAGGAACAAGTTTTGCCTGGGTGTTTTTTCATCCATTATAACTATATTGCATCCCACAGTTAATCCACAGTTACAAAAGACAACTCAATGGTTTCGTGTGTTAATAACAAACAACTCTATAAGAAACTCTAAAGAAAAATATACCCTTCTCAAAATGAAAACAAAATCCTCTCGAAGCCACAGTCTGGCCAGTGCTTTGAGCTCTGCAGGAACAATTGCACTGGTGGTTATCCTGATGAGTCCACAATGTCAGCTCCAGAGGGTGGAGGTGCCAGCTGAAGTAATAGGTAAGTTCCAATTATAACATATACATAAATATTCAGTTCATAATTATCCACTTATTTAAGCCTCTACAATTCCCATTATATTCCAATTATATTGCTATCAAGCATAACCAATTTCACCGGATATCCCTTGACTTTATTACAGTTGATCCCAAATTTAGTTCTCCAATTGTGAATATGACAGCGCCCGTGGGACGTGATGCCTTCCTCACGTGCGTCGTCCAGGACCTCGGACCGTACAAGGTGAGTTCCGCGCCACAAATCCAATGATAGTCGAGTCGAATCAGCAAATCAGCTCGGCAGCTGTTCCGGCCCCGGCTCCCGGTTCCAAAAGCCCGCTCGATTACACACTCAATAAGCAGCCACAAAACCGAAACCCGAGCGCATTAATATTCATTAACATTTCACCATCCCACCAGACTGAAGCCCGGTCCCGGCCGGGCAATCTCAAAGACCAAATCTCGACACCCAAAAGCCGGCAACAAGAGTTGAATGGCAGTGGGAATGAAAGTGAAAATAAAAACATAAATAGGGATATGCCGGGCTTACCGGATGACAAAAGCGAAAATCACATAAAAAGTAATTGAAATATGAATGAGGACGTGTTAAGCGAACAAGAGTGGAGTCCCTTTCCCCCCTGGTGTCTGTGTTTATGCGGGGTGTATTGTGTATATAAAAGAAGGCAGTTCTGACACTATGAATTATATATTCCTAAAAATCATGTGAAACTGGTTAGCCTCATTTACTGATTTATTAAATTATTTAAATTACAAAAATAATTTATTCTACAAATTTGACTCTTTAAATTTATATTTTTATGGTTTTATTAAATATTTTTGTATATAAATACCAAGTATCTAAAAGTCGTAACCTTTTGCCATGATATTCTACCTTTGTTTGTGTTTGCATTTGCATTCGTTTGCCTCGTTGGGGGAGCAAATGTATCTGAATCCACAGCAGGTAACAGAAAGTGTAGATCTCCATTGAAGTGCAAAGCTTTGTCCTCGCCCTCCGCCGGGATTCTGGCATCCGGGCATTGTAAGGACTTTGACAGGGGGGGGGAGGTAGAGGCATTCGGAGGAAAGCCACCCCGCAGTCAGTGCCATGCACAATTAAGCGATGTTCCGCTCAAAGATAATTGAGCAGGCACTTGGGTGTAATTACTTACTTTATGCTGACAGCAGGCCGGGGACCCCAAAACAAAGCCAAAATTCAATTTTACTCAAAATAATTCATTAGCCTTCGATTCACATGGCTGGAAATTAGCCTGTATTTAATTTATTAATGCGCACACGGGAATATGCCGTTTCACAAATAAGTCAAATAGCTTCACGTGTTGACATGGCCGCCGTTTCACATGCAAGAACGAAGAACGAAAAGGGTTGAACTCGACCCACTCCCCCCCCGTTTACAGAATACTTTCAGCTTTTTAGCTTACAAGCTGCGTGCTTTATCGCATAATAATTTACCTGGGTAATTGTACAATTACGAGCTCCTCGGTGTGTGGGCGAGCGGGGGAGAAATTCTTAAACAGTTCGGGGAATAGATTTTTTTTGTGTATAATTGAACAGCTTTGCATGCTAGTTATGTTCAATTTGGCGTCGTGATTCACAACTGACACGCTTTTAAACAGGATTCTGGCATGCCAGATAAGGATAACCCAGGAATGTGATTACAGGCAGTTAGTTTTCCTATTTAAAATATCAATTATGGTCAGCCAACAGAGCTTCAATTACATAGGAATAAGAATTACTATGCCTATATGGGTTAAAGTCTTAAAAAGAAACTAATACTGTAGATTTTCTTCTGTAAATTATGGAAAACTTAACTCTTTACTAAGGTGTCTAAAAATGTGATTCAAAATTTGTACATTTAAACAAACAAAATTTGAAAATGGTTAGGGAAATAAAATCTCTAGTAATTTCACTTTAATTTTATAAATTATAAATCTCTAAAAATAAAATTTAAATATTTAAATTACAGGTGGCGTGGCTTCGTGTCGACACCCAAACTATCCTAACGATTCAAAATCATGTTATAACCAAAAACCAACGCATTGGCATTGCCAACTCCGAGCACAAGACTTGGACCATGCGTATAAGGGACATCAAGGAGTCGGATAAAGGCTGGTAAGCCAAAGACCCATTGATTCCCTAGATCTCTTATTAAAATAAAGGTTAATTTTCCAGGTACATGTGCCAAATTAACACGGATCCGATGAAGAGCCAAATGGGTTACCTGGACGTTGTCGGTAAGTGGTTATTATTCTGCCCTTTACGTTTCGGCTGTCAAACAATCATACGCCTCGTTGCCGGGCCTTCCTCAGCCATTGTTCGAACCGCATTTTATGGAACAAAAAATTAAAAAAAAAAATCAACAACAAAATGAAATGCACAAAAAGGAAATGAGTCGAGTTGTGCTTGACGGAAAAATGAGAATAGCACAGCACAGTCAGGAGTATACGGTGGCCACCACCAAGGGGATCAGTTTGGGAGCCCGTTGGCTTTTTTAATACCGGCTCACTAACACCAGAGGACCCGCAGTGAGGCTCTGCGAATGGAGTTCGCCATGGGCGACTTTCCATTGCGAGTGCTTAAACATGTTTAACCGTCCGCTGAACCGCAGAAATTGTTGATTTTGAATTAAAACGGCAACGCGCAACGCGGAGAGGCGGCGTAAGAAAATGCTCCCCTGCCTAGGAAGTGGTCACCGGGCACATTTGGGTTGTCCATTTGCGGTTCGCTGTGCCCGTGGCCCGTGTTTGTCCCATCCTATTTCCCCATGGCCGCCATCCCTGTGCCACTCAACTGGCTAAATACCTTTCGCTGGCAAATCTAAATCAACGCGCTAAATATTTTAGCCACCATTGCAGTCGGCGCGCGGCATTCACTGGCAAACACGAAAAAGTATAATCAACTGTGTGTATTTGCACTGGATAATCAGCGGGGCTAGGGACAGTGGACTGAAAGCAATTTGAATGGAAAAAGAGTTTCATTAAAATAAAATTTTCTAGGAAATGTAAAATTTGTTTAAAGAAAATTCTAATGAAATCAAAAGATATTTTGGCAGACTTTTTCTTTCCTTTGCTTAGAAAAATAATATCCTTTTTTTTCCAATTAAACACCACTGTATCCCGGCACCAAATATCACGGGGTGGCAGCGGAAGTCGGCCACGGGAAACGTTCGAGTTCAGAGCGAAGCTGAGGAGGGTAAAGTGCGGGCTGTGGACGTCGGTCGGCGATGATGATTTTCGTGACCGAGTGCAGTTAAATAGTCGACGACAAACCGGAGAGGAAGCGGCAACGCTTTCACCTTTTCGGGCTTCCAGTGCTCCCAAAGCCCGCACTCCAAAAACCCACGTACACGCAGGCAGGATATGTGCGATGGCCGGACTCCCCACACAGCCGGACTTGTCCGGCATTCCCGACATTTAAGCTGATGAGATATTCATATGCAAAGTTTCTGATTCCGATTTTTGCACACAATTTTGTAGTGTGTTTTATTTAACAATTCAATAAAACGACAAGTGACATGATAATTAAAGAGAATAGGATAGGTGACAATCAAGTATGATTAGATAGGGTTGTTATCTACTGTTAAAGCCTTGGTGGCCCCACCTAGATTCTCTGAAGCTCTGAATAGATTCCCCGATTCCCCGATTCCCTGATTCCCCAAATGCCACGTCCAGACCCACCACCAAATGGAACATAGTTTTCCCGCTCCCCGGCCTAACCTTGGCCACTTAATGACCATCCAGTGGCCAGCACACAGACACTGACTCACTCGCTCCCGAGCTTAACAAGCTGTTTGTCAACACCAGCACATTTTTTGGTCATTTACCGACCACATAATTGCGGGATATTATATGCATACAAACCAGAGACCGGTGGAGACCGGAGACCAGAGACCGAAAGCCATTCCCCTCGCCCGGCATTATTACGTTTTCACGGTTCATAGGTTTCGGCCGTGGGTGTCCTTACCGCTGCCGCCGTGGTAATAATTTGTGTGTTTCAGGACATGTGAAAAGTTTGTCCTTTAAACAAAAGCACATGCGAGGACGACAGTGGCCGAAATGCAGGCGGGAATTTCTTTTGGTGGATTGTGGTAGCAAAATGAATGAATCACTGCCCACCCGAGGGCGCCATATGAACAATCCAAGCAAATTATTTAAATGAAAAATTACAAATTTAAATTATTTAAAACGATTGCAGTGGTAGCCCACCCTCTCATTCCCATTCTCTCTCTCTCTTTCTCTTTACATGTGGAATGCAATATTTTTTAAATGTTTGTTATAAACATTATCTACCAACAACAACAACGACGACAACGACGACGACTGCCGGCGACCTCGATGGCAACCCGATGGCTGTTGGCTGTTGTTGCTGCTGTTCCTGATGCCTCCTCTGTTGCCGGGCTGCAGTACCGCCGGATATCCTAGATTATCCTACAAGCACGGACATGGTCGTTCGCGAAGGCAGTAACGTGACGCTCAAATGCGCTGCTACCGGTTCACCAGAGCCGACAATTACATGGCGACGTGAAAGTGGAGTGCCCATCGAGCTGGCCAGCGGCGAGGAAGGTAAGCCGTTGGATTCGAATTTGGGTTTCACAAGTTCGCACACAGCCCAAAATTTAAACTGGGTGCACTGGGATATCAATATCTAGTAAATTATTTATTAATTTATTATGCATTTTTTGTGTATATTTAAATTTTTAAATAATCATTTTCGGTATCAAAAAATATAAGTAACTACGACAGGAAATATAAAAATCGTAGCCACCTTAAACACAACAAACTTATTCGGATTTGAAAACAATATATATTTAGCTCTCGAATCATTTCTATCTTAAAGTAAATCTTGCAGTTTAAATTTTAAAGATCCTCAAAACCAACGACAGCCAACCAATCGACTAGGTATTTGTTATGGAATTTTCCGTATGCATTTTCTTTCAGTACAACCGTACGATTCCCTGGAAAAGCCATGCCCTTTTCGCCACCACTCCGCTCTGATTTGTGAGTGCCTTTGCTGTTGTTGTCGACTCTGCCGCCTGCATGAGGCTTTCCATCCAACATTTTTGAGTACTTTTACACAAAAAGGCAGCGGCAACCGAGTTGGCCCTCAGCAGTTATGCCCACAGGTCGGCCATGGCTACGAGTCCCACGGCTATCGAGGACTAGGAGTACCACACCGGGCCGAGGGCTGGTTCTCGATGGCTGATGGCTGCCTGATGGGTGACGAGTGGGTGAGGAGGGTGTGAGTGTGGGTGTGGCCAGAGCACCTGCTGCAGTGTGGCCAGCATGAGAGAATTTCGCCAGCTGCTGTTTGGCTGTTGATGATGATGACGTCTGACTGACAGAATTAGCAAATGGTTAGGGACCGATCGGTGGGTGGTGGCCAAGTGGTGTATGGTGGGTGCCAGGAGGTGGTGCAGGCCAGATTTGCTAATTGGCCTTGAAGTGTCCGGCAGTTGAGTGGAGTTTGGAAAATAGCAAGTTTTCAATTTGGTTTGCCAGGAGCGTTGGTTTTTAATTAAAGATATTCGTTTGTTTACATAAGTTCTAGAGCAAAAATCCTGGAAATAGCAGTTTAAATTGTTTGTTTATAACACTAATTAGTAAATTAATAATATTAAATTGTCAGTTTAAAATTATAGGTAATTTAATTCCGAAATTTTAAGAGCCTTCGAATGTTTTTGCTTTTACTAGTGGTTAGTAAAATATCAAAAAACTCAAGAAATATTTATTAAATTAAAAATAATAAAACCTCCTCATTTTAATATCAAACTTTTCAAAATAAACTTCAAAATAATCCCTCTGTTTATATTAATGCATTCCCTAATATATCAAAAATATAAAAAAAAAACATCATCATAGTCGACACGAAGGATCAAAAGCCAAATAAAAACGGAACTCAAATCAAAGGCTCCAGTAAAAAGGCCACGAAAAACACAAAAAAAAAAACATGAAGCACAAAAAGAACTCATACGCTTAAATAAGAGGATGGAACAAAATCAGAATGAAGAGAACAAAAAGCTGGTAAAATGACCTTTTCGCCGGGGCTTAAATGTCTGCCACCCAATGCAGTCCTTGCCAAACAAGTCTGCTTCCCGGTTAGCGAATTTTCCCAACCCAATTTTCCAGTTTTCAACGTTTTCATTCGTGTGTGCTTGTAATGCACAGTCGGGGGCTAGACTAAATCGAGAGTTGCAGAGTATTATAAACTTGAACGGAGTCTGTGGCATATAAAGCTCCTGCTTCTAAATTTATATAAATTATATAGATATTAACAATATCAAATAACATCAAATTTCAATTTTCTGCTTATTAAAAAATATAATTTACTATCGTTTCTCTAAAATGTTATATCTATAAGTTCACCTAGAGTATTTTCCCATTCTATATCATATTCTTCCAGTTAAAATGTCGTTTTAAGCCCCCTTCTCATTTTGTTTTTGTGACAAAACTTTGTGTTTCATTTGAAATTTGATTATTCCAACTCGCGTTTGTTGTTGCACCGAATCGAAATGGAATGAAATCGTCTGAAGAGAAGTAAAGTTTTATGCCATGGCGAGGCTCGAACCAAATTACACGTTTTTCGTGGCTATTACGTTTAATGACCGCTCCGTGAACCCCGAAAAAAACACCGTGCGATGGGAGAAAGCGGCTAATAAGCGACTCGGTTCAGGTCACTATGGAGGACGGGGGTCGAAAGGCCAAATCAATAAACGAAAATTCAGCTTATTATTATGTACCGCCGCTCTACCTAACAGTATCAAGCGCAAACTAGCCAGAACTTCCGGTTCCGGTGCCCCCGGACACACAATCACACACTCATCCGCAACATCGTCTGCGGCGCTGCCGGCTTAAACCCGCCACTGTGCCATTTTGTATAATGCAAAGCCCAGTTTCGGCTATCAGAACAGGATGTGTATGCTGCCCATGGCCCCATGGAAACATGAGCCCAAAAAAAAGAACCGCCACCAGCATCTATTTGAATTTGTTGTCTGGCATGCAAGTCCTGCTGAAAGGATACCACTGAGTTTCGAGCTTGGAAAATTGTAATAACTGCTATTACATGCCGGGAGTTGTGTTGATACTTTGGTTATTATGACTTTAGTCAATCCAGGGGAACTCTTTAGGGTTGGTTAGCTTGTGGCGGAGAATTGTGAAGGATTAGGGTTAGGCGTTTTTCTTTACAGTAATAAATATTATAAGAAATTTTACAATTAGATAATAATTTCAGGCTGACATAAAAATATATAAAAATACAGAAAAATATACAAAAAATATATATAAAACTTAGTTTAACGTATAAATCATTATCATCACCATTTTCTAGATTGAAAAACTCTCTTATATAAACTTTTTTATTGCTATTATTTTAGATGTCCTATTGAAATATTTAATATCACTTGAAATATAATTTTACAGTTCCTAGTGTCGAGGGCACAGATTTAATAATACCAAATGTAAAGAGACAACATATGGGTGCTTACCTGTGCATAGCTTCCAATGGAGTTCCACCTTCCGTGAGCAAAAGGATAACCCTGGTTGTGCATTGTAAGTTAAAAACATTTAACCTAAAATACCTTTAATTTAATATAAATTGTTGCATTATTTATTTTAATCCATTTTCAGTTCCACCGATGATCACTGTACAAAACCAATTGATCGGCGCCGTAGAGGGTAAAGGCGTTACTTTGGAGTGTGAGTCGGAGGCCTATCCCAAGTCTATTAATTATTGGACAAGGGAACGTGGAGAGATTGTGCCGCCAGGTGAGATTTATACAATTTAAAAAGAAATTTCTTAGATCAAAGAATGGAACTAAAAAGAACAATAACATATAATATTAAAGCAAAATATTGAAAGAGTTTAAATATATATCTCTCAGTTCAGGAATAATTCGAATAACCACATGCAAACTCACATTTAAAAACTCATAAACGCTGTCAGAGTCCCAAAACCCGTACCCACAACCCATCCCTCAATCCCTGAGAGGAAAAGTTTACAGCTTTCCCAGCGGATCACACTACTGGCTAACGAACTGATGACCGTTGAGTGCAAAACTCCACGCGACAGGCGCAGACACACACCAAAAAGTTGTTAATTAGCTGATTTAGTCGCGGCACTCGCACACGGAGTTACTCGCCAGACAGGACCGCAGTCCTGTGGTTTCCCTCCCCTTGGGAAATCCCAGAAAAACCCGAGTAGAGTGGGACGGCTTAGAAGTGAACGCTGCGAAGAAGCGAAGCAAATAACTGCTTTAGCAGCCTCACCGTCATAAATGGAAATGAAATTAATTTACAATTTTGTTTCTGGCAGATTTTAATTGACAACAGAAAAACCGAAACCGAACCCAATCTCTCCCCACGTGTCCTCCCGGCCTCCGGTGTGACATGAGTTCGTGCATAAATTTATGCCTGTCAGCAACATTGTTGAAACTTTTGCCCGTCCGTACTTACCGGCGATGTGAGCGTGACATGCATTTAATTATTAAATAACGCAAAATTTCAATTAAATATTAATTAGGTTATTATTTTATTGAAATATTAACTCGGATATGACAACGCAACCCCCTCAACCAACTCCATTGCAGGTGGCAAATACTCGTCGAATGTTACCGAAATTGGCAACTATCGCAATTCGATGAGGCTCCACATAAATCCTCTGTCGCAGTCGGAATTCGGGGCTTATCGGTGTGTGGCAAAGAACTCGCTGGGCGATACCGATGGCACCATTAAGCTATATAGTAAGTAAAGCCTAAGTAACTACAAGTGTTCAGGTTTTGTAAAGCGAAAGCCTCTGATCATTCACAGGAATACCGCCAAATGCAGTCAACTATGTGGAGAACTTTGAGGCGAGGCATAAAGGTGAGTATTGAGGGATATTGCAGATGAAACATTTTCTATAAATATACATAAAATATTTATTGCTATCAAATTAAAGACAGTTTTGAGGTTTCTGTAACTCGATAGGTTAATTTTAAAATAGGATAATATATATTTCTATATTAGCTTATAAAATTTTCTTGTTAAACTTTTTTGATTGGATTTTAATCAAAATTGGAATAAATAAAATATTTTAAAATTATTTTCATGGAAATTAAAACATTTATCATTAAGAATGAGAATACAACTCTTAAAATTTCTAGTTGAAAATCCTAAAAAAAAAAATATTTCATATAAAATAACATTCTAAATATAATAGAAGTATAATTTACCTTTCCATCAATGTTAAATTATTTAAATTATATTTTTTACTTAACATTTTAAATTGTTATTTAAAGAAACCTTGTTTAAAAAAAAGGGGGTGACCCAACACACGGAGGGTAAAGTAAGCGAGACAAAGCGTGCAAGAAGCAAAATTTAATAGCCACTTGGCATAAATTTAAGATGAGCTGAAAATATTCAACTTGGCCTGGCAGGAATCCTGGGAAATATAAAGCGGGGCGAAAAAGTATAAGGCGAGAAAAAAGCACATAAATAATTCATATGCCATGCAAATCCGTTTCAAATCGTCAACGCCACGGATCAGGTGAACGTTGGCAGACCCAAGTGGGTTGGGGTTGGGTCCTCCACCGGATGAGGCTGCGGTTGAGGTCAGACAAAGTGAAAAATACGGGAGTGAAAATTGAAAGGCAACAAACAGCGACAAGTTTATTATGAATATGCATTGCGAGTGCGAATGCGAATGCGAATGCTTTTCGGCAGTTACTTAAAGATACTCTCAGAAACTCCTCCGCTTCTCTTCATCCGCAACTTAACCGCAATTCAATAATTTCTCATTGCACAGGCAAGAAGCGAACGAAAAGCTCGGAATCGCATCATCCGGCCAGGGCCCAGGAGCACAGCGGCGAGGATATGGAAAATCCCGGAAAAAGAAAAGGTAAGAGGGGATTGGGAATGAGGAGCGCCGTGTGCGGCATGCCGATTAGGGTTATGGGCCATATTTCAAGCACTTGCCCCGTGGTTTGGGTCCGGCTTAACAGGCCACTTGAGACAGGGCGAATGCCATAAAAAAGGGTCCCACAGTTCCCCCCGCTTAGCCCGTCGCCGTCGTCAATGTTTAACAGATTTTCACACTAATTTGCCAAGCAGAAAAACTCACAAAAAAGAAAAGGAAAACTGAGGAGTGCCAAGAGATGGAGGCCAAAGCGTAGCATACTTTTTTGGGCCCGCGCAGCACTGGTAAAAGTTTTTTCCTCCCGCGAGAGGGTCTTAGGGCATAATTGTATATCAATAAACACGCTCGGCTTGGCTTTATGGCAATTTAATGATTTGTAAATACTTGGCCACAATCAAATAAATTCTTTCGCGGTTTGTAGAGGATCGAAAGTTGAAGAGCACGGCGATTCAGGTTATTTTTTTTTTTGTTTTATTGCCTAATTGAATGTGTACTTTGGGTAACACTGAACAGAGGGTAAATTGCGCTTCTTTTTACCAATAAAAAATACAACTTAGACAGTATTAAAACGTAATTTTGATGTCTATATTGACAAAGGAAATATATATATTTCGAAATAAATATATCGTTGATATATTAAACCGAATTAGTAACTTTTTTTTATAATTTTAAGTCTGACTAATAGAAGTAATTAAAGAAATAAACCATTAACAGGGTATACAATAGTCTGTGCACTAAATTAGGCAAATGAAACCAGTTTAAATTATTTTCAAATATATTTTTAAAGGCTTTAAATGTAAATTCAACATCTAAATTATCCCCGCTTTACTTAAAAGTACTTGTAGTTGTCAGTCTTAGTTGATACTCCCGATCTACGGTACCCTTAGAGTGAAAAGGCAAAAATTGACCCATAATCTGGACTTAACCCACCACAAGGACAAGATGGCTTGGTTACTGGCCAAACCAGAACCTCACAGCCTGGCTGCTAATCACTTCACTCAAAAGCTTTAGCCAATTTCCGCTGCCAGCCAGCCGTCCCATTAACATACGAGTCTCTCCCTCTTCTCTCTTCCCTTCCCCGCAGCCGATTTGAGCCTGAGTGCAGAGAGCATTGACAGCATGTACGGGTCCTCGGCAGCCAGGACTTGGCGGCAGGACCTCGACGGACTCCTGCCACTGCTCCTGGCCACGGCAATGGCAGTGGGAACGATGCGGATGCAGAGCACCCAGATGACACGCCTGCCGCAGACACTGACGCATGTTTGACACAGACGCGGAGTTGACACGGACTTCGGCATGGACATGGAGTTAGAATTGGAGTTGGAGTCTGATCTGATCTTGGAACCGGAGCCAAAGCTGCAGTCTGCGGCCATGGCAGTGACTGTGCGATGATGATTGAGTTTGTCAATGCCAAATGCTACTTGGCGCTGATTTATGGCTCGTTGCGGCTGCTTTTAGCTAAGGATTGTCAGCGCGAAATCACAACATACACACACATACCATATATCAAATCGATGTAGCTAGTAAGTCAACCAGGCTTCCTTCCTCGTATGTAACTCCCCCTGAACGCGTGCATGTTGAGCTGTTGATTCTAGAGACTAAGTTCCTTGTGTCCCTGTAAAATATCACTGTACGCAAATCGATGACGGCACATGTATATAGAATGTATCGCAAGGTTTTTTTGTATTTCTCTAGCGGGTTAAGGGCGAACGGTTATGTATTATAACACTTGTATAAACCAGATCTGGGCGTTATGTAAGAGACTGTATGTGTGCAAAGTAACATTTAATTGCCATTTGAAACGAAGCTAAAATGTTATAGTTGTCAACAGGGTTAAAACGAATATATAAAACTAGTTGGTAAGCAAAGGCTGGAGGGGTAAGGACACAGATTGGGAGCAGAAGTCGTGGAGCAGAGTCAAAGAGAATTAAATATCCGCCAAATGCTCAGAAATGAAATATTACATATTTATAAATCCTGCAAAAAAAATCTAGCAAAGCTCAATTGTTCTCCGTTACCGCGCTTAATGGCTCCTGAAATCTTCTGAACCCTTTCCAAAAGTTAAAAACAATACTTAAGTCGCATTACAAAAAATACATATCATTTATTAAACATACTAAGCACATTAAATAATATTTAAAATACAATTAACAAATATCTTTTCTGGCTTTCTGTTTGATAAACAATCAACATTGATAAACCAAAAAAAAAACAATGGATTCCAGTTAATAAAAACACAAAAAAAAAAGGAATGAAGCAAATTTAATGCGCAAATTAATCTCATGATTAAAAGCGAAAGGAATTTCATTTAATATATATTTAGCAAATTGTATATTTCCACACGAAGTAAAATTGTTAAAACCGCAAATTATATAGTTATGTTTATACCGCTATAATTATGCTATACAAACAAGAATATATAAAAATATCTATAAATATATATATATACATCTGTAAGCATTTCATGTACATTTCAGTGTAAGCGACTTGGCAAATGGACAGGAATATTTATAAAATAAAATTTAACATTAAAGCGTTAAAAAGGGAGAAGGCTTTTCATTTTTATAGAGCTTAAAGTTGAAACTTTTTGAGTAAGTATATAAATTAAAATATATTTTATTAAATTAATAATTTAATAATATTTAAAAGATCTTATTTTAACTTACAGAGAATTATAAAAAATTTACTAAAATGTGTAAACAAAGAAAACAATTATTAAAATTTATATTAAAATGAATGAATACCTATATTTTATTTTTTTACATTTTGTACAAACCTTTAGCCCTTATTTCTCCTCTTTATTTACTTAGAAAATCCACTCTTTTTATTCGTGTAACTTTCGTAAGATTTGAAACCATCAAAATGCCCACAAAGAGCGCATAAATTACAAATATATACCAAAACGGGACACTAAAAAATCAAATTAAAAGCGGCTACAAATTTGAAATAAAACAAAAAAAAATTGCTTTCATTAAGGAAACTTTAAGTGCGGGCCAGCACGCAAAACCAAACCAACAAAGCAAAGCCAAAATTAGAAAACACAACTCGGGGAAAACTCTTCAAAAAGCTCGGGCTAATAAAAAGCCCTAGCCAGAGTTTGACCAAGTCGGAGTGGAGTGTTGAGTGTATTGTGTTTATATATGTGTGAGCGTGTGTATTACGACTAGTTTTTATTACATTTGTTTCCAGGAATTTTCAGACATGCCAAAACAGGTGCAACCGCAGCACCATCACCGGCTTACGTGAGCGAGCTGCTTGTTTGCTCCTTTTTTTTAGTGCATTTTCATGGATTTTTCTCCCTCCGCCCAAAAATGGCCGAGTGCCCTGACCCCGAGGGGATGTCTGACAGGCATTTTGCATATAACGCATATAAATCTCAAGGTTAAAGTGTTGTAAATATGCATTTTACCTCGCCGGACATTGGGTAATGTTAACCAAAAACCATGGCCCAACTGAATGTCCCGAATATTTTCGATTTTAATAATGTCAAAATGCTCTTGGGGGTATTAAGCGTTCTGATTGCATTCAGCAGGGAAAATATAAATATGGGACCTATATTTTCAGCATGTCAGCCACTGAATAGGAAGTTATAGGGAAACGTTTTTTAGTATAAAGTTTGTATTTACTTACGTTGATATAAAAAGTTCAATAAGCAAGTAATGGTAAATATTAAAAAGTAAAAATGTAACTATATTTAGAAAGTAAAAGGGGAAATATATGGTAAATTACAAAGCTTAAGGGAACTTTACATGCTCTAGTTTTTACAAAATATTTCCTTTTAAAGCTAGAGATTTAACATCTTATAAGTTATATTTTTATTTATATTTACTATTTTATTTTTCGTATTTCCACCCTTCACAGTTCAATTTAAACTTGCCTCAAATTTTCGTAATTTTATTAAATAAGTTGTTTAAATATTACCACTGGACCTTGTCCCTTGATATCACCAAGCCATACACCTCGACACCTTTGCCTAATTGCTAGCCTGGTCACCATTTTTCGCCGAAATTCAATTAACAGCCAGAGCAATTACACAACACAAGTTTAGATACGCTTCCCTCGACCAAGCTTGTATATTAGCATAATTACGAGTATTTTGCCAAAAGGAGCAACCGGAAATCCAAGCAGTGGCGCCAGCTGTCGACGGAAAATGGCATCTGGTAAGTCTGAGCACAATTAACATTACTTAAATACACATTAAGGTTAAAGACGCGCAATTTCTTCATGTTCTGGGGCTATTTTTTCAGCGCCAAGTTGTTTATCAAAGCTTCGGTGCGGGTGGTGAGGCGCCGCCGAAGGGGCCCTAAAAATTGCGTGACGCACCGAAAGGAAAGCATTTCCACACACACACACAAAGCAACAGTGGAAAACCCGCGGAGAGCGAGGACACAATGCCGAACAGGAAAGGCAATGAAAATAAACACAGTAATTAAGTTAATGAGCATTTTGAGATTTATTATTAATTTTCTTTTGTGCCCTCTGCGTTGTGGTGAAAAATCATTTCGTATATTTTTCTGTGGTTATTTATTATAATTATTGGCAAAGCTTTCGCTTTCGCTTTCGCTTTCACATTTTGCTTTCGCTTTCGTTAAACTATTTTTGTTTCAGCCTTTCGATTTGCATTTAAAACGCTCCAAGCCGCAAAACATGCTAATCTGCATTCAGAAATTCGCTTTGCAATAATTGTTTTATTTTGTATGTGGCTGCGTGCCCTTAATTGTTATTTAAATGCTTTCTAAATGGTTTTAAATATATTTGCTGGCTAAAGTGCGATGATTCCTGGGAGGCATTTGTCGAAAATGGTTCTTTAATTTATGGTCGAGTCGTAAAAATCATTTTTCCGCATTAACATTTTGTCATTCTGCCAGCCGAGATTATGCCGTTGCCCCTCATATGAAAAGGGTCCCCATTTAGCTGTTGTACCCAAATTTTACGATTTCGTATTAAAGTTTATGGCCCCCCCAAGCAACAACAACAAAAATTCGAAAATAGCCAACAATTTGTTACCTAGACAAAGTGGCAGACATACGAGAATGAGTCATCCTATCAACCAAAAAGCAAATTTCAAAAGTAAGTCACACTAAATTAACCAATAACCGCAAGACTTTTCAATTAGTAGCTCGATAAAGCGCTAGTTAAATCTTTCAGGGCAATTTCAAGCCATAAATGAGTGCAATTTATTGAACAATTTACCTACAATTAGGCAAGTCTCAGTCGAGATATAAAAACCTAGCTATGATATATTCACTAAAGACCATCATGCACAAGATAAAGATAATGGTAATGACAAGAGCCCCGATTAGGCAAGTTGGCAAGTATGCACTGGGAAAAAAAGAGGGTATTTTAGACAAATATAATAATATTATAAGCATGATATATACTGAAGAGTATTTATGGTTGTATTTAAATATTTGCATATATTATGGGTATTGTATGTCGTATCCCATGACTTCTTCTGACAAACGATTTGTATGTCACCTGTTATAATTAAAAACAATCGATTTATCAGGTCGTCTCCTAATATAAACATTCTATAAGTTTTTAAAAATAATTTTACAAATTTCATTACCAGATATAACAAGTCAACCTATTACCCTTCTCATATAGATAATTTCGTTCAGTGTTCCAACAAATTGCCTTCCAACTAAAGCCCTAATCACCTGAGAAACCCTGCCCACCTCCTGGCAACAAAAACACACAACACACAGAGAGCCACAAATAGTCCAAGCGCTCCCTGGTCCCCTGTCAGATAACCCACATAATCATGTCCGACTCGCTCTCATCATGTAAACAAAACTACAATTAATCAAAGATTTTACCAAACGGGACTTTATTACACGAGGCTTTGGTTAATTGCATAAATAAAAGTCTGATGGCCGGGGGTAGGTGGAAAAAAAAAGCTTAATTAAGCCAGCTCCACCACTTGCCGACTCCCCGTGGACTTGGCAAATAAATAATAAAAACACAAATTGACACAAACGCACACAATAATGGTGAGATGGGTAATGAAACAAACACGGCAACGGTCAACCAGGAAGTGCAGTGTCCTGGGTTGGATACTGGGAAAGGGGATGAGGAGGTGAAACGAAACTATAGCCAGGTTATCGTTTTAAGTTTCCCTCCTGGGCAGGCATTAGGTGAGGCTGTTAACATTTTTCTAGGATTTTGTACGATACTTGGACTGGGCGAGCTTGTCCATGCCGTGCCATTCGGGCAATTATAATTGCCATTATTGTGTTTGTTAGGAAAATACACCGCCAAAATAGAAACTAAGCTAAAATATATATTTAAGCAGCTTATAATGTAATACCTATTAAGCCTAAAATAGCAAAATGTCGGCTTTAAAAGTCATTATTTTGGAAATATAAAATATATATCTAAGTAAGCTAAAATATACTTTTAAGCAGCTTAAAAGGTAGTTATTATTAAGCCTAAAATATCAAAAAGTCAGCTTTAAAAGTGTATTATTATAAAAATATTAAATATAAATCTATTTCCAAAAAAAAAGGTTTATATCCGTTTGTTAAATATATAACGCATCCCAACTTAACCAAAGGCCATGACAAAAGTATGGATAAATTCTTAAATTAATGTCTAAAAACCAATAATAGAATTCAAAAATGCTGAATAAATAAATATTAAATTTTTAAAAGTATTAAATAGATCCCTTTCTTAAAAAAGAAAAAAAATTAGTCACCCTATTTGCTTGTCTAAGTTTTTTTATTGGCGAAGATAAAACGAGTTTGGTAATGCCGCTTTTAACAAATAAAAAACGTATTTTTTACTCTTTTTAATGAGGCCCAGCAGCTAACATGGATCTCTTCCTATTTAATCAAACGAGTACTCTGGCCTTCTAATCTTCCAAAGAACTTTGTGTAAGTGTAACAAGAAATGTGAAACAATGCCACGTTAGTGACTGCGTCCCGACTCCTTGGTATCGATGTTGGAGACCCACTGCACAGGATTGATGTAGATGTTGGAGATGGTGCCGCGCAGCGTGTCGAAACCCTGGTTGAGGGGCACCGGCTTGGCCCGTTTGTCCACCTGCTTCATCCAGTTCTTCCAGGCTCCCTGCGATCGCTGCTTGCGCTCCTCCTCCAGTTTTCGCTTGTTCTCCTCCAGTCGGCTCTTGAGCTCCCGCTCCTGCTGCTGCTTCTCGTTCTTGACGGATTGCCACGCCTTGATGCGTTTCCTTGTGGCCTCCGAAGCGGCTTTGCGGGCGGCTTCAAGCCCAGATACCGGTCCCGATCCCGAACTAGAACTTGAGCTCGAGGAGTTGCCAGAGCTTGTCGGACGTAGATTCATCGGCTTCTTGCGTTCCAGCTGCTGCTGCTCCTCCTTGCGGCGACACCACTCCTGAAAACGTGCCTGGGACTGCTGCTGGCGCAGAGCGGCCTCGGCTTCTCGCTTCTCCCGCTCCTGCTTGGCTGCCAGGAGGCTCTTCTGCTTCTGTACGGCCTTGCGCGCTTTCCAGTCGTCGAAGGCCGCCTGGCCGTGACGCTCCTTGTTCTCCTCCAGGCTCTTGTAGTAGGTGGACGTATCCGAGGTGGTGCTGGCTAGGCTCAGCGAGGGTACGGCGCTGCGTCCGTCGGACGGCTGCACGGCTCCGCGGTACATGTCGGTCCAGCTGCAGGTGGACACAGATGAGTTGTCGTTCTGGCGTGGGCCACCACTGCGAAGACTACCACGGAGGCTGCTGCCGCAGTTGCTCATGTCGTAGGTGCGACTGGACAGCTGGTCGAAGTCGGGCTCTGGCCGCTTCTCGCGTTTTGAGATGGATGAAAGCTTGCTGTAGGTCCTGGTGCTCAGGTTATCCTGGATGTCCTCCGTGATGTTGGTTATGGGGCTCAAGTCGTCCTGCTTGTCTTCGCTCATGTTGTCCTGGTCGTCCTCCTTGAAGTAGGTTTTGGCACTTAGGTTGTCCAGTTCACTGATGTCATCGCGCTGCGTCATGGTTGGCGTGAAGCTCTCGAAGGAGCACAAACTCTGCAAATCCTGATCGTTATTCATTACAGTATCCGTGTCCGTGGCAACTGAATCCTCTCGCTTGCCCATCATGGTCTGCATATCCGTCATATCATCCTCATCTAGATTGCACAGATCCTCCAATTCCTCAGAGATCTCCGATACATCCAGGTGCTCTTCAAACTTCAACCTGTTTATGGTATCGTTGGCCTCCTCCTCGTCCAGCTGGTCGCAGAAATTTGTAATAGAATCACTATCATCACTGTCATCGCCGGAGACCTCGACTCCTTCCATCTCCAGATTGTCCTCCCCGAGTTCCCCCTCAATGTCATCGTCACCATCACCATCATCATCATTATCACCTTCACCCTGACCCATGAATCTTACGGTGGGAGCTCCGTAAGTGCGACTTGTGTAGCCCCGCACTGAACCCGACGTCTCCTCATCGCTCATGTCCGACAGTGGCAGCAGACGGGATGCACTGCCTCTCGACACCTGCTGGCGATCCACCACCTTACCATCGCTGCTCCGGCGCGCTACGAAGGCCATTCCGTGCGATCTGCGGAAGAGAGTAGTCAGATGTGGCTATGAGTTCGGTAGGGTTTCTCTCGAGCATTCGAGACGATGATATGTTGTGTCAGTCCGTCTGGAGTGAATGTGAACACTGAACCAGGCCGAGCGGAGGATTCTAGCACAGGCTGCTAAGTGTGGGGAAATCTAAAAATTTACATTTAATTTAAGATTTTTATTTAGAGAATATTTCTAATTGTAAATTTTGTTTTAAGACTTTTCAAGTGCCTCCACACATTTTATTTCTTAACTTCAAACCACCGATTTCATTAGCATTGTCTTTTAGGGGATACAAATTGGTTGGTATTTGATATAAGATTTGATATTACAATCTAGTTTTCAGTTAGTTACCAAATTTTTTCTTAGTGTACCAGATTTTTCCTCAGTTAACTCGCCCCAGAGTTCGAGCTCGAGTTTTGTGGCAAAATGAAAACATTTTAACTAATGACAAACAATTACTTAAACAACGAGTCGAACGACAGCGAGAAGGGCTCACACGAGGCGCTGGCGGAGCCAAAGATAATTAAAACACTACACCACACACATACACACACACACACACACAAGGTCCTGGGTGTTTGGGCGTAAAGTTGCCGACTCAGAAATCCTTCGGTGTCCTGTGTGTCCCATGTGTGGGTGTGTTGAGTGTTCCTGTTTCTCTGCTCTCAGCCAGGTAATGAGCGGTGCTTTTGTTTTTAATGAGCCTCGGCACACACACACACACAGGCTGATATGGAGCCCAGGTGTAATAAAAAAAACTTATCGTTGGTGGCTTTTAGGCGCTTACGGTCGCGACGTTTGACAGACACAATGAAATGATTTTGTGAGTCGTTAATTGCTGTATCGCCGTCTGCCATCGGCCTGGCTCTCAAATTAAAAGCCAAAGCAAAACAATTAAGTTGGCCCTTTTTTAAAAACGAGCTGCCAAATGACTTGTCAAAAAGTGGGCGTGGCTGGGTGTGTGGTTTGCGTGTGTCTGCTATTATCGGTTGTGTGTTCTAATTCGGGAATCAGGTCAGTTAAATAATATAAAATTCGTTTGAGCGTGCTTAAAAATACAATTTGTGGGTACAGAGAAAAATGTAAATAGTTCAATTAAATCATTATTCCAAAACCCTCGAAAGAAAAAACCAAGCCATTGGCTTCCATTTAGCAAAACCAAAAAATGGTTGCCCAAATAACTATATATTTATGTATTTCTGTGAACAATCTCAGCTGTCTAAGAACTTTAATATTGCGTGACTGAAAAGTTTCAGAAAAATGTAATGAAAACCTGGACTTATCACACGATGAACTATTTAAGGACTTTGAAACTTTGAAAAATATTTAAAAATCAATAGGAGCAGAATTTTGAATCAAAAACTTTGTCATAGCATAAAGAAAATATAAATTTCATATAATATTAAAATAAATATAGTTTTACTTAGTCAAAAGGTTTATTTATAGGGGTTCAACAAGTGGTTGAGCCATTGCACTATGGGGAATTTTGCCATTTCCGTGGTATTTAGTCATTTTATCAAACTTTAAATATTTGAGTTTTTTTTATGTAAACATATTAAAAATATATGGCTCTATAAAATGTAGTACCAGAAATGTTAATTAACAGTGCACTGTTAAGCCTATCCACTGTTAAAGACGGCTGTTGTAGCCAAAATGCACGTGATTGAAAATAGCTATTTTTTATTCGGTTACTTTGAAAGTGAAAAACTTAAAAGTAGAACCAATTTTTGATTAAAGTTTTGATGGAGACCAATCGTACTGGTAATTATTATGTGTAGTGTGTACTAATATATTGATCTGTGCGTGTCTTACAGATATATTGCGATTTTTCTAAGTGTTCCTCTAAGAAAATTTTTTTGAGAAAATATTTAACTTTAAAGAGACCTATAAAAAATATATGTCTTTGTATTGCTGTACGTCCGATATATGCTGTAGAGGCATTCATTCTAAATAAAAGGCAATTTTTCTCAATGTGCACAAATCCGCACAATCTGCGTAATTTAATTTTTTTTGCAGGTCTTTTCGAGCAAATTTTACCAAGAAAAAACCATTTTCCAAGTTAATTACATATAAATATTAATGTGTCAAACCATTTTACATTTTTAAAAGGCAAAAGCTAATTTTTTTGCATTAATGTAAGTGCCAAATGGAAGTTATTAGCGAATTTGAAGGCCTGGACCTCTTTTATGAAGAAATTGAATATGAAAATTACGTTTTTTATTTTATATCTGACGAAGAGCTTGAAAATTAAGACAATGTATTTTTTTTTATTATGTTTTTAAAATATATTATTTGAAAAAAGGAAAAAATAAAAATAAAAATAAAAAATTCGTCAAGCGAGGGCGGAACCACGCCCATTTTTCCAAAAATCATTTCTTATGGAGTCCATAATTATAATAAAAAAAACCGTTTCGAAATATATTATTTAGTTTAAAAGTTATTAATTAATACCATAAAAATGGCCAAATTCCCCATAGTGCATTGCGCTGCAATGCGTTTTAATTACACAGTTCTGGCACGCGCTAAAATAACTTTTATTTTTTAATTATAATTATATTTGTTGCCATATTATTGGCACGCGGCGGAGGGACATTGATTATTGGACGATTGTGTTTGCTGGCCGTTGGTCTTGGTTTAATTAAAAACGTGACAATTTTACCTGTGGCCAATGCGGCGTATATTTCATACGCCATGTGTGACCGACTCCCCAAAGCGCGACAAGGGCCACTTTCGTTTGGAAATATTTAAAAACGTTGTTTACATTCATAACATTTCCTGTTTCGCCATATGAATGCCCGTTACATTTCACTTTCGCCTGCCACAAATTTAATTAACTGAATGAATATGACGGAGGGCTGGCCGACAAGGCCACAGGGGATTGTTTTTTAATCAATGAAGAGTCAAATTGAACAGATTAATTCTGCCTGTCTGCCAAATTGAGACGATTTCTCAAATATATACATTCAGGGAAACAATGGTTTTGAAATTAAATCGCTCGCTTACCAAGAATCCTAATGGCTAACCAGGAAAATTGAGAATCCGCTTGTCCGCTCAGCGACTTCCTTGTGGGTTTGTCCAAGGAAAATATAAATATTTTGTTGATATATTTGGAAATGTAAATGTGAGAGTGATGTCAGAGTAAGTCAGCTACCGCTTACTGAGATCTCTGATGTTTTTACCTAATTAAAATGGGAGACAGTCAAAGTCGTTGACAGTCTTCGCCCTCCTGTTGACGGCTTCAATTTCTTGGCAGCTCACGCACAGCTCCAGAAACTCCAACCACAGCCAAATCAGATAAGTAAGTGACTCCCCATCAAACTACAGACAAAATCGAAGAGGTAGAAAAATAAAACGCGACAACCTTTGGAGAGAGCCAACTTGGGTAGCCAATTTACGTAATTGACTGCTGCCCGGCAAAGAAGTCTCGAGAGTTAAATACTTCAATCAGCTTCTCGGCAAACTGTGACTTTTGCTCACCCTAAAATTCGGTTGCAAATTGACAGGACAATATTTTAATTAAAGTCTTCATTTGCTTATAGGGTTTTGAAAGCCTAAAAATTACAACAAAAAATGCGTTAAATGCAAGGAAACAGCTATAAAATACATATTTTTGAGAATGTTTATATAAATTAGTTCACTGAAATGTAATCCATTTTGTTGAAATAAAAACCTCTCAATATTATTTTACAATATCATTAAATGAAGATTTAAAAAAACTGATTTCTTTATTTGCTTATCATTTTATATTCTGTTCAAAATTTCGCACTCTCAATGTCAAATACAGCCAAGGCGAAAGTCCTGGCTGGCAGGTAACTTGTCATATTTAATTAAGAAACTTTTAAACAACTGCTGGTGAAATATTGCTGACGCGCGGTGGCTGATCCGCCAAAGGTTTCCTTCATCTCGCTGGCAGACAATCAAAATATCTACCGTGGCATAAAATCTCACTTGACATAGTTGAGAGTGAATATCGACTTAGATGGCAGACACTCGGCAGACACAGAGAACCACAGGACACATATGCAACTCGCAGGACCGTATAAAGGATGCCAAAGAGCCACGTTAGTGTAAGTGTAGGTGTAGGTATAAATGTCAGAAAGATGGCGGCGAGACGTTGCAGCTACTGTTGCCCCCAAGCCATAATTGGTTGCGTCACTGCATAAGTCACGAGTTAGCCTCGAGCCCTTCGGCTCCCTGGCTTTGCTGTTGCCGTTGTCCTGGCAACCCACACACACACACACTGGCTATGTGTGCAGCAGCTGGAAAGTATGCTGCATTTAAATAAGATAAACGCAAGCGCCCACTAATTGAATTGCTGACAAGATTTCCCAAGCACCCACAAACAGAGCCAGACGAGCCAGAGCAGATTGTTGTCGTCGTCTCCTGGAATTTCGGTAATTAATAACTTAACGAAAGCGGAAATGTGAAACAAGCATGAAGCATCGTATCAGGATCGGCAGGAGCAAGTTTACCCAACTAGCTCTATCAGATTTGTTGCCAGCCAAACTCCAAACTCAAGCACAGACTTGGGGACTCCGACTCGGACTGTGTGTTTTCAGTGGTTTAAAGTTTTTAGTGGCTGCAAGTTTGTTGAGCCATTAGCAGTTCTCATGAGCGGACAAATAAAAGGAGATGAGTTGAACTGAGAAAATCTAAAAATATCTACACAAAAATACTAGAAATTCCTAAAATAATATATTTTTATATATTATATTATTCAATTGATTTGAAAATAAAAGTTTAATTTAGGAATAACCCTTTGGATCTAGATTAAGTTAAGCTCCTGTCTCCTCATTCCCCCCGTGCAGTCTTACCACAGACCTTTAATCTTCTAACTGGCCAAACCCCCTCTCAGAACGTTCAGAATTTTTAATATTTTTAATTTCTAATATAGACAGGACTTTCAGAGAGACACACTGACTGGGGAGGCCGAGCGAAAGCGAGTCATTGCCAGACAACAACGGAGAGGGCTAAAACCTTAACCCCCTGGCGCACACTTTGAACTGCAGTCCCCTTTCCGACCAGCCTCCTTCCACAACTTTGAGTTAGGGGAAAAAATGGAATAAAAAGGCTAAAATAAAACTGATTTCATTACCTTGATTAGTTGGTCTCTTCAAGTCTTCCCCCAGCTGTTTGTCCGTTTGTTTGCCCGACTTTTTCCGCATACACATTTTGAAATCCCATGCTGCGCTTATGACGGGAGGGAGGGCAAGGATGGCGGACGGGCCAGGACCTACCAGGCTTTTCGCTTTGCATTCGCCATTTTTTGGGTTCAATGCAAACATTAACCTCATTAGCATTCCGCTCTGAATGGATACGTTTACCCGGTGGATGCTATCCACCTTAACCTCAGCCTCTCCAGCATCGCGCTTGCTGGCCCTTTTTTATTTTTAATGGATTAATTTTAATAGTTTAAACCGATTTGCTTGTTTTCAATTGGTCTGTAAGTGGTATTTGCGAGGATATTTTTATACTGTTTTTTGGCTAATTAAATCAAGTGGCTCAAGGGTAAAATAGCTGATCTTCGGTGAGTAAATACCACAGCACCGGTAAGCCGCTTAAACGAACTAAGGAAATGTAGCGAAATTCATTCAGGAAAGAGATTTTTAGGGAAGATAATTCAGAACTTAAGTAAGTATTTAAATGGAATTTAGAAAATAATTAAAATTATATAAAATCTGAAAGTGAGAAAGTCATTTATCTCAAACAAAAATTCAATTAAAATGTTGAAATATTTCTGAAATTAAAAGAATTATCCAAAAGACATTTGAGAAAAATATAATATTGCATGTTCTAATTTACAAAATTTATTTCAAACAAAAATATGGTAAATAAGGTACAAAAAACAAATAGTTCTCATTAGCATTTCCGTCCACTCAAGCCTTCTAGGAACGTCAAAACAATATCCTTCTAACAAGTTCCACTTGTAGCTTCTCCTTATTACTCCTCTGCACTATTCCACAGTTCATCCAGTGGCACTTTACACCTCCACACCTCGCTTTTCCAGGCAACTTTCTTGCCAGCAGCGACGTGGAGGAGAAAGGAGCTTAATTAAGCATAATAGGGCTCTCGTTTCGCCTGCAGCATTCCGACAAGTTGTGCAGTTTTTCCCGGTGCCGCCGCCTAAGTAGCTGCTGGTAATTTGTGCTTAGCCGCACTCACAGACCAACACTTCGGCGGAGGAATGACGCAGATCCTGGGAGCATTTTAATTGCATTTCCGCTATTTCTGATGCCTTTTGAATTTATAATGCCGGCCAGAAGTACTACTACTACTCTCTGTCCGGCTCTACTTCTTAACCTTTTGCATCTCCTGCTCCTGCTGGCCACGTCCTGAGAAAAATAATTCAATTAATTACAAAGCGGACAGGTGCAAGGCAGCTACACTTAATATTAATCATACGCACCGTGAACTCTGAAAAAAAAAGGAGAAGAAAATGGGACTCGTAACGGTAACTGTAAAAAAGCAAGGCCCTTGCTGACTCGCATTTGTATCTAATAAACATGTTTATTTCATTAGAGCTACACATGCGGCTATTTCATTCGGCCCCGCCTCCCCCCTAGGGACATCATTTGCCCTAGACCCAACGATTCCGACATGAAAAATGCGTTCGCGAAAAAAAGGAAAAGTTGCCACGAGTCCGCTCACTTTATGATTGGGGATTTTCGGTGGTGCCACTAATGTGCCATAGCTCGCATTTCCTTTTGCGCCACCAGCCCCTCCTACAGATTTCCACGCCATGTTGGCTTTTCCCACTGAGGCCCTGCTGTCGACATCATTACAAATAAATTGAGCGTGAAAGATACATTTCGCCAGCAACAGCATTGACATGCTGCAATGATAGGCACATTCGCCTCGACTCTCGAGAGGCTCGCCAAGGTGAGTTCCTGACTCTGACTATTTGACTTTAAAATAACCTGTTCAAAGTCGGGGAAGTGTTTTGCCAAGTGCGAGGACCAGCTTGTTGTGTGGAAACTTATTTCCAGCAAGTGGGAAACTTTACATGCACTTGAAAGGTTAAAGAGAAATGGTTTTTAGACTTTATATAAACCATTTGTTTTGTTTTCCTTTAAAAATCTGAAAATTAATTACTTAAACTTCTCCCACATGTCCATACAAATATTTTCTAGGTCTTAAGTATTATCTTAAATTTAAGCTAAGAAATTATACCACCAAACTCAAAAATCTCCCATTCAAATTATAAACATTTTCCTGTTCTTCTTAGCTTGTATATTATGATGTAGTCAGTGCAAAAATATTTACTAAAGACAATTTATACAGATTAAATCCATAAACCATATTTGGTGAGTGACAAATTAATTTAATTGGCTTCATGCTGACATAAATATCGATTTAAGTTCGTAGCCAAAATAAGCTTTCTGGCTATGATTAACCTTAAAGGAAATCAAATGCCGTAAAATGATTTAATTATATGGGATTCCCAGGGTAGAATGAAAAATTCAATATAAATTCAAATTTTACAACTCTCTCTTGAACGATAGACAAAATATGTATTTATTATATATATGTATTCCATGTGCGAAAATTTCAAATTGCGAACACAAAAGTCAATTTGTTGAAAGCGAAGCTGAGGGGAAGCTGCAACAAATGTAAGCATATAAACATAACCATGAAAGATATTTGATATAATAACATACGTGACCGCATTTACAATTTTCAAATCAAATCTTAGCAGCCAGAGGCGGAGGAATCTTCCCATTGTCTGTCTAATGCCATGCATGTGAAATGAATTTAATGCCGAAACCGAGGGGGGTCAGGGGGCGTCTTATGTCTGCTTGTCGTGCTGTGAAATTTGTTAACATTTATGCATTACCATTTAGGCTTACGACACTTAATGATAACCAAGACAGCCAGCAATATATTGAAGTGGTGTTTGGGGAGAGTGGGGAATGTGTCCTTGAACGCCGCCCAGCATTTAGTAAATTTTTGGTTAAACATTCTTTGAAAAATATTTACCAAAAATTCAATGCTGTTTCTGGGGGATCTCCTCCAACTGGTTTTAATTAAACTTAATTATTATAATGAGCTTTTTCCAATCAACTAAATTGATTGCAACTACATGCGAATTCAGAAAAATAATTGTAATAAAAGTTATCTAATTGAAATCCTATTGGCAAAGGCAACAGGGCAATTTTTGTACTGCAAATAATTAAGCTGAATTAAAATTAAACTAAATTATAAATGAATTTTGTATTATAAATAAATGTATAAACCCAGCAGACAAAAACGTTAGTTTATGATATTGAAAACGATAGTGTTTTAAGCGGACAAAACGTCCACTTCCGACTCATAGACAATAATAAAGTTAATCACCTGTAATGGGTTTTGTGGAAAAAAAATTCCATAATTTTCGGAATCCGAATAAGATTTCGATTGCGGACCTTTTTCGACATCATTATCGGGTATAATCCTGAAAATTTTCGATACTTGTCCGCTATTCGGCCATTTGCGCATCCGTTTTTGGGCATTTAGCGAAACTAAGGCGAAAAGTCCGATTCTTAGTCCGTATGTAATATTTTTAGCGGACATTTTTCGGATACATCCGCATTAAGTCCGATCTTTGTCTGCTGGGTATGTATAAATCCCTAGAAAGCTACGAGAATAATGAGATTTTAAGACAAAATTTATTTTTTTATTTAATAAACTATCTATCTAACTATTTATAAATATGAAGGGTATTTTTGATCAATGATAGAATGAAAGTTCAACCTTTTTGATATGAAATTCAAGCAAGGTCTTGGTGCAAGGAGACAACTCTTTATCTACAAAATGAAGTATATCCTTTGTTGTTCTATATTTTTTTTAATTTTTTTTTAGAAAGCACTACAATCTCGTTCAATTAACCTTAAATTTGTCTTTCCATTTTCCATCATAAACGAATAGAAATTACCCCACTCGATCATTAATCGAATTCATTTCCGTAGGCACACTCAATTCATAATCTGCATGCCACAGGGAGAAATTAGTGAGCTCAGTGCCTGTCCGTTGCCATAAGCCCAATTAAGTTTGCGGTTTTGGTAATGTCATATTTTTGAATTTTGCTAGCACAACCTTTTTGACAGTTGCCCGGAGGAGAGAGGTACTACCTCGGCCTCGGTTTGTGTCCACGGGAAAATGCAACGTGGTTCCGAGATGCGGAGGAGGAGGCTGGCACCGTGGCAGCGTATAATTAACAATAATGAAGTCGTAAAACCGCAATGCAATCAGCGATGCGCAAAACACACAACAGCACGCACAGGCGCCCAAACAAACAGTCCGCAAGCCGAATTGCACACACACACAAAGGATGGGGTTGGGGGGGGTGGTGGATTCGGGTGCAGGTATTCATGCATTCCCGAATATATCCACCCCACGATGCGCCCAGCCCACCTCGAAGTCAGGGTCACACGGGCATTATAAAATATTTATAAACCATTTGCACGCATAATTAGCCTGTCATTAAATTTTGAGATTTTCGGTTTCGGTGTTCGCTGCCACTGTTTGCATCGGTATTGGCTTAAATGTGCACACACCCACACACAACGAGTGTGTGTGTCAGTGCGCTTAAAATGATATTGATGTCAGTGCATGTCGGCCACCGAAAATTATGAACGCTGCGCGTTTGTTATGCTCTTAAAAAAAACATGCAACATTGGATAGTTAAAAAATGTCATCATCGAATATGGTAGACCTTTTTTATGGGAAAATTTTATATATTGAGTAATTACTATACTAGGGCTTCACGTTTTCACTAGTTTGACAAAATATGATCGAAAAGCAAATTTTGTTATATTTATATAAACAAAAATTGTCTAGATTAACTTTAAGTAATTTAATTTATTACAATTTCACCTGCAAAAATCTGAAAATGACTAAGAAGCTTAATTATAAATAACTTAATTGTACCATATCTAAAAGCTGACCATATTTGATCCTTATAAAGCTCGAATAGCCAAACAGATCCTTTGAACTTTTCATTTTACAATATTAAAACCATTATATTAATAATATTTTTAAATTATTCTGACATTTTTATTTATTTTCTTACTATTATTTTACATTCTATTTTACGATTGCCTTCTTTTATAATTGGAGTGTCTAATTTGTTATTTCAGGTCACTAACAATTGATAAAAATATTTCCAAGATGTACATAATTAAAAAAAAAAAACTATAAACAAAATTGTAATAATATAAAATCACGTACAATAAAAATATTTATTAGTAAACAAATCATATCAGAATCTTACTTCGAAATGATGATTAATTATTTGCATCGGTGAATTCAATGAGGTGTCAAAATATTTGCTATAAAATCGCAATTACACCCAGATGAACTATCAGCCTCAGGAATATTGAAACCAATATTAACAACAACTTTCTCAAATTACATTTCAACTTCGGCAAACTTTACAACCTGTATTAAAAATTGCAAGGGAAATACCTGTACGTATCATAGCATAGTAATTATACCCTTTCGCCAAATATAGCCTGTGGACGGAGGCCAGTCTTGGCGTGGGGTGGGGCTTGGGTGGCTGCGGGTGGCCCTGGCGAAATGTCATGTCATGTTGCGACAGGCGTCGGAGCGGCGCGTCATGAAGTACGTATATATGTACATGTGTTCGGCCATAAAGTAATCAGCGGAAATGTCAATGGGCCGCCGCCATTTACTGATGTGTCGGCAGCTGAGGTTTACACCGGGCATCATCATCATCATCATCGCCAAGGCAGGTGTATTGTATTCTTTATATGCCGCCAGTCCGGGCCGAACCCGGGCATTGTAATTAAAATTTCCGGCTGCATATGGAAGGGCGATTGGTCCTGTGGCGGGTTTAATTGCGCGGCTCTTTTGGACACTGACAACAAACACGGGCTATAGGACGGACGAGGAGCCCAGCAATGGAGGAGAAAGCAGTCAAAACTGGACTACAGCCGCCCCCAGTCACAGTTACAAGTTGGAGTCTTGTCAATCAGGTTAAAAAGTTTTTAAAAACCAAAAAATTATTTCGTTCACTAGTGTGTCGTCTCTACTCCTTATTCATTTAACAGGCTTATACAAGTTTAGCAAAATAATATCGTGTCCTTGTAGAATGGCATTCTGCGGCTACGTAAACGTATCCGGAGACTTTGTCCTGCGCGACGAGACTTACATGGGCGATACGGTAGTCCGGCGAACCACGTCGCCCAGTGATTCACCCACCTCGCTGTCGTCGCCAGTCTCGCTGCCCCAGCACTCCACAGGGACGATTTCTGTAAAGGATGACATGGATGGTAGCGAAGGTACCACCATGAAGGCTACACGGGTCCGCTCTCCAGACGCTTGGTCACTAATGTATGGCGAAGTCAAGCAGAGCCTCTGCGTGCCCTCGCTGCAACTCGACTCCCGGGAAAGCTCTGTCAACTATTTGAGAAACATAGATTCGATGAAGGTAGGATTTCCATTTTCCACCAAGTCCATTTAATACCAATAATTGTATTTAAATGAATTTTCCCACAGGGTTATCGAGAAGCAGATGCTGCCTATGAGAACTGGTACTCGGCCAAGCGGCGCCAACGTCTGGAAAAGCGCAAGGTGCTGCAGCAGGAGCACAATGACAAGCAGGAGCAGGCGAAACACAAAAAGCAGCTGGCCCAGATGTGCTACGACCAGTGGCTGAAACGCAAGGCCCGCCAGGCAGCTGCCCAGCGGGTGGAGAACCATATGCAGTCCGCTGCCTTCAAGGCCAACCAATCACTGGCCAAGAACTCAATGCAGCCTACGGCTAGCTCATCGGGCTCATCCACCACAGCAAGCTCGGGCTACAGCTCATCCTCGTCGGCGAACAAGACTTTACGGAATGTACCGGAGGACAAGATTCGCCAGGTTGTGGAGGATTGGTGGCTAAAGAAGCAACAGCAGCATCAAACAGAGCGCGAGGAGAAGCGCCGAGCCCTCGTCTCCAAGGCTCTGGAGCAGAAGAGGCGCAAGGAGCTGGCCGAGATGGCCTGGCAGCAATGGATGAGCAATGTGGACGAGAAGCCCAAGCCGGTGCCCCTAAATCAGGGCATGGACTCGCTGCGAGGCACTATATCACCTCTCTTCGTAAACCCCCGACCTTGGGTGGATCCCTTAAAGCCTTCGAAGATGTAGGCAGGCAGGCAGCATGCCATTCCCCACATTTGATGTCTCGTGTTCAAGATACATCATTGATTCAAATTGTACGAAAATGATTTAATACATAAAAAGAGTATGTTAACCCCAACGTAAATATTCCATTGGAAAGAAATCGTAGTTTACAAAATTTAAATATAGTTTATATATCAACTTAAATGAAATGTTAGCTAGTATTTTTGCAGACTATTCCCCTCTCCTTAGGTATAATTTAGATTGAATTTTTATTCTCTTTATTTTCATCTACGAAAACAATCTTATAGATATCGCCATCTACCACATAAAATGGTACAACATTATCTTTAAGCAATTCAAAAGTCAATTTATACAATTGCGTCAACACAGAGTTTAACCAATTTTGTAAACCAATACCATAAGGAGGGGCAAGGGCAGCTATCAGGGGGCAGTAACGATAGCAAATAACAATTTGCAGTCAAAACACAAAGGAAAAGAGGTAAGCAAAAATCGAAACTAAAACTGCAGGGGACGGACAGGACACTCAATAAGATTTCAATTGTTGTTGGACAAGATACATTTTCCGGCTGGCAATAAGCCGAAGCAACGAGGAAATGGGGTAAGAGCTCAGCTCTGCCCATTTTCATTAGATTTTCAACACCGGCTGAAAGTTGTGTGTGTTTGTGAGCCTGATCCTGTTTGTTTGTCTCTGTAAAGTTACAAAATTATATTGTTCCAAAATAAAATAAAGCATGTTTTCGGTAGCTGCGAGTGGATAGCCAGAGTCGCAGGCTGCTTGAAGTGGGGGGCATATGGGTAACCGAAATGCAAACAAACAAAGCCAAAGGCCTAAAGTTCATTTGCACAATTTCCCAGCTCTCGGCCAGCTCTCGGAGCTCCCCTTGCAGCAAAGTCAAAGGCCAGCGCACGGACCGGGCAAACAAAAAGACCAAAAAGACGTTAGCAATCCTTTTGATGAGGTCAACGTTGGTCTGGTTTCCTGTTCACACACACGCATACGCACACGCATGAGTCCCCCCGCATACGTATAAAGAGAGTGTGCACTGCGATCAAATTTTTAGGATTTTAAAATGTTCAGGGTTTCAGGGGTTCAACAAGCAAATTCTAAAAGTGAACTTACACATTTTTAGTGGCAACTTTAAGGTAAAATATTTATTCTAACTATGATGAAAACCTTTAAGTTTCAATTAAATATTTACAATTAAGTCTTTGAATTTGTAAGAATCTAAATACTTTAATAAAGGAGATCCTAACTTGAAAAATAATTATGATTTTTGGCGATGATCAATTTTCAAATAAAGCTATCTGTCTCAGAACTGGCATAACACTCGGGTCTCCAAGGTATGGCTTATGTATTAGAAACGTACTTGTTGATTTCTCACCTAAATCTATTTTTTCCCAGTGTAATTTGTGCCTGTCCGATGCTTACTCTTGCGTATGTGTATATGCTAGGCATGCGGGGAAATGAGCGGGAAATGAAGGTGGTCGGCAGGGGGTAAGTGCTGTATATCGAGCATTGGCAGGATTAAATTTGGAAGGTATTGAAGCATGTTATTCGTCATCAATGTAGTTTGCACTAACTAGTTTGTGTTGCTGCTGCTCCTGCTGTTGCTGCTGTTGCTTTTGTTGTTAATATTGTTGTTGTTGTTGTTATGGCTACTGTTTGTCTACAGCATCACCAGGTTGGGGTTGTTGCTGCTGCTGCTGCTGACCAGTGCATCTCACTATATTGTTGCCATCACACGGCAACTTGTCCAGAGAATCCAAGAGGTAGAGAGCTCGAGCCCAAGCTCAGAGTCAAGTAGCTTGCAGGTTGTTTGCATTGTTTACGCACTTTCGCTTTGATATTATTGTAGTGTGCATTTCGGCTTGATGACCTGATGACATGACCAGGGTAATGGCCAGATGGGCAACCGCCTCTCAGACCGCAGGAAACCCGCCCCATCTAGTCACCAGGTGAACACGGATGAAGCATTGATTGGAAAACGTGAACATGTACCCAAGAAGAGTGTACACTTGGAATATAAGCTAAGATTCTAAGGTTATTTTTCTGACTAAAACGTATATCTTGCTTTGCAGATCTTTAAATTATATAGAAAAATCCCTCTCTGTAAGAATCCTACTCTCCAAATTCAATTTCTTACCTTAAGTCCTTCAGCGGCAATTGTTTACAGCCTCGAACATCAGTCATCATCACCTCAGTTGGCGGGAGCTGGATAACCCTTCCTCTGCTCAGCTCCCAGTTATTGATCACACGACATCACTTTGATAAATATCTGGACCATTGTCTAAGCATAAAACCCCGACACCACCGACTGTGCTTCGGTATTCCCTTTATTTTGCACCTGCCTTTGTCGAGGACTCAATGGTCGGTCGGACCTGGCTCCCCTTTGGCCATGGCATTATTTATGGGCACAGCAAGCGGCCTGGAGGCGGGCACACTCATTGTTTTACCACTAAACACGTGGCGATATATCTTTTTCTTGTATTGCACTGAACTGTAGTTTATCTATGGGCTGGCATTTGTTCTTTTTTTTTTTTAGACAGCCACACATTTGTGAAAGATTGTGCTTTCTTATGCAAAAATGGTCGCAGGGGTAGATCAATTCATTTAAGCTGCAGGAGTTCTTAAAGGTTTTTATAAGTATATTACTTTAGGTAACAAAAAATAGTATTAATTATTGAACTAAGATAACATTCACAGAAGAAATTAACCAGCAATTGTCGACACAATCGTGAAAAAAGAAGCTCTGCCACAAGGTTGCTTAGTTCCATTTGCACGCAGAGAATTTTAAATCAACAATTAATTAAGAGCAAATTGAAATTCATGACTGGCGCTAATCAGGCCCACATTTACATGAAACCAATAGCCAGAGTCGCAGGAAAAAACTATTAAAGTGCAGCAGGAAAAAACCCGGAAAATTATGTCAGCAATTAGGCAAACTATGACACTCGACAGAGACGCACAGTGAGAGCGTTCAAAGGACGAAGGACGAGTGGCACGTTGGATTTGAACGGAGCCAGCGACTGTGGGCATCATTAAAAAGTCATTTACATGCAGGCTAGGCAGCGTCGCAGGACATTTAGCAGGCCAAGGAGGGACGGTGCAAGGATCCGGCTAACTCAGAGCCCTAGCCGTGGCCCGATGACTCTGGCAGTTTGTTAATTTTAGATTTGAGACACGTCTCCAACTCAATTTTATCGCATGTTACGCCTTGCTGCCTTTTCGCTTTATGCGCCCCAATGTCGGACAGGCTGCGGACATTTCCCAGCGATTTTCCGCCGCCACCTTCTCCATCGCCCACAGTCGTGAATTTTGATTTCAAGTGTCGCCCTTCGTTTGACGTCGTCGTCGTCATCGTCATCGTCATTTCCATGCAAGGGCATGGTCCAATTAGGGGGCGAGGTGTAATTTATGCGCCTCAAGAACCTTGCTACAAATTGGCCATTGTTGCCATTGCTATTGATAGCCGCTGGCCCAGAAACCTGCCATTCGCCACCTTCAAATTCCAAGTGCAAGTCCTCGCTCACATGCTGTGCAAAGTTCAGCCAAAAGCATCTCGCTCCCAACAAAACTTTTAATATAATTTTTCCCATAATATTTCCTCGGAGGTGAAGAAAAAGTTTGCGTTTTGCACTAGGCCTGGACCGACGTTCGGCTGACCGCACGCATGGGAATTTCGACAGGTGCTTCGCAGGAAACTCATAAAGCTAATTAAGAAATATGCCAAAGTTGCTCCATCGGAGCGCTCTGGTCGAGCTTACTTCTGGCCCAACTCTATCCTTGAGAACGAGGTTAACTTATTTAGATCCGGCCAACAAAATGCAAATTTATGGTTGTCCAGTTTGTTTTAATTCAATCAAGTACTTTAACTTTTATAATTAGGCCTTCATGGTGAGAGAACTGCATTCATGCGAATGAAGGTAGGTCTGACGAAGGCATTTGATGAGCTTATCGGATTAGCGAGAATTGAATTAATTATTCTTTTCTTGGCAAATTAAGATTTATACAATAATGGTAATACTTAAAATATTTATAATAATTTTCATTTAATTTTCAATATTTAATTTTAATATATTTATGAAGGAAAAGTCTTGTGAAGAACAACAAGTTATTATAAAAAACTTTATATTAGGACAAAAAATTATTAATAATTCTTTTAATGAAATGGTTTTTATTATTCTGTTCTTAGGATATCAAGTTTTTAAGCATTATAAACAATAAAACATAATAAAATAATAATTTACTATTTTCCCTTATTGTATTTTATTCAAAACTGCCTCTGATTACATTACAAAATAAATCCAGAAGTTAAACAAGTAGTTCATAGTTCTCGACGTAAAGTGCCTTTTGAGATGTTAAGTCAGCAACAATGGCCGTGGAGGAGGTATAAACACTTCTTAGATAACACTTTTGCATATTTACTTGTGCAACATGAGAATATCTGCCCGGGCAGCCCAACTTTTCCATGGATGCGAAAAATCTTTATTTAATCAAGCATAGTTTAAAAGTTCCAAGAACGAAAACTTTTGGCCCGGCAATTGTTTTGGCACAAATGTCTTTTGACGTTTTTGTTTAGCTCTGCGATGTGAATATTTGTCGCAATCAAATAAAAACTTTCTTACCAGGATTATAAAAAAAAGGAAAGGAAAAAGGAAGGAAGTGTGGAATTCCCAAAGGAAATCTTAAGGAGAGAGCAGGCCATAAGCCTGCCTAGCTACTTTGGGTTGAAAAATCTAATAACTGTTAAATCACCTGCAAAATGTTCATTTCACAGCGCAATAAACACGAATCGGGCCTCGTCCTTGCTACGGCCGACCCCTTGTCGACTTAAACACTTACAAGGACTTAACCACCTTTTGTTATTTTGCCTGCGTAGCCCTGTCTGTCACTTTAATCTGCCTGCCACACGCAGCAAAGAATCGGGGTCTGCCTCCATGGAAGCACAATCCTGTGAAGGACACTCATATGAGGCAAAGTTTGCATGCCTGGCAAGGTTTGCAAAGTTATTAACACGCGGCTCCGACTTAAATAAGTCATATTCTAGACGTCTTTCGGGCTGACTGACTTCCTGTCTTGGTTTTCCGAGGGGAGCTCCTGCTCCCATCTATTAATTGCAGGACTCGTCTGAAAGTGAAAGCTGAGCGCCGCAAAAGTTGGCCACTGTGATGGCCAAGATGGTTGCAGGATTTTAACTTCTTAGCTTGAGCGTATTTTGATTTATCTAATTGCAAAAAAAAAAAATCAAGCAGTATAATTTGTTGTTGAAATATAAATCGGCTATTGTCCATGCATTATCCTAATTGGTTAGCCTGCGGCTGGTAAAATACGAAAGGAATTATAATTCACTTAAATTCGGTAATAAAATACAGACAAATAAACTCATTGTTATGTCTGTCATTTATTTAGCATTTAACCTTTTGTAAGGGTCGATTGAATTCATTGTCGAAATCAAATCAAAATTAATTTCGTTTTATTATATCAATTAAATATACATTAGCAAACTTGATATATTTTATACAGTTAATTCAATGATTATTATCCCTTTTTTATTACCAAGGCCAGTCCCTTAAGTGCAGCATTACCAACTTTATCCCATTTCAATCCATAATCCATTTTAACAAAATTATGCGTTCAAAGAACTTTTAGCATAGGGCAATAATTTTGATTTCTATCAATGAAAATTTGTGTAATACATCTACAACTAATGGAATTTCATGTTTCGAGGGGATATCCATCTGCTACTGTTGTCGATAAAGGTAAATCGTGTTGCAGACGTCGTGCGACTTGTTTGTAAATTATAAAATAATGTCGGTTGCATTGCCAACGACGTCTGGCTGCTTTTGGTTTTGCTTTTACTTTTGCTGTTGCCACTGCTACCATTTTTCCGCCTTTTGTTTTTGCATGTGGTTACACGGGCCAAAAGTGGCGGCACGGCGTGGCAATTTTTATGCCCCGCTTGGATAAGTGGCACATTTTTGGCTTAGCTTTTAGACATTGCGACTGGAGGACACTGTGAGCTGTGACAGTGGCAAAGGTGTAATAATATTTTAGGGAATAACTTTAGAAGAAATAAATTGTAAAAAATATTTCTTTTAATTCTTGTCTTGAATATAACTTGAAAAATGATTAGTTCTTTACATTATAGAATTTTTGTATTTATTCTAAGCTTAAACCCCTTCATTTCCGCCTCTGTTCTCTGCAGCCAATGTGGCGAGACTTTTGGCTGTATGCCGGCGGAACGGCTGAATGGCAGAATGGCCGCTTGCATGTCTGCACCGCCATCGCACTCGACTGTCGGGCCTGTCAAATAACTGACATTACCTGAACCCCCTGAATCCCGGGAACCCCCCAAACCCAACCACCGCCGCACTGATGAACCGCTGCACCACCGCAGACGACGACGCCGCGTTGTCGTCATCGTTGCAGCGTCGCACACATTTCGTGACTGTGAACAATAAAAATTTCGATTAGAATGTAAAAGCAACAACCGGCCTCGCAACTTCAACTGCAACTGCAGGGGCAACGGCAACGGCAACGGCAATCAAATTGTGTGGGGCGAACGGCTGTGGGTGCGGCTCAGAGGTATAATGGCTAAGAAAAACAAAAACTAAGCTAAATTGTATATTAATAGAAAATGAAATCTAAAATGGTATTCAGCGCAAAATGTACGCTTACCGAATTTATTCCGGCCGAGCTTTTTATTACATTGATTTGCAAGGTTCATTGGTGAAAATAGAAGGACAAAGTAAAGTAATGGAAAGTTAATGGTAGGTTTAGTAGTTTAAATGAGAAATATATGAGGTGTATAATTTTGAAGCTACTATTTGTTGTTAAATTTCCATGAAATATATCTGTAAATACTTCAATATATTTACTAGTAAAAATTGTAAAAGAAGTCCGAGTACAACAAAAATTGTACGTCGTTATGCATCTTATTTATTTATATTTTCATTCATTAACCTCGTACAATGAATGCCCTTTCTGGCATTATTCCTACATATCTACCTTTACAGTATTCTGAATTTCTTATTTTTTTATAAAATTCAATCTTTAAAAAGAAAAATAAAAAACAAATTAAATATATTCATCTTGACCCCATTTGTGACTTGTGTCAAAATTAAGGAATAGTTATTGTTTGCTAATCACACACACAAGCTGAAACACTTCCCATAGACTAAAAAGTTGTGTTGATCAAAAGACTGCAGGGTGTTCCATATATCGTCCACCTTCGACGACGTATTGAAGTTATTATTGGGTATATAACAAGGTAAGTGTAAGGCACAGCCAAAAAGCCAACCAGCCACTTAAAACTGACACTCTAGAAACCATAAGATTCTACGAAATGGCATTCCTGGGTCACATCGACAACCTTGGAACCATGGTAAGTCGTGAACTACTCTCCGGCGGAGCGGCCATGAACCAACCGCATCAGGACGATAGCGAGACTATCGAGGGCTCCAGGACCTACATTAAGACCTATGACCAGGGGAGCCTGCTGCAGGCCATGGGCAGTCCCAGCACGGTGCGCTATGTGGGCAGCTCCGAGTCGTCCAGCGAAGTGAACTCGTTGGACGAGACGGAGTGCTCCACCCTGCACCGCTGTTTGCTCCAGTCCCAACGCACCCTGTTGGCGGAACATGAGGAGTATGCGGACGATCAAGGGCTGGACACCGGGTCTGAGACTATCTGCCTGCAACTGGAAAGTCCTAGAAGTACCAGCAGCAATGCTTCATGTAGCAGCTCAAGCTCCTCTCGCGGGTCCGATGCCCAGGAAAAGAGCTCGACCACCTCCATGTGCAGCTGGGAGGAGGCCATGTCCCGGGGCGAGAGCATGCGCCACTCAAGCTCCCAGGAGGAGACGCGCGATTTCAGCATGCCATCGCTGCATTTGGGATCCGATCGGGGATCGGCGCCGCTAACCTACACCCGTCGCCTCCATTCACAGCGGCTGGAGCGTCCCGCCAACGAGGCCTACGAGAACTGGCTGTCGGCCAAGCAACAGCAGGCCAAATATCGACGCCAGGCGGAGCAGAAGAACAGAGAGGAGCAGCAGCAGCGAACGGAGTTGCGCCAGAGGCTGTCCCAGGAGAGGTACGAGCAGTGGTGCCGACAAAAGGCGCAGCAATCCCATGGAACCAGGTCCAAGCAGGAGCAACCGTCTCGAACTCCACCCAGTAAATCCAAAGGCACCACCACGAAAACCAACCTGCAGCAATGGGAGCTGGAAAAACTAAGACTAGCCGAGCAGCGGCGTTTGCAAGTGGAAATCGCTGAGCGGCGGAGGCAGCAGGAGAATCGGCAGCGCCAGCAGCAGGCGGAGAACGCCTTCCAGCGGTGGATGAGCCATGTGGACCAACGGCCCAAGCCAGTGCCTAGCAACCAGGGAATAAATTCGCTGCGCGGCACCATCTCCAACCTCTACATCAATCCCAATCGGTGGGTCAACTGAGGCTGGCATTGGGGTCAACAGGACTCTCAAGTAGCGGGCAGCCTAGTTTCCAGCGCTGCGGAGGAAAAGTTTAAACCAAGTGAATGTATATATTTACCCATTTTAAAACTATTAAATAACCTATAAAATGCAGTTGTAGTGATTTAATTATTGAGGAAATCGATTTGTTGCAGTTTAAACCCAACGGACTACTGCATTCTCATTAGCGATGCCTGAAATCTGAACTCAGCTTGAATCAAATGTATTTTTGTACTAATAGTAACAATCTGCCACTGGCCGTTAATGAGCCGTTAATGATGTAATGATATTACATCACTTCTGTGACCCCCGATGAACCACCTTCTCTTGAGTAATTTCCATACACACGAACACTTCAAATGAAAACATTTGAAACCATTCACAGTGGCCTAGTATTGATATCCTTTTCACAGGACAGCGAGGAGTACACTGTACACCCCTGGGGTATCTGCTTTCCCAAGGGCTCTAGCCTTTTCATGGGAAGACATCTTTGGTTATTAATTCATTTAAAGGATTAACTGAACCATATTAAAGTAGATCATAAAATAAAATCGTTAAAGACACATTTTGTGCATATAACAACACTTAGGCTTTGGGGAAATAATACCTTCTTAAGGCTAAGCATTGGTTAAGCTGTTCTACATAAAATATCTCCTCAACACCAAACAAATTCCTCTTAATTTTTATTTCCTCATTATCAGCATTCAAGTTAAATCTCCAAGTCACCTATTTTATTGGTTTAACTTGAGCAGGAAGCGTTTCAAGTTAATAAAGCAATCACCTGGCTGAAATTTTGTTGCCCTTGGCTGATTTATGTTTAATTAAATGGCCAATGTTGTCCTTGCTTCGCTCTTATTTTTTAAGAGCAGCTAAAACTCTGAGAACTTCTCCACCTGTCGTCGCTTAGGTGAAACAATAAAAACGGGGGGCTGCAAGAGGGAAGAGCTGGACAGACAGGAAATAAATACAAAGTTATTTAATATGAAAATGGCGTGCAGGAAAAATTGTGTTATTATTTGTGCTTCGGTTGGCCCCCAAGCCACTTGGCCTTAAGCGATTTAGTTTCTTCGTTCTCTTTTTTGGTCTACATATACTTCACAGGCTAGCAAGTTGGATGAGATTCGAGATGGAAATTGACAGCCGTGGCTCAAAGGAGGAAAACATTATACGTTTCAACCCAAGTGATGATACAATTATTCATTGTAAGGCCGCTCAGCAGCAGCTTGCAGCCAATTTAAATGTTAATCAAATTAAAGTATCTACCTGCTCTTATTAACCCGAAGCTTGGCCTGCTGCTTCTGGACTTTTCGTGCAGTGGGAAAAAATGTGTTTCTTGTCAAGAATAAAATGGAAAGTAAGGAATTTTTGCATTCATTATGAAGGGTTTAAGATAAATGGTTCTTCTTTTAAAATATATAAAATACATTCAACATCTTTGTTTTACTTTAAAGGAAGGTATACTTTTATTTTATTTTATTTTTATATAAAAAACTTAATTGTAACTATTTTTATATACAAACCATCGCTTATAAATCTCTTCTTTCAAATAAAATTCCCTCAACACTTAATAATTTTTTCATATTTTATTAATAATTTTCTCTTGATGTATAGGGATATTCGTATTTCGATTTTCCTGTTTGCCTGGCCGGCCATTTTTTAATAATTTAATCCACTGCAATTGAGCGTCATGGCATGCATTTCAAGCCTAGACAGATTTATCGAAAACACAAACAAAGAGAAACGCATTCACTGGGTATGAAAGCTAAGAGTGTGGAAAATACGAGGGGCAAATATTTTTGCGCAAACATTGATTGGCAATCGGGGGGAGGGTGTGAGGGTGTGTGTGGGTTGAATTGGCCAACTGCATGTTAACACACACCCAGACATCTGTAAATTGGCACACTGGCAGCCAAACCCCGCCTCACCCTTCTGAAGTCAGGATGCACTCACAGCTCCTCGAGTGTGTGACGAACACTGAGCTGGCAAAAAGGAGGAAAAGAAAAACACCAAAAGGTGAAGTGGGCGAGTGAAGAGAGGAGGAAGGCGCGGGGTTTGTTTTATAAATGAAAATTCATTGAAAACTGATAGCGTGTGAAAAATAAACGAAATGTATAGTCGGTGGCAGAATGAAGTGTCACTGGTTGGAGTTATACGATGGTAGCGATGCTCTGGCTTTACTTTAAATATAAAAAGAAGTTTCAATAAAATATTTTAAGTATATTTTAAAGGATAAAACATTTTTAAAATTTTTAAGAAATTTGATTATTGAATTTCTGAATTTTATATTAAAGTATTCAAAAAAAGACTTACCCATAAATATTTCAAAAGGGTATTCAAAAGTTTTGCAATTGAAATCTCCTTAATTCTCTGATACCTTTTTGATTTCCAACGAAAATATGTCAACTACTTCATTCAGTCAAGCCTCTGTGTCATAGTGCCTTTCCAGTGGCAATTAGCAACCAAAGCCGTGGCCCGATATTTTTACAAGCCATAACAAGCGGATTCGCTATTAATTAAAATAAATTGCAAGCCCGTCAACAGAAAGATGAATGGAAACGGCTTGAAAAAAAAAGGAAATCTAAAAAGCAACTGAAAACTTTTTGAAATTGGAGTACTTGGCAAAGATTAATTATAACAATCTTTTTATATATCCAAGAAATTTGTAAAAATTGTATATGTAGTGATTATTATTGTAAAATTATAAATAAATAAATAATAGTTTTAATTTATAAGAAATTAAGATTGTAAACCAATTCAGAAGAAAGAAAAAAGACTGAAATATGTACATATTTATTTAATTATTATAGCCAAACTCCTATATTGGGCCAATAAAAAATGTGAAATTTATCACAAAATTTGAGTTAATAAATAGCCATGCGGCAGCTGCAAAATATTCAGTAAAATATTTCCCACACACAATATTGGTGGACATGAATGGTGGCTCATATATATATTCATGCATTCCTGCCACGAATCGCCACTCTGCGGGAAATAATAATTTAATTAGCCCGTACACAGAAAAAAAAAAAAAATTTAAATTAATTTAATGAATTTAATTTTAATTAATGTATTCTAAATTGTGTTACTATATCAAAGTCTCAAAAAATAAATTTAATAAAATAATTTAATCAAGAAATCCCAATTTCATTTCTCTCTCTGCAAAGGGCACTGTAAAAGGGTTATGGCCTCTGAACAGAAATTTGTATGCATTTCAAAAAAACCAATTATGGCAACATTTTGCTGTCCCCAATTTCTCTCATGCCCCCCCTTAAGCCCCCCGTTTCAGTTTCAACCATGACTATGGCCTAGTGTATGGCTCTGTGTTCGCTGGCATTTTCAATGGGGCTCGAGCATTAACGTTCAAAAGTCAATTAGTGGTTTTTATAAATGTGATTAAATTAAGTGACAATGTTGTTTACTGTTTTTAAGCTTTTTCGGTTTTTAGCTTCATTTTAATTGGGCTAACATTGCCTCGCAAATGAGCTTAATGGGAAAATGGACAGTTGATTCGCAATCGAAATATTGGATTTGAATTGGGCAAGGAGTATTCGAAAATGTATCTGTCCAAGAGGCTTTGAGTCAACATATTACATACATATTTTAAATTGGGATTTAGTAGTTTATCCTTTTACAACAACAATACACTCACGTTGAGTACAAAATATTTGTGAAGGGAATTAACATGCTATATTTATACTTAACCAAAACAACTGAAAATTTGTTATTATTATTATTATTTATTATTATACCCTTGCAGGGTATTATAATTTCAGTCAGAAGTTTGCAACGCAGTGAAGGAGACGTTTCCGACCCTATAAAGTATATATATTCTTGATCAGCATCAACAGCCGAGTCGATCTAGCCATGTCCGTCTGTCCGTCTGTCTGTCTGTCCGTCTGTCCGTCTGTCTGTCTGTCCGTCTGTCCGTCTGTCTGTCTGTCTGTTTCTACGCAAACTAGTCCCTCAGTTTTAAAGCTATCTGAATGAAACATTGCATATAGTCTTCTATATACTCTCACTGCTATATATGTCGGAACGGGCCGGATCGGACGACTATATCATATAGCTGCCATACAAATGTTCGATATATTTGTAGAAAAAAAATTATAACTTTGCTGTTTTTCAACATTTTTGCACAATTTTTTAGATATGGCCATTCTATATTATTATAGAATTTTGGTAAAAATTTTATGAAAATCGGACGACTATATGATATAGCTGCCATAGGAACGATCGAGAAATAAATAGGAAAAAAATTATAGCTTCGTTGTTTTCCAACGTACATATGTTTATCTTCTCTGAGATATAAGCTTTTTTTATTATTCTAGAATTATGGTATAAATTTCATAAAAATCGGACAACTATATCATATAGCTGCCATAGAAGCGATCGGTAGATGTAGAGAAAATGTAAAGCTGGGAATGTAAAACTGTAACTGTCAAACTGTAAACATAATAAGTCTAGGTAAAATGTAATGAAACTCTGTTTTGTGTGTGTTTTAAGCATTTAAATTTATAATATAAATATCAAAAACAATCTGCAAGGGTATACAAACTTCGGTGTGCCGAAGTTAGCTTCCTTTCTTGTTTTTTCTTGGTTTTTGATTGATTTTTGTATTTTACAAGATTAAGTACGATTCTTTTAAATATATATTATAAACTTAGCATACATTTCTAGTATAAAACAAAAATATTAACACAGGGAACATATATTTTATAAGCTCTTTTTGTAAGAAGTAAATAAATCCAAGCAAATTTTAATTAAATCTAGCTAAGCTCTTCATTTTCAAAGATTTGGCATGTTGCTCTGAGTATCAATAAAACCTTAGTCACTTTTTTGGAATTTAAATATATATTTTTAAATGTATTTAAAAAATTGCCTTTCTCCTTGAGGCAAATTCCAAACATGTTTCTTGCCTCATCAAACTTTTGTTCGACTAAGTATTTTCCTTCGAATTTTCTTCTTTGTCCAGGGCAAGGACTGCAGGCTTTTAAGCCTTTAAGCGAACACAAAAACCATTTTCCACTCGCTACACATTCTCTGGCCGACATGGACAAACACACATACTTGCACACATGTGTCGAGGCTTTTCAACTTGTTGTCTCTTAGCATTT